ACCGGCGTCTTAACGAGACACGCGAATAGTTTTCGTTGCTTAGACTTTCCGAAAGAGAGAAAAAGAAACAGCAACGGAAAATTAGAAGCGACTTTCGACGATTCGAGGGACGCGTCGGAACGAGAGATCTTGGCATGCTCGGCGCGCAACTTCTTCCCGATCTCGCCCCGCTTTCGTTTAGAACTTCCTTTTCTCGTTGTAACTTTTTAATCCGTAATTACGAGTTACCGATTTCTCTACGCGTTCCCTTCTTTCTCCCGCGCTCAACGAATCGACGCGGTAAACTCGTTACGTGTCCAAAGGAAAAATTACCGAACGAAAATTTCGTCCGCTCGTTCGTTAAACGGATACGCGAACTCCTTCAAACTCGACGCAACATTAATCGCGAGCGGAGCACGTCGCGACGCCTCGACCCGCAGCGCAAACGCGGAAATTGGCCAGACCGATTCGACCGAATAAAAACGGGAAAATTCGCTTTGTTCCAGAACGACTTTGCCAAATATTCTTCGCAGATTTCCGAACCACTCTCCGCTTTCCTTTAAATCACGAAAACTCGGAAAAAGCGGATCGCTTTCTTCTCTCCCTGTAAAAGTTTCGATGGACGATACCGATTTTTCCTTTTTTAAAACGACGATTAAAAAAATATTGGATCCAGATTTAACTATAACGAACGTCCGCTGAAATGGAAGTTATAGGTCCACAGTCGGAATATTTTTGGAGAAACACGAAATTGCAGCGAGTGCAGGGGATCTCGTTAATCATTTACCCAAAAGCGAAAGAGCAATTCGAAAAGTTAATATTACCCCGTTTTAAAGGGAATTGTCCTAGAATCGCTAAAATGCAGTTCCTCGAAGATGGATCTATTTTCGAAGCTTTCGTTGTTTGTCGTTGGGAACAACGTTGTTTCGATTGAAAACGATCGAAACAGCAAACGCTGAAAATCTGCACGCGAATCACATCGGTTGCCTGCGCGTGTCACGAATCGTGCTCATCATAAACGGCTGTCAGTCGACGGACGATTTTCAAATGCAAATGTATTTCTGGCGGCGCGGACTCGTGTCAGCCTCGCGTTCGGTCGCTCCTGTCGGGAGGCACGGCTCTAAACTCGATAACCCTGCCGCCAAATCCGACCAATTGGGATGAATTCGGCGACGATAACACGCCTGACACGAATTAGCTTCCGCGTTCGGCCAAGGCCGGCCTTTGATCCCCTTTCACCCTGCTTCCCTTGTGTTGATATCTTATATATTCTTGTTAAATCACAGCGCATTACGGTTAAAAAAGTCTACGAGAAACGAATCATTCAGGATTCGTTAACTGGAACTACCGACGTTAACCCCTTCCCGTGCTTTGACGAGTCTCACTCGTGACGCACTCACAACTCAAATGTGATTAATGGTTACTCAAATTTTGAATACTCTTCAACTTGAATTTTAGATCCAACTATAATGTGCGTTGTCAAGGATCCCTGAATATAAAATACTTAGAACAGTTTCATTTTCTTTGTTTGTTTTAATGTTATAGTCATTAATGGTTAGTCTTGACTGACGCACCTCGTAAATAAATGGCAAGGGGTTAAATGATCGTTTATAAAAGAATGAAAAATAAAATGAAAAGGGGAATAAATACTAAAGTATCAAGTAACATATAGAACTCTTACCTCAACAAAATATGACAGACATTTCTATAAAAGTATGATAATGAAATTTTGTAATATAAAATGAGGAATCTGAAACCAGTCATTTTGACTGGTTGGTAGTTCTAGTGTTAAAAATTTCGACTTGAAGAAGCTCGAAAATTTCGACTCGAAATTACTTGAAAATTCCAACTTGAAAAGGCTAAAAAATCCCAACTCGAAAAACTTGAAAATTCTCTTGAAAAGGCCTAAAAAAATCCAACTCAAAGAACTTGAAAATTCCAACTTGAAAAGGAAAAAATTCCAACTCGAAGAACTTGAAAATTCCAACTTGAAAAGGCTAAAAAAATCCAACTCAAAGAACTTGAAAATTCCAACTTGAAAAGGCTAAAAAATTGCGACTCCAAAAACTTGAAAATTCCAACTTAAAAAAGCTAAAAATTTCCAACTCGAAGAACTTGAAAATTCCAACTTGAAAAGGCTGAAAAAATTCCAATTCGAAAAACTTGAAAATTCCAACTTGAAAAGGCTAAAAAAATCCAACTCAAAGAACTTGAAAATTCCAACTTGAAAAGGCTAAAAAAATCCAACTCAAAGAACTTGAAAATTCCAACTTGAAAAAGCTAAAAAATTCCAACTGGAAGAACTTGAAAATTCCAACTTGAAAAGGCTAAAAAATTCCAACTCGAAGAACTTGAAAATTCCAACTTGAAAAAGCTAAAAAATTCCAACTCGAAGAACTTGAAAATTTCAACTTGAAGAAGCTTAACACAAGAACCACCGACATTAAATGCTCGTTTATCGCAGAATGAAAAATAAAATAAAAAGGGAAATAGATACTAAAGCATCAAGTAACATATAGCACTAGTTCTTACCTAAAATACGACAGACATTTCCATAAAATTACGACAATAAAATTTTGTAATATAAAATGAGAAATCTGAACCAGTCATTTTGGTTGGTAGTTCCAGTGTTAAAAGGAGAAGCAAAAGTTTCGAAATCGGTCAGAATTCCTGAAAACTCTTTGGAAAGTTTTATTCTTAAGTGGTCGAGTATAACGGAGGCCTGAAATTCATCGTGCGATATCGATATCGCCGTATCGCGAGCGATCGGTGATAAGGGCGTATCTGTCCGCGTGTAAAAATTCTTCGTAAAATTTCGAAGGTCGACACTCGAAACGACAGTTATATTACGTTAAACGTATGGAGCAAACTGTAAAACCGAAAGACGCGCACCTAGGAGGAACGGCCGGCGACCCCAACCTCTTTGTCCTCTCGACTTTGCTTGTCCTCTCCGTTCCTTCTAACCGCCGCATCGCGTCCCGTCTACTTACTTTCCTCTCTTCCTCTCGGCGTCTTTATTGTTCCCCGTGCCACCGAGCTACCGCTCTTTTCTTCGCCGATCACGTTGCTCCTCCTAATTTATTTCCTTCCACCCACCCCTTCAAAAAATCTATCCAGAGGAGCGTAATCACGGGGCCAACGATCAAATCGTTTTTCCGCGAACAAAGGGATCCACGGTAACGCGATCCGGATCCAGACTACCGGAAGTTAAAATCGGGTTACGAATTCCTTCCCTATTTACATTGCTGAATCGTGCTCTCTGGCTGTCTGCTTCCGATCTTCCACGACGGGATTTCTCGAGGCGTCGAGTTCCCAAAGCCGAAGGCAGCTATCTCGCGAACCTCCGATCTTCGTTTAACCTTTCTAGCACCGCGGTTAATCCGCACGAGTCGGATTTACTTTCCGCGACCTCGTATTAGGTCGAATTACTTCCAATTCTCTCGAATGAATGATTCTCGCGTAAAAAGATCGGCAGACCGTTCGCGCGTTTTCTTTTCTCTGCTCCGAGGACGAATTCGCGAAGACGAGCTTGCAAAGGATCGACGTCCAAAGATGGGTATTTCATTGTGTAATCTTGACCCGGTTAAACGCATCTTTACCGTGAAAACAAAACGAGAACGGTCTTAGAAAGACTCGTTTTTATACGGGCTTACTCGCAGGAAACAAAGCTGGCCACGAACAATGTGCCCGGTGAACGGCAAATCCGTGCAAAATCAAACTTCCTAAGGATCGGTGAAATTCTCGAAATCGAACTCGGGAAAATGGAACGAAACGTTTTTCCTTTCTTTCGGACAGAGCAACGCGCTAGTAAACGCTCGCCGCTTCCCTTTCGATCTCCCCGAACACGGCCTTTCAGTCGCCGGACGTTTTGCATAATCCGGATCGACTCGTTTACGTTCGTCCGTCGTTCAACGTCTCCGAGAATCTCGGGCGGCGAGGATAAAACAACGGAAGAGAGAAAAGAGAAGCCGTAGCACGTATGAACACGACGCGTGACGCGCTACGACGTCGCTGTTACCGCAGTTAAAGCTGCATTCTTTCGTGAGAAGGAAAAGAAGAGAAACGAAGGAACGAAAAGGTGCAAAGGAGAAGGGAGCGGATAACCGTGAGAGAGAGAGGGAGTAGGGAAAAATCCAAAGAATGTACCGAGAGAGCACTTGGAAATCGGCTGGCAGTGGTTTAAGATTACGCCGAGTAAGGTTCCCCGAAGGCCTCTCGAATCTCCACCGGTCGAATCCCTGCACGGTCTCGGCTCGACGAAATGGAACGCGACCCTGATTGGCCCGACGCGACCTACGTTCGAACGAATTAACGCCAATAAAAAATAAGACGAGTCGACGTTCCGCACAGGCCAAGTGCATCGTTGCAACGAGACGCGACGATTTCGATATTCGCTTTCGGAAACGAGGCAAGTTGCATGCCCCGAGGTTCCCACGAGTAACGGCACACCTTTCTAGAAAAATATCGCCCCGAGTAAATCTTCCTTTCGTCGGTTTCCTCGGGATACGCGTTTCGTATCGCGATACCTCGCTATCCGATATCGCCTGGCAAGAAAAACAGAACCGGGTTATACACTCCGGTTTGTAACGAGAAAGTAGAAAGAAGACGCAAGCTTCTCTTTTACCGCGTTCCTTTCGTCGACAAACAACGTGTATTTCGACGAAGGTTTATCCGTCGAAAAGACGCTCGTTTCGTGCGTGAAACGCCGCTGGAAAACGTCGGTGATCGACGAGTCCTCTTACGAGCGGCTACGAACGCGGCCTAAGGCCCCAGTTTCCCCCACCACCGGCGCGACTGGCCTCGTCGACGCGTACGCGGACAACGGCGCATGCGCGTACGAACAAAACGTTGTAAATACCCGCAACGTTCTCGTCTCGCACACATTGCCACACGCGCGCGTACGTGTTATACACACGCACGTGCGCATACACTACGTACGATGCTCAACAAGTACGTGCGCGCGAGTGCACATAGGAAAGGTATCGCGAGATAGTAACGAACAAAAGATACGATCTACTCACCGAGAATTCCACACAGAAGCAGAAACGACAACAAAAGACGTTCAGGCCTCGCCCAGGCCCGTACGATGCGTCTATCCGTTTGCGCTCGCGACATCTTTCTCTCCTTTGGTTGTTCCTCCTGTTAGCTTCGCTTTGCCGATCCGCTCGAAGAACGGACCACGCTGTTGCGTCGCGATCTTCCTTTCGCGTGATCCTTCGGATCGTTGATTCTTCTTCTCGTACCACCGATCACAGTTCGCTAAAGTCCATCACCTGTGCACATGGTTCCCATCGTTCTCCTTCGTTTTACAAACAAACAAAAACTCGCGTCGCACCAACGAAACTAGCCGAACTCGAACGTAAAACCGATCGCGACGCGCGCGAACGATACACCAAAGCCGACGCTGTACAAACGCGCCTACCCGACTGAACCGAGGAGTCGAGAGGACGCGTGATTCGTAGCTTCGCTGGCTTACTCGATGCCTGCCTGTCCGCCTGCCTGCTTGCTTGCCTGCCTGCCGCTTTCCTGCCCGTTTGCTTGCCTGCCCGCCTGCCCCGAATACACTCGCCTCTCCTCGCTTCGTCCCTCGTCACAGCTCGCGATCCCCTCCCCTTCCTAACCCCCTTCCCTTGACGCTTACTTCTCTCGCCACCCTCCGCCGCGCCGCCACGCGCCCACCCTACCACCGTCCCTTCGCTCCGCTTCGCTTCTTTAGCCCCCGACTTCCAATCCCGTCACCGGCATACAAACAGACCTCTCCCCACCGCTATCTAACTACTTGTTGATCTTCTCGCAGGGACGCATACTTTGTTCCTCGAGCCTCGTGCATTTTCTTACAAACTTTCCTTGTCTTCTCTACTTTTATCGGTTTCGGTATCTCAAAGACTGTTTCTATGTTTCGAACGATCGCGGAACGATTCACCGACGTCGTCCGGAAACGACCGATCTTGCCCGATTTTAAGAAATCTTCATTCGTCGCGAGAGATGTTTTCCGCGAAACGTCAACGATTACTAGAATCCGGTACAGGTTTATATCAAATTACTGTAATTATAGCGGTTTCCTAGCGAATCTTTACTGCCGTACTTTTCGCGTCTACTTCTTTCTTTTTAATCTTCCAATTTATCTTCGCGGACCAACGCTCTCCGGGAAAGTACGAGCGTACCTTCCGGATCATCGCGTTGCTCGATGAATCGAGACAAACTAGCGAAAACGATCCATCGATTAACCCGGCTTGTTCTTCTGGCTAAACAGAGCTTAGCAGAGATTTATTCGAAATTCCTGCTTCACGGTAACAGCGAAAACATATCGATCGAACGCTTTTCGATCAATCTACCTGTTGCAGTAAAGCGAAAGAAGAGTGGTCGCTTCGCGAAGCACGGTAGATCGGAGAACGCGTAAAAGGGGAAAAGCACTATGAAAAGAGCGACGGGTGGTTCACGTCGGTCGTCGCTTACCGTTTCTCGCTCGAGAAATTCGAATATCGGTAACGAAATGATCGTGAAACTGAAAGGTGAAAAATTCCTTTTCTTCCGGTGTATTCGAGACGGAAATTCCTCCGTGGTAGAGAAACGTGGCCACGTCATCGTAGCACGCGTGGGGATAGATGCGTGAATCATTAGATGTCCGATGATGCTTCGAGTCTTTCACAATTCCATTTAGATTCTAATATTCACGATTCTATTATTCAACGGTAGTCGTTCAGTTTAGGTTTCGTAATTGCCGCGCGAAATGTCGATCGATCGACTTCGTCGAACCGATAACGGGCCACGCCTTTTCACGCCGGTGATCCACCGATCGCGTCGAATATCGTGGGAATCGCGCGGAATGCGACGACAAATTAGATAATTAAATCTCTCGGTCAAGAAACGCGGATCGAGCACGAGGTCGACCAACTGTATCCTCGATGACTAAAGATCTCGTAAGACGTGCGTACGCACCGAAGGATCCGAGAAGATAAAAGCGTCGGTCATCGGATATATCAATGAACCGAACGCCCGCACGTTTAACCGACAGATCGTTGACCGACTGAAATAGTCGGAAATATCGATTTTTGACCTAATAGTGATTTCCTTGCCCGCATTAAATCACCCCTCGAAGTATCAATAACTTAGTTGAAAAAGCTGCTAGAAACTATCAGATTTGAAAAGATAAAAGCGTCAGGCATCAAATATATCAATGAACCGAGCGCCCGCACGTTTAATCGACAGATCGTTGACCGACTGAAATAGTCGGAAATATCGATTTTTGACCTAATAGTGATTTCCTTGCCCGCATTAAATCACCCCTCGAAGTATCGATAACTTAGTTGAAAAAGCAGCAATCGGATTCGAAAAGCGACCACGTTGTTTCTCCGGAACGATCGAAAGCGAGAACATCGAAACGAAGAGTTGTTTTGAACGGGAAAGGCTAGTATGCTCGGTCGGTTTCAACGTCGACGTAAATTACGTTCGCACCGGTGCGATGTAACTGCAAACGTATGAGGTTCGATTCGTATGCAGGATGCGCTGGGACATGTTACGAAACGAATCGCGAGCGCTATTCGGCCCAGCTGTTCTATTCGCCTAATTGTCGCGTTGCCCGTGAAATCCTCGCCGAACCGGTTCGCCAAAAGAAAAACGCTTTGGAATTCAATCTGCGCTGACACCGGTCGAAACGTTTGTTTCATTTTCCGGGACACTGTAGTCGTTAGGAATCGAATTAAAGCGTCGTGTCGCTTTATCAACAATTTTGATCGTCGATTAATGCACGTTGGTTCATCGTTCGGTACCTTGTTTCGATCGATAGCTTATTTTCTTCGACCAAATGTTATTTTTCGCGAATCAGCTTCGACTCTGTTCCGTGCGACTAAGCAACTTTCAGCGATCGAATGACCGAAAGAAATGAAAGAAAGGACTGATCGAACGCCGCCTGTCACCGTGGAACGTTGGAATCTGTAATTAGAATTCGTGCCTCTAATTGCCCTCTTGTTCGATGCTTTTTATTCCTCTACTTTCGTCCTCGCTATTCCGTTACCTAATTTTCGCCTCGACTTTGACTTCCGCAAAAAAATTGGAACGGTGTGGTTTTTAATCCGGTAAAATCTCGATGTAACGCGTATTCCTATTCATTTGTAACCACTCGTGTTTCGCTGACGTTGCATATTATTTAGCGAATTTCTATCGTACCGATGTAGTTAATTAAATTGCGCACATTTCATTAACGAAGTGATAGAATTAATGCGCGGGGATCGGAATTATCCCGGATGAATGAGGGATGGAGAGTGCGGTGGGTAATACATAGCGATACGATGTCAAATGTGACCAAACGGTTTATCCGCGCATTAAAATACTTTGGAGAATAAAAATATCCTTTCATCGATCTTGTTAAATGCAGTAAAAGGTTTCGTAGAAACGCTTCTCTACGTTCTTTACTAAGAAACAGTAATCGGAAAATACGGAACTATGATCGACTTTCGTGCAAACACTTTTATCGAGCTGGACACAGGAACAAAACGTAAAAAAGAAACGTAAGAGACATTGTCGATCTACTCGTCGATTCAACATCCGACATAGAGCATCGATCCCCTGCGACGTTCTCGAATGAAAACTATGCACTTTTAGATCTTCTGCACGTTTCCACGTCATCTTTCATCGAAACTTTCGAGATATCCGTCTGCTCGAGTTACAGGCACGCCGCCACCGTCGATGTGAACCTTTTTCAATTTTCCTGATGTCGTTTCCACTGCTGACCGCTTTTACGTTCTCGCGACAATTTCTGAAATTGATTTTCCCGGCGAATGGCGTAAATCATAGACGTCGCGGAATATGTACCGTCAAATTAAAAGCTTTGACAAATGTTCGGCAGCAAACATAAATATAAGCGTGTTGTAAATTTATAATGTGTTTTTAATTAAACTTGAATGTTTAATAACGTTCAATTTGTCGCGACGTTACCCTTATCGACATCTGGTGGCAAAACTGCGTAATGTCTGCTCGTAATAAAGTTTCATTTACTGAAACTGAGAGACAGTAATTACGCTGGCATGCTAACAGTTCATGGCAAGCTTTATTGCGTACTTTAAGTTTTTGAAAGGGGACTCTGAGAGATAATTGTAGACTGTTCGTTTACAGTTGCGTTTTATATACAACTCTAATATACACATTACTGTACTTAATGCAATAATTTGCTCTAAGTAATTTAAAAGCTTGAAAGAATTTTTGAAGGCATTTTCTACCCGACTGTCTTAAAAGCGCAGCCAACGCCATCTCTCCGGCGAACGGGGTGAACTACACGCATCTGAGACAGCGGGTTCATTAGTTCCTACTTTGCGCCGCTAGTTGGCGCTGCTGACGTCATCTCCAAACATGCAAGCATGACAAAATTTATCATTATGTATATATCAAATTAATTTAGTTAATAATACTTGCACAACATTCCAAAAATAACAAGTATTGATTTACGAAGTTATTTGGCTCAAAATACAGACGATTAACTCAAGAAAATCGATATAAACGACACTTATTCGGAAATGGTACAAGTGGCGCCATCTCTCCGGCGAACGAGGTGAACTACACACTTTTGAAACACTACTTTCGTTAGTTCTTCCCGCTGCTGCTAGACGGCGCCACATGTACCGACTCCCTCTGGTGGCGGGAATTGAGAACTAACGAAAGAGGTGGCCGTCTGCTCGAGTTACAGGCACGCCGCCACCGTCGATGTGAACCTTTTTCAATTTTCCTGATGTCGTTTCCACTGCTGACCGCTTTTACGTTCTCGCGACAATTTCTGAAATTGATTTTCCCGGCGAATGGCGTAAATCATAGACGTCGCGGAATATGTACCGTCAAATTAAAAGCTTTGACAAATGTTCGGCAGCAAACATAAATATAAGCGTGTTGTAAATTTATAATGTGTTTTTAATTAAACTTGAATGTTTAATAACGTTCAATTTGTCGCGACGTTACCCTTATCGACATCTGGTGGCAAAACTGCGTAATGTCTGCTCGTAATAAAGTTTCATTTACTGAAACTGAGAGACAGTAATTACGCTGGCATGCTAACAGTTCATGGCAAGCTTTATTGCGTACTTTAAGTTTTTGAAAGGGGACTCTGAGAGATAATTGTAGACTGTTCGTTTACAGTTGCGTTTTATATACAACTCTAATATACACATTACTGTACTTAATGCAATAATTTGCTCTAAGTAATTTAAAAGCTTGAAAGAATTTTTGAAGGCATTTTCTACCCGACTGTCTTAAAAGCGCAGCCAACGCCATCTCTCCGGCGAACGGGGTGAACTACACGCATCTGAGACAGCGGGTTCATTAGTTCCTACTTTGCGCCGCTAGTTGGCGCTGCTGACGTCATCTCCAAACATGCAAGCATGACAAAATTTATCATTATGTATATATCAAATTAATTTAGTTAATAATACTTGCACAACATTCCAAAAATAACAAGTATTGATTTACGAAGTTATTTGGCTCAAAATACAGACGATTAACTCAAGAAAATCGATATAAACGACACTTATTCGGAAATGGTACAAGTGGCGCCATCTCTCCGGCGAACGAGGTGAACTACACACTTTTGAAACACTACTTTCGTTAGTTCTTCCCGCTGCTGCTAGACGGCGCCACATGTACCGACTCCCTCTGGTGGCGGGAATTGAGAACTAACGAAAGAGGTGGTTCAAAAGTGTGTAGTTCACCCTGTCCGCCGGAGAGATGGCGCCACTTGTTCCATTTTTTTTTTTAAATGCAAATAACATTGATATTTATTCAGTAAATAGTCAAAACTATGCCTCAAACCGCTTACAGAACCAATATTAAATAATAAACTAATCAATACCCGTCATCAATTAACAATAACCAAAGATTTTGTTAATTTTCACTAAAGCATAGGTTATGTCATCTTTTGACAACCCGCTAAAATGTTCATTTCTCGTCAGATGACGCCACCGATTTATCAACGAGTTTGACAATTCTGATTGTTTTCATTAGGTTTGTTTTATTATTAAACATTTTGCTCGAATAAAGGATTCGATTCAATTTATGACTGAAAACTCATCAAATTGTTATTCCGAACAAACGTTTATCAAATACGGAATCGAATGACATCAATCTTTCTTGAAGTTGTTGATTGCTTCGCTATTTGTTGGCTGTACTAACCGTAACTCGACGTGTATGTAAACGTCAAAACAAACTTAGGTATCGAAAGGCAACAATGTTCATCGTTACGAAAGAGATCGACGGTGACAATATCGGCAAATTATGCCGTACATGTTTAAGAGAAGACGGTGACAAAATGGTTTGTTTATTCGTGGGACCGGCTGGCTCTTCTCTCGCTGCAAAATTGCGGTCTCTGTCATGTTTGGAAGTAATTCACGCTTTCTATGAATTTAAATGTATTTAGTAGATAAGAACATGGCTGTACCCTTCCAATCATGTGGTTTACCAGGTTTGGCAAGGTGATGGTCTTCCAGAGAAAATGTGTGATCGTTGCGTAACCAGAGCAGAGTCAGCTTTGCTGTACAGAGAACAATGTCGAGCTGCAGACAGAGCATTGAGACAAGCTGTTTTGAAGGTAATGTGCATAGCATAGGCTACAGATTATTGAGACTATCTATTAAATCTTACATCTAATCAAATTTTCTAATATTCCCAGGTTTCTGGTTTAACTTCCTATACTACAGTATCCGGATGCAAGTTGTATCAACAGAATCAAGGTTTCCTACCAGTAGAAAATCCTCGTAAAACCTTGAAATGCATAGAATGTGGCGCTGCATTTACCAGCTATCAGGAACTCTGTACTCATAACAGGCTACATCTACCTTTCGTTCAAGACAACGTACCAACACGACATATGCACATAGTCGAATCTCAGAACCCTTACTTTAATTTTAACTTTAATTTCAATTTCAATCATTCGAACAACCTGACAGGCGACGACGTTCAGCATGCGCAATCATCCACACTGATCAGACCAAATACGATGCAAACGATTCCACCAAACGGTGAAAATCCAAGTCGTGCTGCTTGTGCTCTACATTGTTCCTTGTGCAATCGTACCTTTACCAATAGAACGCAATTGATTAACCATAATATTTCGCACAACGCGGACAACATAGATATTCCTTGCGAAAACGAGAGTATAGATATCTGCGAGAATTCTAATCAGGTTCCACAAAATTTGAGTTACGAAAGATCTATTAATTCCGTCGGGAATTCCATCCAAAACTTATCTTATCAAAGATCGACGACGAACGATAACAACGAGATGCAGAATTTATCTTTTTCCGAGAACATCGATCTCGTGGAGGACGTGCGGGATGGCAGCCCTCCAGAGCGCGTGCAAAACACGTCGTTACACGACTCTAACGCCTACGATTCCCGTTCGATCGTTCGTTTCTCGAAAAACGGTGAACGCACCGATAACGGGAAGAGCATCGATGAGTATCGATCTTGCACGAACGTCTACGAAGGCAGCGTAGAGAAAGAAAATTTGACGAACGCACAGCGTAAAAAGTTCAAGTGCGAACTGTGCTCTAAACTATTCTCTCAGAAATCGAAATTGCTGACGCATCGACTGTCGCACTCTAGTCAACGACCGTTCAAATGTTCCGACTGCGAAAAGGCTTATTCCACGAAGAGCAAATTAAACGCGCATGTACGTTTGCACACGAAAACGAATGTGCACTCGTGTAAATTATGCAACAAAGTGTTCGCGTATCCCTCCTACTTACGCGAGCACGAGAAAACCCACGATCAAGATAACGGTATCGCGAACAACGAGGGGGGTCAATCTTTCGAGTGCTCCGCTTGCAAAAAGAGATTTCGATCCTTGAAAAATTTAAGAGCTCACGAGCGACTTCACACGGGGAAAGGCTTAGTACAGTGCGAAATATGCGATAAGAGATTCAGTCAACGTTACAATCTCAAGATTCATTTGCGAACACACAAAGCGACGAGGCCGCACAAGTGCGAATATTGCGACAAGTGTTTCGTGCAAAAGGGTAATCTAGCGGAACATTTAAGGATCCACACGAAAGTCAAACCGTTCGAATGTAAATTATGTAAGAAGCGTTTCTCGCAGTCGAGTCACTTGAAAAATCATCAAGCATCGCACACCACTGTCAGACAACATCAGTGCCGCTTATGCGGCAAACGATTCAAATTGGCGAGCCACCTGAAGAGACATTTAATTTTGCACGACGGCACCAAAGCGTACAGATGTAATCGATGTAATCAGTTGTTCTCGCAAGCGTTTAGTCTGACGAGGCACTTGAAGAGGCACGAATCGCAAACGTAACGTGTACATTGTATATTTGATATTAAAGGTAGATTTTACATATGACGACTTTGTACGCTTTTGCAATCCTTTATGTTGCGTTCTGTTATTGTTCGATGATCATCGTTATAGTTAAAGATTTCACTTGTAACTATTCAGAACGGTAGTCAGTATATTCAGACCCTCTTCAATTTGCTCTTTCGTGATGGTAAGCGGTGGTGTCAGTCTCAGTATTTGTCCGTGTGCGGGTCTCGTGAGCAGACCTGCATCTCTCAATTTCAGACAAAGATCCCAGCCGTCGGCAAAATCTAGAGATTAATTAAAACTATTATAAAATTGAAACTACAGAATCTATGGAAAGAACTTACCCTTATTGATCACCGCTCCGATCAACAAACCGCGACCTCGGATCTCCGTGATTATGTCTTTCGGTAACTTTCGCAACTCCGTCCGCAAAACTTCTCCGAGCGTACGCGCATTGTCCGCTAAATTCTCCTCTTCCAAAATTTTAACCGCTTCCAAGGCGACTTTGTTTCCGAGCGGACTTCCGCCGAAAGTGCTGCCGTGCGAGCCGACTTCCAGGCACAGAATTTTCTGACGAAAAGCAGCCAGAATTTATTTCGCTGCTAATTTTAATTTTATTTTGCTGCTAAAGTCAAGGTTGCGACGCGAGCAAAGTTACCTCGTCGTCCGCTAAGATACCGGATACGGGGTACATTCCTCCGGACAATGCTTTGCCTAAAATAAGAATATCCGGCCTTTGATTCTCGTGATCGACCGCCAGTCGTTTGCCCGTCCTGCCTAAGCCGGTCTGAACTTCGTCTGCGATCCACAGCACGTTGTACTTGTTGCATAGATCTCGTACGCCTTTCAAGTAGCCATCCTATGGAAAAAAAGAAATCTCATCGAATGCTAGTGATTTTGTCGTTGATAAAGATCTTGTCGGATAAAGAGTGGATGTTGGATAAAACTCACGTTAGGTACCACTATGCCTCCCTCTCCCTGAATCGGTTCTACCATAAACGCGCAAACAGTTGGATCCTCCTTCAATTTCGCCTCCAACGCGTCGAGATCGTTGTACGGCACTTTGTCAAATCGAGGCACGTAAGGTCCGAAGTCGGCGTAACACTTTTGATCCGTGGAGGCTGACAACGCCGCGATGGAACGTCCCCAGAAATTGCCTTTGGCGAAAACCACGGTTGCCTGTTGCTCCGGTATTTTCTTCACTCTGTATCCCCAACGTCTGGCCACTTTGATAGCTGTGTCCCCAGCCTCGACTCCTGCAAAGAGACGATGCTGCACCTTGCTTCGGGATGCAAGAAACATATCGTAGAACCGTTACGTTCGTACCGGTGTTCATAGGCAAGAATTTGTCCCATCCGAGAAGCTTGGTCAGGTATTCTGCTAGTTCACCGTGAGGCTCCGAGTAAAACGCTCTGGACGTGTGACTCAATTTCCCTACTTGCTCCCTCATTACCTTTACCAAACGAGGATGCGAATGACCCTGACTGACGGTTGAGAAACCAGCGAGGAAGTCGAGGTAACGTTTACCTTCGACGTCCCACACGTGGACACCTTCGCCTCTTGTGAGAACTACCGGAAGGGGCTCGAAGTGTCTACCACCGTACTTTTTGTCACGCTCGATCAACTCCTGCGAACTTAGAGACCTTTTCGAGCCTAATTCTCTTGTTAGTCTAACGACGCTCGGTCTTGTCGAATGCATTGCTTAGAGCAATTACAGACGGTTCGTTACGACGTTAAAAAAATCGAGATACGCTTAAAATAGAAGAAACGATGATAAATCGTGTAGGTACACTATAAATATTGCTTTGTTAATGCGAAAAAATAAACTGCCGTCGATTTCGCGTTCAGTTACATTTATACCGAGTCGTGGAAGGGTAGGGTATATTGCTTATTTACACGGGATGTTTTTGTATACGATTGATACGTTGGTAGGATTTAGAATAAATGCTACAATGCAACAGTTCGAACGAGTCATATCTGATAATGAGCGGGACATGCTTTAATGCGGCGCCAACGGCTTAAGCCAAACAAAAAACAGCAAACAATGTACACTGACGATGATGTGAAGAATGTATTTTCTCTATCGAATACACCGGAATCGTTCAACGACCCCCTAATTAGTGATCAGTCTAAACAAGTTACAACTCTAATAACATAAAGAATATTACAGAATGGTTCTTATTTTATACAGAGAACTCTTGCTGTACTGAATTATAGGTAAATCTAAACTAGACCATGATAAGATTACGAGATTTGAAATACCATATATCTATCATTTACTTAACCCCTGGCTACGAACAGACTACATGAAAATATTACGAACAGAATTCGAAAAGAAATGCATTTCTTCGGTGGAAGCTATGCTCGTTCAAACACGAAAAGATATCACGCTTATGTCAATAACGACGGCCGTCAAACATCGGAATAAACATTGATCGCGGGAAACAGGATAGGAAGACGAGACCGTATCGCGTTCGGCTATTAATAACCAGTAACGCAACCGGTCGACCAATTTTTCTTACATCGTTGCGTTCCAAAGATAATAACCTCGACGAATGCATTCGAACGATATACCGTTATCCCGATAGGCGCATATTTCGTTGAATTACGTTCTATCTTCCCTTTCTTTTGTTGACTTCTGCATTACTCGAGGGTAATGAAACAATTCAAGAATATTCATTGAGTATAAACGATGTAGGTTTATTCACGAGATCCATTAAAAGTCACGGTGACAAGTAGCTTAAAGCAAACGCACATTATTTCGCGTGTTGAGAAATAGTTTTGCAAATGATATCGGCGCATTCTCGTATCTGTGATTCGGTAATAACTAACGGTGGAGCCAATCTGATGATATGTCCGTGTGTCGGTTTCGCGAGTAAACCCGCTTCCTTCAGTCGTAAACAGATATCCATAGCATCGATGCGTTCGTTGATAACTACTGCGTTAAGTAGACCTTTTCCTCGCACCAGAGTCACAATATCTTTTGGAAGTTTGCTAAGTTCCGCTCTAAGAATATGACCAAGCTTCTCTGCATTTTCTGCTAGCTTCTCCTCCTCGAGAACGCGAAGAGCTTCGAGGGCGACCCTGCATCCTAAGGGATTGCCACCATAAGTTGAACCGTGTTCGCCAGGCTTTATGGTCAGCATTACGGAGTCGTTAGCCAATACGCCGGAAACTGGGTAAAAACCACCGGAAAGTGCTTTTCCGAGAATCAAAATATCTGGTTTCACGTTTTCATGATCGACGGCTAACCGTTTGCCCGTTCTTGCTAAACCAGTTTGTACTTCGTCCGCTATCCATAAAACGTTATGCTTCGAGCACAGCTCTCGAACTCCTTTCAGGTATCCGTCCTTATAGAAACATTGAAAAATGAGAAGAATTTGTGATAATCGAATAAACGCAAATACGAATCGAATATATACCTTCGGTACAACGACACCAGCTTCACCTTGTATAGGTTCCACCATAAAAGCACAAACGTGAGGATCAGCCAAAGCTTGCTGAAGCGCTCCGAGATCATCGTACGGAATGACTTCGAATCCAGGCATGAACGGACCGAACCCACCATAACTGGTAGGATCCGTGCTCGACGACACGGCGCTCATTGTTCTTCCCCAAAAGTTACCTTCCGCAAAAACGATTTTCGCTTGATACTGCGGTATACCTTTGGTCGAGTAACCCCATTTACGCGCTAATTTGCAAGCCGTTTCTCCACCTTCTACCCCCGTGTTCATCGGCAGCCATTTCTCGTACCTGTATGTAACGCATTAATAATTATCTGCTAGCCGCAAGTAATTACCGAGCAGACGTGAGGGAATATGGTTTATTACCCGAAGAGCTTCGTGATGTATTCCTCGAATTCCCCTAACGCGTCCGAATAGAAGGCTCGCGAAGTCAGTGTCAATACTTTTGCTTGATCGATCAGCGCTTTATAAATCCTAGGATGGCAGTGCCCTTGATTAACGGCGGAGTAAGCGCTCAAAAAGTCGAAATAACGCTTGCCTTCGACATCCCACATAAACACTCCTTCGGCTTTGCATAACGCCACGGGTAGAGGGTGATAGTTATGAGCACCGTATTTTGATTCCCGCTCGAAAACTTCGTGCGATGTAAGATTTCTCTGTAAAATTACTACTCTTAATTTCTTGATACAAAAAATACACTCATTTTCTTACCTGAGAGAGCTGAGTCAGAAACTTGTTGTTAGATATTCTTCCAATTTTCTTAAACATCTTGATTAATCATACACACTTGACGGCGCAAGAAAAATTTATTACCCGTTGATAAGTGATCTTCTAAATCGTATCGAGCATCAACCTAAATAATAAAAATTCAATATCAGTGAGATAACAATAAACAATAACTGTACTTTTTAAAAATGTAACAGTAAATAATCCATCTGTAATCGCGCAATGATTTCAAACCGAAGACTATATATCGCTCGTTAAGAATGAAAGAAGAAAGAAATGTTATCAGTAGAGGAATTAATACATGCCAAAAAAATGATCACAACCGCAACGTTATCGCTGTGGTAAAACAACGTATCACTGATACCTCGTTCGTTTCAGTCATGGAATATTATTACCTTTGCAGAAACCGATGATCATTTGCACCGATCAGTATAAGTGACACATTGATGTTTCCTCTCTTTGAATCGACCACTATCTTCTCGCGATTCCGTAGCGCGGTTTCAGCGATCAGTAAAATGTAAGGAGCACCGTACACTGTAATCGCTTGACGTGTCTAGCTGTTTCTAGTCGTGTCGCGCGTTTTATTCCTTTCTCCTCGTTACGCACGGTCACGTTACACGCTCTTCATATCGAAGATAAAATGAACGATATAATTATACGGTCCATCAATCGTTTGAGTCCAATAGCCCATTTGAGTCCAAAAACCTTGATTATTTGAATTCAAAAGTAAATACGATAAGGACGGTCTCTTCTTAAAATACTGCCTAATCTCGTTTACCTTACCATCAGTAGAGTACGTACTAAATAATAATAAAATATTTTAATCAAATTTGTCAATAGATTTGCTGTATTTATGCCATTGCGTATTACAAATATCGCAATGATTCTTATCATTCGTAAAATAGCTAGTAATACTTACTTACATACATGTATCTACAAGTAGTCTTATCAATATAATCAAGAATGATAAGCAACTGTCGCTGGTTATGCATTATCGATGATCTCGCAGTTGTGTTGGGTTTAAATCACGAAATACGTTATATTCTTATTGTTTAGAGTAACGATGATAAATCATTTGTATTAATCCCACAAGCTATGAAGAGTCCGCTACATGTTACTGAAATATAAAAATGTCATAAGTTATCATCAGCTGGATACATGTCAAAATCAAATCTACTACAGTACAAACGTGTTTCTTTTTGAAAAGATCATGAATTTATAATTTACAATTTGTAACAATTAAAGAATATGAAAACTTACAATATGAATGAAGTTTTTTTTTAATACAGAAATATATATGCATAGGTAATATATCATACCGGTTTTACCCGCCAAAATTACTATTCTGCTCGCCATGACTTTATTGTACATGTGCAACGGCTGGCGGGAGTAGCGGCTGTGCTCATATATTTCAAGCGTTCGTTGCTTGTTCTTTAAATGCTGTGCGTTTTCTAACTTGTATACGGAAATCGAAGTAAAAATAAATATTAATATGTGTGAAAACGATTACGACGATCTTCGAAAAAGAAATATAGCCGAAAGAAATGCTATTGTAAGTAATTCTGTGTAATATCAATTTTTAACCTTATTGGTAAATTAACGAACGCTTTTGTTTACATTTAATATTACAGTTTGCCGAGTTCTTCAAAGATTTAAAACAACAAACAAATGAGACAAAAGAAGTAATAAAGAAGCATAAAAATACAGACAATTCGGAAAATGAACCGCCGAAAAAAAGACGCAGGACTATTTCTAGTGGTCGTAACGAATTTAAAAATGTAAAACTTAGTTTTCGCAGGAAATATAACACTCGAAATAGTTTAAAGAATAGAAGTAATAATGATTCAAGCACTTCGCAAAACGATTCAGAAGAGGATATAATTGAACTCAAAAGTAACAAACCTAAATTACAAGTTCTATTTCCTTGGGCAAAACCATTTCAGCGTTCAATTGATTTAATGAAACTGGGAGTCTGTGATGTGGATGAAGAGCAAGAACAAGATAGTGATAATAGTTCTGAAGATTACACGACAAAAAGAACAGTTTATAAAGTAAACAAATCTCCATATGATCCAGATAGTATACCATCTGTTGATGAAATAACCGAGGAAATGCTAAACAATATAGCAGAGAAAAGTAGTACAAAAGAGTATTGTAAAATTAATGGAACTAGTTGTCATCAATGCAGACAAAAAACCTTAGATACAAAAACAGTATGCCGTTCTGGAGAGTGTATCGGAATTAGAGGACAATTTTGTGGACCTTGTTTAAGAGGAAGATACGGTGAAAGTGCTCTTGAAGCATTAAAAGATCCTGTACGTTTGCGATTTTTTCATTAATATTTTTTTTTCAGTTCTCCTACATTTATTTTCTTTGTTTAAAATTTATAGGATTGGGCTTGCCCACCTTGCCGTGGTCTATGTAATTGCAGTATATGTCGAACAAGGAGCGGTTTACGACCAACGGGAATCTTAGCTCCTGTAGTGCAAGAAGAAGGATTTTCATCTGTTATGGACTATCTCCAGCATACCGAAATCGATGATACATAACTGGAATGCTGTAAAAGACTTTGATCTATGAAATGTTTTAATACAAATGAATTTTTTTATCCATGTAATAAAATCTTACTTCGTATTAAATCAGTTTCTCTATCCTTAATTTCCTTCTTTGTTACTATCTGATCGCGATAATACCATAATGTCTCGGTGATAACAGAGGGTCGAATAGACGCAATATTGCAAGTTTAGAACAAACTTTGCTATTTTCTAAAAATAACATTCTGTCAAGCATAATAGCTGCTTCTATTACAAGGCCCGTATGTATTCTTAACATTTGAAATATATGAAATTTTTTCATTAAATGCATATGAGACTGATATATGCTAATCAACTTCTCTTCCGATGGTATCTGAACAAAATAAAAGTTTATTGGAAACATACTAACAATACTTATACTCATAAATTTGTTGGTATACTTTTTCCCGTTTTATTCCAATTCGCGAGAATGCCCATCGTGCATAACTTGTGAAATCATTGAAAGACTTTGCACGACCTACTTTAGCATTATAGATACCTATTAGTAAAAATAAGAAAAATATCAGTGTACATCATAATAAATGAAATGAAATTAATAAAAAATAAACTGTACCCATAGAATGAAGAATCACTTGTAAAATTGCTCTATAGAATAACGATGATGAAATAGATTTATTTTTTGTGCTTCTTTCAACACATTGTTGGGCTAACATTCTAGCATTTTTGGAAAAACAGATATTCTTGTTAAATGTTTCATTGGTCAAATGATAACAACAAGGCACAATGCACAAAACTCTAATATCTTCAGTAACTAAAAATGTTTTAATAACCGAATGAGTTAAAGAACCACAAGTGTGTAAACCAGTTAATATTAGATTTCTATCTATATTCCAATTATAAAAACGTTCTTTGATCATGTCAATATAGTTAGTGTCTTCATTTATTTCTTCTACTATATATTGTACCTAAAACAAAATATATATTTATATTATTAGATAAAATGTTACTGTTGTATAACATGTGCAAAATTACTGTCAGTACCAAATTTTCACAGCATGTCATTTTCTTCTTTAATTGCTTTTGTTTACAAATTGCGCCATTGCTACACAACTGTGAAGAATCTATTGCAAGAACTGGAATTTTATGATTCTCTGCCAAAAATGTTGACAAATATGCTTTACCAGCACCAGCATCTATTACTAAATTATTATCTGATGCCGCAATTATTCCAATAATATTTCCAAGGGATTCAACTTCATGTAATTTCTTAGCATTCATGAAATCTGCACTCTTACATTTCAATTTTTTCCAGTTACTAATATCTGACAACATATATGCAAATTCCTTTGAGTATACTTCTACAGAACATGATTGCAGAGAAAGAGATTTTGTCAATTTTATAAAGTTATTTAATATGGGATAACTATCATTTTCTGTCCAATAAGTACAATTTATTTCATCTTGTTCTAACTCTAACTTCAATGGATCTGGCAAACACGTCTCCCATAAATTTTTTGTAATAAAATCAACCACATGACAATTTATCAATTCCTGATAAGTATTTATAAAACATATAACTTTATCAAAATGTTCACTATACATAGTTGTAATAAATATGGTACTTAATTTAATACAATACTATTAATAATGATATAAATTTTTTTAAATATAACAATAATCTTAATGTAGCTTGACCAAATAAAATATTTGATCAACTTTAAATATTAATGTTATCTTTCAATTTTCCATTCATTTCGATGTGCCATTCTTGCTTTACTAAAAATCAAGCTTATCCGCTTCTGGATACGAAGAAGATATTTTTGTTAATGAACAAAATTTGGCATACTTAAATTTAATGTTATCAAAAGCCTTCGATATATCTACAGTCTCATCATTAATTCTTGGAAAATTATAAATATCTTTCAAAAGTTGTTGTGCGATCTGAATATTTTTTTCTGAGTTACACGTATTATTGTTTAAATACTGTTCTAAGACACCACTATAATATCCTAATTGTGCAGCTATCAAACTGGTTCTATGATATCCAAGATGAAACCCATCTGTTAATTGTGTTTTCCCAATTTCATAACCTTCCAAATAACCTATACGTTGGGCATTTTCTTCAGCAAATAATAAATTCGTAAACTTTTCATTTACATCAACTTCTTCTTTATCCGTCATATCTGAAAATGCATGTGTCAACATAGTGAAGAATAAAAATTACCAACCAATCAAATTTTGTTAGTCATCATTTAAATAAAATCTACCTGTGACATATTAAAAATCAATATTTTGACGATAGAAAAATAATCTTTGTTTATACTATTTTGCTATATACTGTAGTTATAATTCAAACAAATGCAAGCAACAATTGAATTTCAAACAAATAACAAGTCAACTCTGCTTGGTCATTCAACCATTGTTGAAATTGCAAACTGAACAGGTTTGCCAATCGTTAAAACCTTTGTTGTTTTTGTTCTGTGTTAACAATTAACAGTTAAGGTTATAAATGTACATAAATAAAGATAATATTTTCTTGCCCCTTTAATAATAATTATTGTTATGACTGGCGAAGAATATCCTGGTCAATTTATGACAAATTTTCAAACTTGCATCAAGCATGTATTCATAGGAATAACGTGGTTCTAACCATCCTAACCAACTTCAGAGGCGTGTCATGTTTGCAATAAACGCGGCGTTCTTTCCGTAGTGTATCCTATAACTTTTTAATATTTTATAAAAATGCTTGCTCTAGGACCCAAAAAAGACGGTGGACCTAACACAAAATTTTTTGAATCGCAAGAAGTTCTCACACAACTCGATGGAGTCAAGCAATGGCTCTTGAAAAACTGTAAAAAGGTATGTCCAACAGCCCGGCGTCTAAATCTGTGATAGACTATTCAACAATTTATGCACGTTATTAATACGTTTCAACACTGATTAGTTGTACAAGCTCATATAAAACCTCATTATAATCTTAGTTTATATTCTGATTGAATAGAAATGATAATAAATATATAAACATATATGTATGCAGAGATTTAGAATTTATTGTGTATACCTAGCCTACATGTTTTTGTATCTTTATTTACATTGTCAATGAATTTTTTATATTATACCTAACATAGAACTATTTAAATATTTTAACATATTTCTTTATATTATTTTTTTTCAGTATGTACAAACAGATCCTCCTACGAATAAGAGTTTAGCTACTTTAATAGTACAGTTATTACAATTTCAAGAAGATAATTTAGGAAAAAATGTTTCAAAACCACCAATGACAAGGCTTCCTGTATGTATTCAATGATCAATCTGATGAAATATTATTTTATAGACATGTAGATATGATATTACCTTAAAAGTATAAAATAATTCATGATATTTTTAGATGAAATGTTTCTTAGATTTCAAACCAGGAGGTGGCCTATGTCATATCCTTGCTACAGCATATCGTTTTAAACAAGAGCAAGGATGGCGGAGATTTGATTTTCCTGTTGGAAAGGTAAGCATTAATATTATATTATGTTAACAAGATGATTTTAATATAATATATAAAACATTTTATTTTTTTAGTCAGGATCTCGTATGGATAGGACAGTGGAAATGTTAATGGCAGCTGAAAGAGCCTTAGCACAAAATAGGTGTATGATTATACCAAGCGTATATGTAAGACCTGATGTAGACAAATCCACTGCTGCAAAAGTAAAGGAAATAGTTCGGCGGCATCAAGGTACCATAGCAGAAAATGAAGCAGATGCTACCCACATAATTTACCCTCCAGTAGATCCATTAGAAGAAGAATATGCACGTCCTTGTATGAGGCGCGAGAGATCTGTTCTGCTTCATTGGTACTATTTCCCGGATAGTTACGATTCTTGGACTAATTTAGATCTTCCATGGGATTTTCCGGAAGGTACGCTCACGAGTACGAGCATGAAATCCGTATACAAAGTATCTGCGACGTGGGCGTTAGATTTAGATCAGTATAATGAATGGATGAATGAAGAAGATTATGAAATGGATGAAAATGGTCAAAAGAAGATACACAAATACAGGTTATCAGTGGAAGATTTAATGGCTCAGCCATCTCATCCTCCACCTTCCGCGAAGAAACCGAAAAGAAAACGATCCCCTAGTCCACCTCCTAAATTGTCAAAACGTAAAAGTGGAAGAGCACCATCAGGTGTTCAGAGTACGTCGTCCTCGTCGTCACTTGCAGCGCCAAAAAAATCACGCGGTGGAGAAGAGGAGGATGATCTCACTCAAGGAATGGAAGATCCACCGGCGGAACCTCGGATCGTAGAAGTAGTTGCTACGCCTACAAACCCACCAGTTACTGGTCAAGGTAACGTTCCAACAAGTGGAGCTACGTTAACAACTACGGGAAGTAAAAAACAGGATAATGAACTTCAACCGCTGAAATCTGGTAACATGGCAGACTTGGATGAACCAATGGAAGGTGACAAGGGAAGTTCTCAAAGTACTCAAGACAGAGAAGAACGGGATACAAGTAAAGAAAGAGGAGAAGGCAATAAAGGAGACGAACCAGAAGACAATGTTACGGAACAAACGCATCATATCGTTGTTCCTAGTTATTCAGCTTGGTTCGATTATAATTCAATCCATACTATCGAAAAAAGAGCTTTATCTGAATTCTTTAACGGTAAAAATAAATCTAAGACGCCAGAAATTTATCTCGCGTATAGAAATTTTATGATCGACACCTACAGATTAAATCCCACGGAGTATATTACATCGACAGCCTGTAGACGTAATTTGGCAGGTGATGTGTGCGCAATTATGCGTGTACATGCCTTTTTGGAACAATGGGGACTTATTAATTACCAAGTAGATGCTGAATCCAGACCAACGCCTATGGGACCGCCACCAACATCGCACTTTCACGTATTATCGGATACTCCTTCTGGTTTGGCTCCGGTCAATCCAAACCCTCCAAAAACACCACAGCCTTCGGCTGCAAAGACTTTGCTCGATTTAGAAAAGAAGTCGAGTGTAATTGGACCAGAAGAAAAGGTATCAGCTGGTGCGATGACAAACTTCGGATTAAAGATTGATCAGTATTCAAGGAAACCCACGGTTTTAAAGAACAAACAAGCTGCTGGCGCTACGCGTGACTGGACCGAACAAGAAACACTTTTGTTATTAGAGGGATTAGAATTACACAAAGACGATTGGAATAAAGTTTGTGAGCATGTTGGTTCTAGAACGCAAGATGAATGTATTTTGCATTTCTTGCGACTTCCAATAGAAGATCCATATTTAGAAGAAGGCGGACCAGAAGGGTTAGGTCCACTGGCTTACCAACCGGTACCGTTCTCCAAAGCTGGCAACCCAGTCATGAGTACTGTTGCATTTTTGGCTTCTGTCGTTGATCCTAGAGTGGCAGCGAGTGCAGCTAAAGCTGCTATGGAAGAATTTGCAGCTATCAAAGATCAAGTACCCGCCGCGCTATTAGATCAACACTTAAGAAATGTTCAAGCTAGCGCAAATTCTGATGGTAATTAATCGTCTACGTTTCCTATTATAACTTTGAACGATTTTATTTTATAATGATTTCTTCTATGTAGGTAAGTTTGATCCAGCTGCAGGCTTAGCACAGTCTGGTATAGCTGGAACAGGACCACCCGAACCACCGGATGATGCAACGGCACCCTCAACAACCGGAAGCGTACCGTCGGCAGTAGCTACCTCTCCACATTCGGCAAGTTCGGCTTCGATAGAATCCAAAAAAGAAGAACCAGAAAAACCTAAAGAACCTGAAGTCGATCAAAACCAATTGGATATACCGAAAAAGGAAGAAGAACTCAAAGAAACGGAAGAGGATACAAAATCTGCTATGGATGCCGAGACGATGGAGGCAAAGGAAAAGAAAGACAAGGTAAATTATTATTTTGTTTTACTTAGTTATAAATTGTTATCATGTTTTTTGTTTCATTACTTCAAAAGGTGGTGCGAGACGCGCAACTTCAATCCGCAGCTGCCGCCGCATTGGCAGCAGCCGCTGTTAAAGCAAAACACTTAGCAGCCGTGGAAGAACGCAAAATTAAGTCTCTGGTAGCGTTGCTGGTTGAAACGCAAATGAAAAAATTGGAAATTAAATTGCGCCACTTCGAAGAATTGGAAACTACGATGGAACGGGAACGAGAAGGTCTCGAATACCAGAGACAACAACTTATTACTGAAAGACAACAGTTCCATTTGGAACAGTTGAAAGCTGCAGAATTTAGAGCTAGACAACAAGCGCATCAACGCTTAGCCCAGGAACAGCAACAACAACAACAAAATCAACATCCCACCTGGCAACCTACACCTCAACAACAACAGCAGCAACAACCACCCAGCCCGCAAGCAGCAGCTCAACAACCACCGGCACATACGCCTCCTCAACAGGCATAATTCATCTGTGAGTTATTTATAAATTATAGTTATTGATCGTAATAGAGTAATATGCCGTTAGCATTTTATTCAGAAACACGAAGGATGAAACCATATCTGTTTCTAATACCGGCTATATTATTTTTGCAATATAGATTATTTTCTCGTGCTAATGGTATTAATTGTTTACGTTTATTAAAACTAAATAACTTATGTTGAAAATAAGAAACAATTGAAATTGCAAATTGTCAGAAAAATATATCTGGGAAAAAATAAATTATAATTATTATATTTGTTATTCTTCTTTTTTTATGTTTCATTTACATCGTAGTACAAATTTCAATTTGTAAACGAAATTTATATAGATCTGTAACTGTATATACTCATTTGTATAAGATTATACGATGTTTTGCTCGATTTATTTCGTTATATCATAAGAAGAATGTTAGGATAATCTGTCAAGGTTTAAACTATAAAGCATGATTATCCACAAGTTCTAAAACTAAATCAGTCATGAGCCGTGCACATTCTGCTCCTCCACGAGGTGGTGCTCGCATATTTTGTTTTTCTTCCTTTGCTTCTGACTTTTCGTATAAATCTGGAGCGTCTTCGCTTTCACAGGTACTAATTGGCAAGATATCCAATGCGATACCAAAAGCAAATCGTCCGCAACGTCGCATTTCCTCGTTTAATCTATACATGATTAATAGTATCAAACTTAAATAAACGAAGATAGTAATATTTCAAGAACTTTTACTTAAGATAATTATTCTTTGTGAATAAAATTTGTAATGTATTACTTACAATTCCCACATTACAGAAGGATCTTTGGGTGGTTGTTTTGGATTAAGTATACGTAACGAGGACATTAAATGAAAATGGTAGTGCTGGAGAAGTTGGGTCATGTGAGCTCGTCTAATTTCTCCGGTTGTACAACAGTACAACAAAGTTGCAAGATCAAGGGCAAGCGAACCAACTCGAGTTAGTTGAAAATCGACTAAATAGACGACCTGTAAAGTCATAGCATTAAGCGTAATTTAAGAATTTATCCGATTGAATTGTAACATTTCATATTTTTATCTATGCGACAAATATAATGATCCATTATTTTTTTCTTTTTCTGTTTTAATACATTTTCATAAATAAAGTTATACTTGTGTACAAAAACTGAATTTATAAAATTCTCAACTACTTCAATAATGAAAGTCAGTTAAATAAGTTGGCTGTAACAAACGTAAGAATGTTTATTAATTCGTTATTACTATTTGTTTACTATTTTTCGAATGCAACTGGCGATAGAGAAAAAAGCGTAATTACGAAAAGTCTTACAAATTAATATAATAAAATTGAATTTAAAAAAAGGTCTGTTTTTGAATTCACTATTTATCCTTAGTTCCTAATGCAAGATAGTATATAAATGTTGATACTGAACTTTCAAGTAGAGATGTTGTTTAAGCTACTTAAAAAATAAGCGTACAATACTTACTTCTTCGTCCAGACTAGTATTATCTTTAAATAAAATATTATTTGTCCAACAATCACCATGACAAAATACTGTAAGAGGACCTTGTGTGGCTACTAATTCGCTCATAGTACGAAAAAATACTTCGTCGTCAAGAAACATTTGCAACTTTTCCATTATTTCTTCTCTCTTATATTCCATATGGCTAGGAAGACTATCCGACACCATTCTAATAGCATTTTTAGCAGCAACTTGATAATATTGACGATACCATTCTTCATTTTCTGGTCGAAAAAAAGCCTCTTCTATACCTTGACCTCCATTTGGATCCGTTAGTTTTGTAAATTCCTCCGGCCTTCATAACATGCAATATATATATTTATATTTATTTATGCATTTATACATGCTTACGTATGTATGTGTACATATTAATATACACATCAGATATTATAATGTCTGATATTAAGTCAATAATAATAAAAAAAAAATATTATTTGACTCACCTTAGTTCTCTGAAGGTCAAACTGAGTGCATGAAAACCTGCTAATGCTTTCAATACTCGTTTTAAATCATCAAGTTGTAACCCTTTCCTTCTATCTGCCATTTTAAAGCCTCTTTCTCGTAAATCCTCCATAGCGATGAGATCAATCTGTGCCGCATATATCTTAGCAACTCCGCTGAAAACTTGTTTATTATTTGCTTGTAACTTGTTCAAAGCTGGCCACACATACGTATAGAATGCTACTTCATTTCGGAAGAGTAACTCGCTTTTAAAAGCTTCACGATATTCTCTCGATCGAGGTAAAACTTTATAAATAATCGCAAGTTGATAATTAATCCATTTATCGTTTACTGTTCGTTTACGTCCTTTTGCTCGAACACGGTACAGCACAGATGTGTAATTGTCACCCCTTCCTGAGCCTGGTTCTTCTTCTAAACTGGTTATTTCTACGTCGGGTTCGTCTTTCGTTATCAATTCGCGAATAGAGTCCAACGTAAGACGCACCTCTCCTTTTTCGTCCATCATTCTAGTGATAATGACGAAAATTCCCTTCGAATATCCTTAAAAAACCTGTTGAAATTGCACGATTTCTATGATTCTTGTAGTCCCGTAAAGTTCCTGAATCGATAGTATCGTAACACTTGAACCTTTAAAGTGAACGGGTGAGTTACGATGTTAGGCTTGCAATGCAGGAAATAAGTATTTGAGTGATGAGAGAACAGTACCTCCCACTGCTATACAACTTAATTTATTAATCATACGTACCCTAGCTAGAGGGGCAAGGACATTAATACATACCAATCATGTATGCAATTTCTATACTTTGAATGACAAATTGATTGAAAATCTTGCGCATGAAACGCAAATTTAATAAAGAAATAATTTCAAATTCTATACATTTTAAACGGTTCACCTCGATGTTCTATTTTTAAATTGTATAAATAATAAAGAACAAGTAACTTTACAAAAGTTTTTTTGTTGTATTTATGCATAATTTTTATGATTTTGATACATCTGATGTATTCAGTTCTTCCTCCCCTATTAAATTGATCAATCTACTACGCTCTGCTTTTGTAAGTTGCGGAAGATTGTATAACTGCTTAGCCATTGCAACGACGTTTGGAAATCCGCAATTTAGACTGTATTCAATAACAAGCTGTAAAGAAACTAAAGTTATACATGTTCCGTTTTAGATTCAAACAAATAAAAGTAATTACAAGAAAAAATACGCACCAAGGCTGCTATAGAAGACTGCTTCGAAATACAGGTTTCAAACAGTTTTTTAGATTGATTTGGTGTCATTGTTGGTGTAAACAAATGTGTTTGTTCAATGGTGTGTGTCAAAACCTCAATACTTTCATTTATACGGTCACCACTCATTAATGCCATTGCTATAGAACCCGTTATCGCAGTTTCAACCGGCTGATATTCTCCTGGGTTATTCTCAATGTTGAGCTATGAATATGATATTCCTTATGTTTACATTATTGTATATCATTTTTACTATTATATTATTGAAATATAGTAGGTAAATAAGCATCCAACCTTGATAGTGTTCCAACAATTCCAAGCTGCATCCATAGTGACCGATCTCAAAGGTGAATCAACTGGTAAATTGTTTATATCCATCAATGATATTATACTAAGCTTCAATGAAATGTCATCATAACCAAACTCAAGTACATCCAACCATATCTTTGTTACGTAATTTGTTACATCTGTCTGTTTTTGTAGCGATAACTCTTTTACAATTTTGTTGTATAAGTTAATGGTTGGAATATATGTATTTGGAACCAACTTTTCATAAAATTCAAAGAATTCAGGAAGTGTACATGTTGATAGTTTTATTGACATATATGAAGTGTAATAGGTATTTTCCTGTCACATATGAAACATATTATAGAATACTATTATACTTTATAAGATATTATTCAAATATAAAATTTTATAATTTAGAGATAAAAACTTACTAATGCATTATCCGAAAGAAATTTATAGTTATCACCAGTTAGAAGCATTTTATGTACTATGTCAGCAGCATTTGGATTATAGAAAACAAAAGCAGCAACATACATAACATGAGTATAAAATTTAACATCATCTGGGTCTTGAAGCACAAAACGTTCTTTCGACACTTCATGTAGGATGTCCATAAAATATTGATACGATGGAGAATCTAAGAAAGTACATAATTTCGTATATAAAGTCACCATGCAAATAGTATAAATAAAACATACTTACCTTTAGCTCCAACTGTATTTAAAATATGATAATACGTAGCCAATGAATATTTTATATTTAATTTGTTAAATTCTTTCAATATGTATTTCATATGAGTTTCAGCTACGTCAGGTTGAAATCTAGCGATTACTTTAAGGACAGCATTCAATGTCCTAACATTTGGTTTCACTCTCTGTGTGTTCATTGTCTTAAGTATGTCATAAATTGCTTCAATGTTACCTAAAACTTTTTTACTCGAACCTTCTACAAACGCTGTGATAATATAATTGTAACTTGCAACACTAATGGGAATATTTTCTTTCTTCAATTTTTCAAATAATAACATAGCTTCATCTTTCTAAAAATACAAATATATAGTATGCTATACCATTAAAACATGTAGGTTTTTACAAATAATATAACTATGTTTTACCCTTAAGTATTTTGCTAAACCGCTTAACATAGCATTATGAGCTAAGGCTGCTGTTTCAGGATCTTGTTTTATTAAAAATTTATATATGTTTTCAATCATGTTGTTATGTCTGAAATATAAAGCTATTAAAAATAGTAAAATACACTTTACAGTATGTTTATCATTGAAATTGTTTTATTACTTACCGCCACATATATTGTTGAGGCTTATTATACCACTGTTCCATCGGAAATTCCTTAGATATAATTCTATCATTATTATAATATAACAACAATTCTAAAAGTGCTTGTTTTGTGGTATTGGAAACTTTAGCTTCTAATGCTTCATACATGGCAGCAGCATCCTGCACCTTACGTTCAGATATAGCGTTAATAAGTATTTCTTCTGACAGATTACATTTTCTTAAAGAAGGTGGTCGTTGGAATGCCTGCAAAATACAGTCAAAAGGAAATTGAAAGGACTTCTTCTAAGATTTATAAACTTTGAATTTTATAATTCAACTTTACTTTAATGGGTGGTTCAGAGAGATGCTTTGGAAATAGAATTCTATGTTCTCTTTGAATCCACATAGCTGTTCTCTTGCCTGATTCATATGCTAATGCATATATACGATAATGTTGTTTCTTCATTGGAAACAAAAAGGGATCATCTTGATACAAGTAATTAAATTTTGTCCCATTTTCTGGTACTGTACTTTCAATAGCCTTTAACAGAGATGAAGAAGGAAATACATGAGTACATAAACAAATTAATGAAGAATTAAATACAATAGCACATTTCATAATGTATTTACAGCCAAAATGTCTGTTGGTCCACGTTCTATTCTAGGTGGTATTTGGATTTGAGGTACTGATGATTGTAACCTTTTTAATTGGCACCATGAACCTCTGTAAATTGATTACTTTTATTAGCTACAAATCTAAATGTAATTTTATTTTCTTACATAAATTCGTATATTTAGGAAAGCAAATGTTGGTATATTACAATATCTGCTATAATTCAAAGATTGAACAAATCAATTTTCTTGAAAACTATATATTTACTAACCTAGATGATACGTATTTGAAGTGATTCATTATGAAACCTCTTAAGCTTCGTTTATGAGAAATGATTAACTAAATATCGTTCTAAATGTAATCACAGACATTTATACAAAACTCAATTTAGTCGTGCAATATTGTATACTTTCTTTTGAAAATACAATAAATCGTTCCAGACGTATATATAACACCAAGTCTGTTCAGCCTAAACCCCTTTATCGTTTATACCTATACATCTATTCGGTTGCCTACTCACAGGCTTTAACTGTTTTTTTTTCCTTCACCGTATATAATAATACAGTAAAGCAATATTAGAAATAAAATTGATACCATATATATTCATGTATAATTTATGTCATTTCCTGAATTTATACTTCAATATCAACAAAATTAAATTACGTGATGTCAAAATAAAATTGTCAATATTCTAATACATACTCTATTGTAAATGAATATCATGAAACAAATAAATTAATAGAATATAAAATTAAAATTTATTTCATTGCTATCATCAAAATGTTAACAAAAATTTGTACAGAAGAAGCACAATAACTTTAATATATTTAAAAATATCGAAACGAAAAAAAAGGTTTTCGTTCTGCAAATTTTAATGTGAAATACAAATTAAAGAGAAATAAGGAATTTATAATTTATATGTACTAATGTTGGGTTATTTCGTTAGTTAATCTGACAACTGTGATTAACACGCACATACGAATAAAATTGAAACGCAGTCATGAAGGAGCCTGAGTGTTTGATCAATTATAACACCGGCATCGCAATATAATATATGTAATATACACTACACTAAAAGATTTTGAACTTCTTTCGAGATGAAATAATTGGATACATGATTCTTCAGAGTTTTGTCATTATTTCTCATCGAACTCGTTCACGTAATAAATGGACATACATGACAGCTGCACAGCCGTATCTACGAGATAAAGATTTATTTCTTTCGACGCATTTATTGTTTAGCATATGAATGGTCGATGCATATACATGTACATGTATATACGCTCGTACATGAAGTGTACCCTTTGGCATATTACAAAGAATTGAATAAAGTTTATAAGGAAGCCAAAACCAGTCCGCGAAGCGAAGCAGTCCTCTCGCCGTGAGAATAAGCGTGCGCCTAAACGTGTTGCAACGTGGTTGTGTATACGTACACGTACGTATTCTATATGATGCGTACGTAGGGAAGAAGCCAGGTGTTTTATTTCAAACCGTGGGACTCTTAAAAGGGGATGCTTACACCACGTCTTCTACTTGAAGAATATGAATGGAAAACGAAATTCGTATTTCACCAGCCAACCGAGAGGAACTCGAACCCGACTACTTTTGTTGTATTTTCTTATTCGATCGTACGTAACGTAACCCTCGATTCTTTTTTCTCTACTGTGCTATTTCGACGATTTTCCTTTTTCCTTTTATTACTTTCTAACAACCGCAAGTTAAATAGCATTATGAGTTCTAGGTAACAATTTATTTTTATAAATAAATACAATGGTTATTTTTAAGGAATAGAGGTTATTTTCAATGCAGGAATTTAAATATAAAATGTTTTAACTGGCTCAACGTATTTTAGTAAAAAAAATTTGGCGAAAGAAGAAAGTGTTTTTGTCCCTTTTTTTTCTCGACATTTGTCTTCTTGTTTGATCTCTCTTTTAAATCTATAGACGTAAGATTTATTGACATTTAAGAATGCAGTTCACACGATACATGTTTTTGAAACAAATAGTTAAACTTCTTGTAAAAGCATTTCTAGAGATTTGCTGATCGTTTCGTTCTTTGAATTTGAAGTACGAAAGATATTAACTTAAAATATTTGCATTTTTTCGTAGTGTGTTGAAAAAGCGATTACCTCTGTAAATATGTAATAAAGAATATTTTCGACTACGACGTTAAATAAATTTAGGATGGTTATATAAAAAATATAACAATTTTGGCTAAAAACATATATATTTTATTATATTTCTTCTACAAAAAGGAAAATAATTAAATGATACAATTGTATGTACGATTATACACTTAAATAAAACTTAACATGTATGGTTTTTTACAAAATTTAAAGTCATGATTAACGAAATTTTTTTTCCATAAAAACGTCTACTTCCTAAACATTTCTTTTATTAATAATTTTACAATTAGATAACATCGCCAATATCTTTGTTCGATTTACTAAATGAAACTGATGAAAAGTCGAATGGATCCAGCAGGCCGGGACGAGTGCAATTTGATCCAACTACGACAAATTATGCCCACGTCCCAACCTGCCGGCATCCATCGATAATTTTCGCCAAATTAGTTGAACGTTGCATCCTCGTATATCCTTTGTTTATCGTTCATTTGTTTCTGCGCACTTCTCGACGAAATACAATGCATTCCGATAGGCCGGGACAAGTGCAATATTGAAAAATCGTATCAACACGAAACATTGTCACAAATCTCGGCCTATCTTCGATGCAAATCGTTGAATCTTCTTACGTTAACTTAAAATATCCTAGTAAAAAGATTTAAATGATTAAAATTTGAATCCGGGTTAATCCTTTGTTCAAAAACGTCTGTCGAGTATTAATATAAAATTACGAAAAGGATTGAATTTTATAAGTCTATGCAATTTCCCGAAAATGTTAGCGCGTTTATCTACAAAGTTTATAATACGCAGTTTTGTACAAGGTCTTTCCGATTCGGTCTTTGGATAATCAATTTCCAAATCAGAGTTTGCTTATACTAACACAATGATTGTTTAAATCATACGCAAACACAAATACGAGTTACATTACAAACATATACAATAACATAACAATTTAACGGTATTATACGTACAATCAGAAATGTATCATATTTCGATCAGGTTACAAACGGTCGTGTGCTAACATTGTTGTCTACACGAGTTCGAATCTATTGTTCCGTACGCGAATTTTATGTACAATCGGTACAATTGAAAATAAAATAAAACACTAATAAAACAACGATACTTTAACGTTGCCGAGAAAAAATATTATCATGCTTCAATTAACTCTCACGCAAGTACGCATGTATCTACGACGCACATTCGATCAAACGGTTCGGTAACTATGATTTTCGACAGACTGTTTTCTTCTTCTCCGCTTCGATGTTTACGAACACAATGTCAAAAGAACGAGCAAATTATGTGTTATCATAAACTTTATGCAACGATTTCGTCGATCGTTACAATACTATCGCGCACGCGGACACGTTTCGACGAAAGCACGTTACCGGTGTACACCCTAACCCCAAATCAAAACGAATGACGTCTTTCGCCGGTTGCCAATATCCCGCGTCTCTCGATTCTGCCCTCTCTCTTCTTCCCTCTCTCTTCTTCTTTCGTTGCGTTGAAAATCGCAAAAAACAAACGATTTGAATTTCTTGTTCACTGCACAACACTCTCGATAGGATACCGTGTAAGTACTTATGTGTGTCACGGCGCGATTTACGATGTAACAGCGTGACAAGGTAGACGACGTAGACAACGAAGATGACGAAGACAACGACAACGGCTGTAACAACTGCAGGAATCGTAACGATGCGACGAGAACTTGAGAAGTCGTTGTTTCGTTAAATTCGTACTTTTCAGGAAAGATGTATCCGCCGAGGCCGAGGAGAAGCCCGAAAGACACCGCACTTCTCTCGCAGAGAGTTCTGGACAAACTGCTGCCCGTGACCAGGTGTCTCCTCTCTTTATTCCTTTTGGGTCCCAAGAACATGAAAGCCCCCGGCTATATAGGTACCCCTTAGGGCCAATGGTGGGGGCTTATTCTTATTTAACAGCAACGAAGCAGGAATACCAGCAACAACCAACTTCGAAACCTCCCTCTTTTTTCCTTTTCATCCTTTTTTTCTATCTTTCTCTGTCAACTTCTACCTTCGATTCTTCCAACATCCTCCTATCCCCTCGCCTTTCTCTCTTTCTTTATACTTTTCTCATCCCCTCTATTGCTCTCTCCCTTTCTTTCTGCTCATCTCTTCTTTTCATGCGAGTACCCCTTCTTTCTTTCCATCTATCCTTCGCTCTTTCTTCGTCCTTCGCCTTGCAGCGCTTTACGGTGCAAATCCACCGGTAAAGCCCGCCAAAATTGTATCAGCTGTCCTGAATTTTGCTCCGCCTGTCAAGTACGTGACGTATATCGCTCTTCTTTTTCATCCATCTCTTTGTCAGGTAGGTATCCCATGGGAGAAAAAAGGGTCAGTCGAATCTTACAATGGTAAAGCTATTACAATTTATGCAGTGACGCTTTTTAGATTCATCTAGAACATCGTTTCGAAAATATCGTTTTGAAGTTTATGTTTGACATATACTTCAAAGATTCTGTATAACTTACTTTTAAGCGAAACGAACCACTTGCTGTGCGTACTGTTTTCGAAAACATCTTTCGTCCGATCAGGGCGTAGAACGTTAAAAATGATCATTTGAATACGAATGTATAGATTTTAATATCTTTTACTATCCGTGTAACCGTTTCTTTGATCGTGAAGCGAATGAATTTTCTGTACTCCTCGCACTTTACCTAAAACTATAACGTCGCATTAACGTCGAAATCGTTTTCTGTTTACCAACGAATTCTGTTAAAATTTTGCATAGATAACTCGACACACAAAAATCTTTTTAATTTCTTAACGAACCATTATTTATAACATTATACCATAAAGATTGAATAGTATTTAGAATCAATTTTATGTATAATCAATTTTCACGATATGTGTACGATTTATTGCAAGATTACTTCCATTTAAATCGAATACAACTACTAAATCCTTTTGTTTTCAGACAGATTCATTTTGACTGTATTGTTCACGCTTATCGTAATTGAATAGTCGCGCGTTAAATTTAGCATTATTTCTACGAATAGTGCAGGAAAGATAAACATGGTCGAGTCATCGTGACTTATCAAACAAGATGTTACCTTAATGCTACTTTTTCATTGAATCTGACACGCATACGCAAAAGAAGAAAGGAAATTGTAAAGAGGGAGTGATTGAGAACCACTTGTAGGAGGACAGCTGCCGTTGCGAGCGCATCTGCTGTCGGTTGCGCGGGCACGCGCGCTTACATATCCTTATTTCTACGTTGGTACATACTATACACTCTATATAGATGTACGCGGGTCGAACGCATACGGTACTCCTCCTGTTCTCCTTATTTCCACCATATTATTCCGTCCTTTTTTCGCCAATCCTTTCATTTTTCCTTTCCTTCCATATTTTTGTCCGAACATTCGCCCCTCTCTCCTCGCGCCTTTCCTTCTGCTGTACCTCCGTTCTTCTTCGTTTCGTTCGCCCGTTCGTTTCTTCCTTCCTTCCTTCGTTCGTTCGGTTGCTCGTTGGTTTCTTTTTTCTCACCCCTCGAACTGCGACATCGGAGCATTCGAATCCCGTTTTCAATATACCTTCTAGCAAACGTGTCTTCTTGTTGTATTGGGGGTTGACGGACCGTCATCTTCCCTTTAATACCGACCACGGTGAGGATTTATAGTCCGTGAGAGAGAGGGTCTACTTGTGTTTATGGCATATACGATGGTTGTCTGATTTCGAAAACCTCGTACACCTAGTTCATAATACCTATACAGGGCTTGTGCTAGCAGCAGGCTTTTCTACGATATATACGTAGCGGTATACGATGCAGCTTGCCAGCCGGTCAAATTTTCTTTGTTCTCATTGTTCACAAAATTTTCACTATACCTTTACGATGGTTATGCTTCCCAGAAAATTGTTCAGTTTCCCTACCGAGGGATTTTTCCATCTGTCAGCCTTGTTTCGCATTCGTTTTCTTTCCTTTTCCTCTCTTGTTCGTTCTTACGAACACCCTCGCGGGATTGTAAGTTCAGGTCCTTTGTCCCTTTGCATACCTGCTCTCGTTGAAACGAACTAACGTGATAGCAATCGCCCGATTCGCATAGACTTCTTCTAAAATTTACCTATTTCTAAACGATAAACGAAAATTAAACAAAATATACTACGTTTTAATACGTTTACGTTTTTTGTATTTTATTTTAAAACTTACCGACGACAGATTGTTATCTCTTGTGTCACTGACTGACTACAAGTAATTAAATATAAATTATTTTGTTCGTTTACCTTTTTATGTACTATATAGGTTAACGTCAGTAGTAATTCATAATGGAATCCGTAAAAGGACATGACCTTTTCTCTATAGTTTTGTTTTTGTTATCTTATCGAAGCAAGAAAAGTCTTCGAGTACATCGACGCATGCAAAAATGGCATTAACGTGCCGCGTGTGTTTCACGCTGCAAGGCCCAGATGGTAAGCGTCGAATCCCTTGGTTAAATTTTAACCACTGCTGCTTTTCAGACCACCTGTTCTATGCGTAGATCCAAGCTATTCGTATATAAAATTTCAAGATTACGAAAAAATCTACGCTAATAATCATAATTATAAAACAAAAGAAGCTGTAAATAGAATTTCATGAAATTTCCATGTTTACGTTAGACAGATTGCGACTGATATGTTTCTAAAACTATCAAATATCAGTCTAGTCGTATTTATACAATAAAAAACACTTTTACCATTTGTAACGATAAATCAGAGAGTATATGTACGTATACGTATAACGTACGTACTATGTATTGGCAAACGATCGTTCTAAACGACGTTACACTTTGGGACGGGTTTCAAAAGATCTTTGTTCGCGTTGAGGAAGTGGATCCCTGATCGAATTCAAATGTGTTCGTGCCTCATGTATACAAATACTTTATGTCGTGTGCAACAACCGGAAGTTGAACATACATAATGTTTCTAGGTGCGCCTGTTGTGCTATTTTTCGCTTCACTGACAAATAGAAACAATGTAACGATTAAACATGATTTAATGAATGTTTACGTTAAGGTTTTTATGTGGAATTAATGTATTTATTCGATTTTAAAAAGTAAACGACCTATATTTTTTTATACGTATTAACTTACCATTTTCCGATGATTTTATTGACGAATATTTTTTTAAAGGAATTGTGGTAAAGTTCAATGTAATAAAAATATTAAATATTAAAGAAACACTTAAATTATGTTACAAATTACAAATATAATTCTTTTCTTTTCAAATGAGTTTGTAATAATGAAACGGTGTATTGATAGTAAAATAGATTTCTGTCTTATTGATTGTAGGAATAGTCGGTAAGAATTACACACACGTGTAACCATAAAATATACGTACACATAAAGAAAAGTAGGCCATATGCCACAGACGCTGTGACTATACCCTTTCACTTTTAGGAACTACTTCTCTAAATTGCTTATGATGACAAAAGTAGAAAGCATTTCGTTTAAGTTACCTGCATCTCCAAAAGAATTGTTATTAATCTATTTGTTCCAAGTATCAAAGTGAAATATTTCAAATATTATGCAATTGATTGAAATTAAATGGTTTATTTAAAGCGCCACATTTTATATTTTGAACTGAAATATTTCTCAAAAGTTTGATATTTTCGTAGTAAATTCGTTTTTTTCTTTGTAACACGATGGCCAAGATAAAAGATAATACCGTTCAGGTAGTATTTATTTCCTTACTTCTGGATCTTTTGGCATTTACTATGATATTACCATTGCTACCAGCTTTATTAGATTATTATAAGGAAATAGAAAATGATCAAAGTATGTATTTTAAAATTTTACATTACATACAAAATACAAGGAAATTTTTTTATGCACCTGACAAAGTCAGCACAGTACTTTATGGAGGTTAATATATTTATTTTCTTGTTCATTATTCAAAATATCAGTATATTAATAAATATAAATAAATAAAACCAACGTAAATATATAATTTAATTTGTAGGTTTTCTTGGATCTATGTATTCCTTTTTACAATTTTTGGGGTCACCAATTGTAGGAGCACTATCAGATATATATGGAAGAAAACCATTGATGATGTTTTGTTTAATAGGCATTACAATGTCTTATTTATTATGGGCACTTTCATTTAACTTTACTATATTTGTGTTAGCAAGATTTGTTGGTGGTATTAGTAAAGGAAATGTTAGTTTATCAATGGCTATTATCAGTGATGTTACGTCACCAAAAACACGAGGAAAAGCAATGGTAAACCTGAATATGAATTAAGTACAAGAAAAAATGCAATTGAAGATAAAAATATAAGTGATAATTCAAATAATTAAATTCTTTTTGTCTTCTAGGCACTTGTTGGTATAGCTTTTTCAATAGGTTTTGTTGTGGGTCCAATGATAGGAGCATTTTTTGCATGGATTTCAAGCAATAACAGAGAAGGAGCTTGGTATATAATACCTGCTATATTTGCTCTTTTTCTAGCAATAAGTGATTTATGTTTTGTTATTTGCAATTTAAGAGAGTCTTTACCATTGGAACGTAGAGCAAAGAGTCTAATATCTGGTGTATCTGGAATTGTTACTTATATTAATCCTATAGATTTGTTCCAATTTAATGGAGTATCCGGTATAAATTCACAAGGTGAAATTTCTTCAAATTACTAAATTATGAATATTATAAAGGAATTACAAATATATAAATAATTTCAGACAAAAAGAACTTAAAAACACTGGGTTATGCATATTTTATGTATTTATTCATCTATAGTGGGTTGGAATTTACCTTAACTTTCTTAACTCATTATTTGTTTGAATTTACAAGCATGCAACAAGGATGGATGTTTCTGGGAATTGGATTAGTTATGGCAATTTTACAAGGAAGTTGGGTACGAACAATTCCATCTAATAAAACAAAGTCTGCTGTAGAATTGGTAAATATTGTTAATGTTTAATATAAGTATTTATGTCTTTGTTGACTTCTTTTGAAGAAATCAGGTGTAATTTTATATTTTAGGGCTTATGGCTGACAGTTCCAGCATTTGTTTGCGTAGGTTTGGCCACTGATATATTAATGTTATCTATTGGATTACTTCTATTTGCAATTTGTGAGTGCATCAAAATATATATATACATATTTATAAGCCACATACAATGTATGAAAGGAAAAAATATTTAACATTTCTGTTTGTTTGTTAATCTGTCTTACAGCAACTGCCATGGTTGTTACTTGTATGATGACACTTGTTACACGTATTGGACCTGATTATCAAAAGGGCACAATAACTGGAGTTTTCCGTTCTTTGGGAGCATTAGCTCGAGCTTGTGGACCTATTGTTGCTTCTATAGGTAAGTGCAATGTAAGTAATTATTTATTTAAAGTGCTGTATCGAGAGAAGTATTTTTATTTCAGCTTTTTGGTGCATTGGTAGTAAAACTACATATCTCATTGGAGCTGTACTTCTTATATTTCCACCTGTTATTCTTCAAAGGATAAAATTGCCTTAAGTAACAGTATTTATATATGTATTTGCATTTTTAAATTTCAAACGAAGAGACTTTTACCAAGATTTTTGATGTACTTTATAAGTATTTAAAAAAGTATTTTTATATATTTATCATATTGCTTACTGTATTATGTTTTGATAATGCGTTTTAAACTTTCTATACAGTTGTATAGTTATTTTTCTACTTATACATCCATTTTTTACAAAAACATTTAAAGTAATATATACAATATACATTCACAAATGAATGTTTCTGACTGTATCATAAATGAATATCTATGTAAATAGATAATTATACATTATGTCAAGTAATTTATACAAAAATTTGAGAAAAATAACAAATGTTATGTAATGATTAAAATAAAAATGATGAAGTGATAACAAGGGTTGTTAAGCTTAAAGATATATATAAGTACATGTGTAATACATTTACAATTTCTCTCCATTTGCTACGTTCCTGAGGAAATCATGAATTCACGCAAGCGTGATTGGATACTTGGTCATGTGACGTACCCTCTCCCCTTGGAATCGCGCCATTTACGGTAAGAAATTCCCGGAATTCCTCGTTCGCGGCACTTCGTCGTTGTCCGCGTTGATGAGAATACAGTGAAGGGGGAAAGTTATTGATGAGATTCGCGCGTGTGACCGGTCGCCGTAATCATTACGTTTACGATTATTGCGCGGTGGAGTTTGTTTGATCGGTTCAAAGGTTACATCCTGAACAATTGAGCCAAACTGAAAGAAACAAGTAACAGAATATTACATTACTAAAGAGTCCTAGTTGCTTTTGTCTTCGGACTAGCAGCAGGTGAGTGCAACCAATTCTTGAAGAGAATATCTTTTGCTTTTGCCCCTCCCGCTTATCTATTTACGCGTTACTGCGATACGTCACGTTCTCTTATTTCTAAACTTCAATGTCATGTTCCTTGTATTAAATTTGATCGAACAATTTAATTATCGGTATAATAATTTCTTGAATTTATGTCGATTTTTCCAATAATAGTAGATAGTAATAGATATCTATAATTCCTGTATCGTTTATTTAGGTTTCGGAAGTCTGTGTCCATTTTTGAAACATGCATGCCTTGTACCGACTTTATTAATTTTTTTTATGTAGTTGATAAATATTGTATTTATACGTTCTGTCGAAACATCAATAATACCTTATAGTGAATATGTTTCCTCATTTATGAAATATATGCATATAAAAGTAAGAAATAGGTTTGGAGCACATTGTCCATTTATGGTTACAGTAATTGATTATGAACTTAAGGACTGTTAATGCTTTCAGTAGAAGTATTGTAAATTGATTGGAAATGGCATTGTCTAATAAATAACTTCGTAATTTATTTAAGGTATAATAGATATCACAATGTCATTGTGGGCAAAAGCACAGCAATTGCCACAAGATGCATTGCAGCAAGTGCGTTCAGTGTACGGAGAACACTTCCCAATTGAGGTTCGACATTTTTTGTCTTCTTGGATAGAAGAAAAAATGTGGTAAGCTATTGTGCATAAATATTTATTTATTATATATGAATATCATTATTTATTAATAATTATATTATAGGACTGACATAGAACCTGATAATCCACAGTATGAACAGTACACTGCTAATCTTGTTAGATCTTTAATACAAGAGTTAGAAACAAAAGCAGCTTCGTTGAATACAGATGATATGTTTCTGACGAAAATTAAGTTGATGGAAGTTGCCAAAAGTTTTCGTGTAAGTTCTATAATAAAGTGCTGACAAGTAATCTATATTATATAATTTGTTCATATTCTCTTTCTTTTTAATACAGCAAAGATATTCTCATAATCCAGCAGCACTATTTAGAATAATTAGACATTGTCTAGGCACAGAAATGAAATTAGTAGCTCAATTGGAGAATTTAGGTGGTGCTTTAATGACAATGGCAGGCGGAAAAGTAGGACTGATTAGTGACGCGGTTGCTGAAATAGCACAGCACGTTGAATCATTGCGGCACAGAACACAGGAAACTGGAGAAGATTTACGGAAAATGGAACAAGAACAAGAAGCATTTGCAATTAGTTACCATGAATGCACTAAATTAAATGCACATCTTCAACATCTTGCAACACAGCCACAAAACCAACCAAACTTAGATTTGGAAAAAAAGATTAGAAGGTAAGCTTATCTTTGATTAAATAATTAAAAATTAATTTGGTGATTTAATTCGAACAATATAAAAACAAAAAATAATTACTATAGACAAAAGGAACAACAAGAGCAATTATTGAATCATAAGATAGCTGGCTTGATGCAATTACGGTTGACATTAGCAGATAAACTAAAGGACACTATTACAAGATTGAATAGTTTACAATCCAGAGTTTTAGATGATGAACTTATTAGGTAAAAATTTGTTCTGCTTCACCTTTTGTTTTAATTAATTTTACACACATATTGAAAGAAAAATATTCTGTAGGTGGAAAAGGGATCAACAATTAGCAGGAAATGGTGCACCATTTAATAGTAATTTAGATTCAATTCAAGAATGGTGTGAAAGTCTAGCAGAATTAATATGGCTTAACCGTCAACAGATTAAAGAAGCAGAACATCTGAAACAAAAGTTTGCATTGGAACCACCTGGCATGCAAGATATTCTTCCTACATTAAATTCACAGATTACCCAACTTCTCAGCTCATTAGTTACAAGTACATTTATTATAGAGAAGCAACCACCACAAGTGATGAAGACCAATACTCGTTTTACGAGTACGGTGCGTCTACTTGTAGGTGGAAAATTGAATGTTCACATGACTCCTCCACAAGTAAAAGTGAGCATTATTAGTGAAGCTCAAGCAAATGCTTTATTAAAGAGCGATAAAATGGCAAAAAATGGAGAGGCTAGTGGTGAAATTTTAAACAACACAGGAACAATGGAATACCATCAGGCCACAAGACAGCTATCTGTAAGCTTTCGTAATATGCAGCTAAAAAAAATAAAAAGGGCGGAGAAAAAGGGAACTGAATCTGTGATGGATGAAAAATTCTCGCTTCTTTTTCAATCACAATTTAGCGTTGGAGGTGGTGAATTAGTATTTCAGGTTTGGACATTGAGCTTGCCAGTTGTAGTAATTGTACATGGAAACCAAGAACCACACGCCTGGGCTACGGTTACATGGGATAACGCATTCGCTGAACCAGGAAGAGTACCATTCGCAGTACCTGACAAAGTCCCATGGGGTCAAGTAGCCGAAGCATTAAACGTTAAATTTAGATCAGCAACCGGTCGTTCATTAACAGAAGATAATCTCCGGTTTCTTGCGGAAAAAGCATTTCGTGGTGGAATTGCTAATGGACAAGATTATTCTAGTTTACTCTTAAGTTGGGCCCAATTTTGTAAAGAACCATTACCTGAGAGAAACTTTACATTTTGGGAATGGTTCTATGCCGTTATGAAATTAACTAGAGAACACTTGAGAGGACCTTGGATCGATGGTTACATATTAGGATTCGTAAGAAAGAAGCAAGCAGAGGAAATGTTAGCAAATTGTGCATCAGGAACGTTCCTAATGCGGTTCTCAGACTCTGAACTCGGTGGAGTTACCATCGCTTGGGTTGGAGGTAATTCTTACATATTTAATATTTTATTTTGCGTTTAACTTACATTCGATCGATTTTGTTTTGTTTTGTCTTTTAACATATTAAATATTTTGCAGATCAAACGGAAGTCTTTATGTTACAACCCTTCACAAGCAAAGACTTTGCAATTCGCAGTTTAGCAGACCGTGTATCAGATTTACAACATTTACTTTACCTTTATCCGGATTTATCAAAAGATCAAGCATTTTCCAAATATTATACACCATTTACAGGTAAATATTTTATTTTCATGTTCCATGTTTGCTCGTTTTTTGATGATGCTTTTGAGTATAAATTATGTACAATACATTTTGTCGTAGAAAATCAATCTACGTCGACAAATGGATATGTAAAACCTTTGTTAGTAACGCACGTACCTGGTTGGGGTGGACCGGGTGTTGGTGGTCAAACACCATCGCATTCTTCTGTTGTCGGGGTAGGGAGTAGTGGTCAAAGTGGTCCGGGTGGTAGTTATCCTGCAACCCCATCAACTATGTTTCAAGCGCACAGTCCTGATCCGTCCGTAACACGCGACACTCCATCGGTGGCTTCCAGGTCAGTCCCCTGGATCTAAAGTATCAATCATTTCTTTTACTCTTAATAAAATAGGCTGCCATAGTTATTTTATATAAGATGTGCAAAGATTCTTTCGACTTTCCTATAATGCATTTAAACGTTAATAAAGTATACTTAAAATTCGAGCCTGAACATTTAAAATTAATAACTATATCGTAATTCCGGTGACTGTGTTATAAGACTACTATACCATCTTGTCAGTACTGTCATATCAATACTGTGGATAATAAGTTTTCGCAAAAAAAAAAGGAAAAAAGAAACAAAAACATTCCTACAATGAATATATACTTTGCATGTCTTTTACATCTGATCTGTGCACATAATGTCAGTATTGTTTTTTATGTTCTGCTTTTGCGAACGTTTAGCAAATATTATAGTTTGCAATGATATTGTAGTTTGGTATTTTGTAAACTTTTCTTACGGAATTTTGAAGTTTTTATACTACTGTATGGTGAAATGAAAGTATCAGTAATGTTAAGTTGTATTTGTGCCTGTAATTAAGAAAATTATACATGTCGGAGAGTACTGGATGTCTAAAGACAATTTTTGTGAAATCGTGTAACAATGAAAATGTATGTGTATACATATATACCGCGTATACTTCAGCAAGTATACGAAACTTATCGAATAACTAGTCTTTCACTTTTTTTTTCTTTCGTGATTAATTTCACTTTTATTAGTCTCCGTATCACCCAGCACTCTGTTCCGATATGATAATTCGTTTCTTATTGATAAGTATACGTTTAGTATTAAGTGGCATCGTTAAAGGAACACGATGTATTCTATAATGCCATCATTTAATATCCAAAGTCCTCCGGATGAAAATCTTGTATACTAGCTATACAGGAAAAAGATGTTCTTAGTGAAAATTGATAAATAATGCGTATTGTTATGCATTTGATGGTGCTATATTATAGCGTAGCTGAATAATACGTTAAATTCGATTAAAAATTGCTTAAAAAGCAAATTATGTGTAATAAAATCCGTCCAGCGGATATAGTAGATAAATGGAGGATTTTTGGATCTGAGGAGCAACACTTTTTAGCCGTTGATAATGTTTTCGATGTTTGCCTTTCCTTTTTCTCTTTCGATGTTTCTTTTATAATTGACAATACATAGTTTGTAACACGAACAGCGAGTAACAACCAGAGGTTAGTTAAGAAATAATAGTTTGTACTATCTTCTCAGACTGCCAAATTTTTTATGTCTTTTTTTATGTCTTTAGAAAGAGAAACGGCTTATCCATGGCATTAAAAAAAATTGATTATCAAAAGCTTATACTACATTCGTAGTATTGTGTATGTATATTTATATACGTGTGTGAGTACGTACGTACGTATATCTTGTTACACGTGAGTTCGTACGAAAAAAAAGAAGTAAGATATCAATAAGTGAACAAAACTAAATCATAATGCAAGTTTGCGCATGTGCAAGGTACTGCTTAACAAACGAGATTCCAAGAAACGGAAGGCAAAGGCCTGGAGCAAGCCGGTACAACCACAACAACGGAATATTAAATGCTTAAATGCAACTGCTGATCAAAGACGCAGCTCCAATCACGATGCATTGTAATTACATAGTTCAATTACTGGCAATGTAGATACTCTAAAGGTTTTGTTACGAGACGGTGGCAATAGAATCGTTCCGGGAATACAAGTACATATAAATACGCGAGTATGTGTACATACAAGGGTTGGGCAAACGATAATGTCAAGTGACTGATAAGTTCCAGTTGGGTCGGGAAACTTTGTGGTTGTTCGTACATCCTTTGCCGTGTTGTACCGGCTAATCCGGCTGATCGGTCACACGTTTCGTCGAAACCATGTAGACGTTCTTAGACATTGAAAGTAGTACAGATGTTTTAGAGCGACATGAACAAAATTGTAAAGAAAAGAAATCGAAGAGTAAAAAAAGAATCGCATTACGGTTTCTTGTATATGTTTGGATTTAATACAAGGCCGTTGTCCATTACTATGCCAGTGATTGGGGTTGTGTTTTGATTTGTGGTAGCTACGCTCCGGGCCTTGGCCAGTCAAGCGTTGGGCGAACAAATGCGGACATGGACTATGTGGAGCTGATGGGTCACGGCGAGCTGCCCTCGATCGACGAAAATCTCAACTTGGACCACTTTAATGGCTTTAGCTTCTCCGAGTTCATACAATCGTACAACGCTAAGCCGCAATAGGTATGTCAGGCGCGATATATTTCTCTTGTACCTACGTGTCGATTAAACGTCTCTTAACATCACTTTCATCTACTTTTTATATTGTACGTATGTTATTCGGCGGACGTAATCCGTGTTTTAGATTGCTGTTTTTAAGAGGGGAGGGATGTAAAAATGGTCTAATCGTCTTCAACGTTATCGTTTTATCCTTTTAACAGAGCATTACATATCTTCAATTATACCGCATAAGTGCAATATATCTAGAGAAAGTTATCTTAGTACCTTTTATGGATGATCGAATTTTAAAATTGCTGTTTACGCATTAATGTTATCCGGTTGCATATTTTATATACGGGTACGTGTAACATTAAGCATCGTCTTACGAAGAGCTTAAAACAGGTTGTTTATCTTTGTTTAAATATAATAATTCATATATGATAGTTCTTTTAAACGTTTAAATCGAATCGACTACTTCAAGCTATTATTTCGAGTTGATAATCGACGTCTAAAATTTATCTTCTTGTTTTCATTCTTGAATCCCGTGGAATGCGTTGACCCCTCTGACTCAACATTGTCGATAGAAATTTCGTTGTAAAAGAATTTTCATAATTTGCGCTCAAATTGATTAATATTTGAATAAGTTGCATAACAAGTTTTTAGAGAAAAGTTTGAATGACTAGTCGCGAAGATTAAATGTGAAAGAATGTGCAGTACTAATTAATGAAAATCCGAGCTGTGAAAGCCTTAAGAACCTTTTCAACCTTGCATAGTATCTATCAGATCATGTTCTAGTTTTAAATATATATATATATTATATATATTACATATATTATAAAGCGCTATGTTATAACACTTTTATGGAATATATAATTTTAGATTTTTGTTTTCCTTTCCTTTCTGTCATGCCGAGTTTATACGTTTAAATCGTTGCATTTCGTTAAAAGGAAAAAGAACAAAAAATTAATGTTTGATACGAAATATAAATATTGAATGTGTTGAGATGCGTGTGAGTACAAATATGAAAAAGCACATATAAACAAGTTAACTAAAATAAAGAAGCTAATTAATTTTTAGTATCGCGTGCTTTCTTTCATTTTACATTTTAGAAATGTTCACGTTTAACAGCTTCTGTTCGTGTGTATGTTTTTAATCGAAACGCGTTCGAGGATCCACCAGAACGGATGCTCTGTTGTCGGTTATTCGGAAGAAAATGCAATGCGAGAGAAGTAACGCATGGTCTAAACGTCGATCGACAATAAAATCGGTATGATGAACATACAGACAATCATTTCCGTGCAGTCATGTAAATAGGAAAATTGCAATGGACAAAGCTTTTAATTCGAACGATGGGAAAAGAAGCGAATAAAAGAGTTACAGGGTTTGTGCAATGCTACGAGTGGAAATATACACGTTGCGTGATTTGTGTGACCTAACTATGTGCCTTAAGATCTTCGAATCAATACGGTGATTATATTTTTTGAACATTCTTACGAAAATTTACACGTGTATTTTTGGTAGAATTTTTATTTGTCTCTGCGACGGTTTTCAAAGATTATATTCAATCAGAGAGTTTTTAGAATGTCAAAATTAAATATTATCTTCGGTTCGAAATGTTAGATACGTTAAACTATGTATATTTTCGCTATATTTCTTAACTCTAAGCATCAGAAAATTTCTATCGTCGAATTAAATAGATGAATATTCGTTCCCTCCCCTGTAGTTCGTCCATCATCGAAATTTATCAATTGTTACGCGTAAAGTATCGATGTATGCTAAACCTTATCCTGTATAGGATTAAGCTCGTCGTTATCTTCGTTATTCTTCTAATATAATATACCATAATAATATAGATACATATATATATTATATATATGCAACTATATATATAATGTATATATGTTTATATATGTAGCGTACATGTGTATATATATATTATATCTATACGTACGTATGCATGTGTGTGTGTATGTACGTATGCAATGAGCTAAATTTTTGGAAAGTGTACGTTAATATTGTCTATTGATCTTTTATCAAAGATTAGAGTTTATTTTATTATTGAAAACAATTTTACCGTTTGTAAAAGATATACGTTATTATTACTCTTATTCGACTTGTACACAGTAATTAATATATAAGTGTAAAATAAAATTTTGTTCGTACATCGATTTACTGAATAAAATAGGTTTCATTCAATTTTCGAATTTACTTTGCATCATCAGTGCGTTTTAATTCACCGTACTATTTAAGAATCTACTTGATCTACTTCGTCTACTTGGAGACGAAGAAATTCTATGACGAATTTCGACTCGTGAAAACACTTTAAGTCCTGCAGTCAATTTCGGCCTTCGGAGAAGCGTTTACTTGTTCCGCCAAAGGACACACGTCTTTAGTCTCTAAACAGTCGCATTCTTCCGGTATGCAAACATCTTCGTAATATCCAGGTGCAGGATAGCTAACGTGATAAATGGTATCCGAACACATGGGAGCTGTGGGTGGTTGGTATCTGCCTTTAGTTGCCCATGGCATCTCTTCCTTGCGAAGCGGTGTCCACGGTTGATAGGACAATTTACTCACAGTTTCGGAATCAATTTTGTCTTGTAATCTAAAGAAAAACAGGAACGTGGTTCTAGTATGTATAATTGAACGATTACCAAACTATTTTACCTGACGTAACGAACAACGGGTTTGAAGCTCTTAGTCATTTCAATTGCTTCGGGTTTCATGTAAGATAATTTTGCTGTTGTTTTATCCTCTATCGGTGTATCAGCGCTTCGAAGATTATTACACGGAATAACAGGATCAGGTCGTTGCGCTGCTTTAGCGTGAAAGTCGCAACGAGTAGTAGTCTCGCTCTGCATCGGACCATCTCCCGTCATTTTCTTCTGCCGTGGTAATATCGGAGCTCGTTTCTCGCTTTGAACCGCTTGATAACTTAACTAAAAACGAATCGGAAAACGATCGATTAAAAGAATGCAACAAACAAAACGCGTTGTAACGTTGCAAGAAACGCGTACTTTGGTTGTTGTATCTCCGGATATTTTCCCATCGGCTTTTGAAATACTGGGACAAGGAATAATTGGCGCTACGCGTTCGATACCATCCAGTTCTAAATAGCTCTCCTTATAAATGGTTTTCCTCTCAAATTGTCCCTCGTGTGGAAGTAAAGAAATCGTGTCAGTAGGTCGTATAGGTTTTTCCGTACATGACTCTTCGTTTTTCAAGTAGCTTTCCGAATACGTTGTCCTCCCGCACATGGCTACTTCTGGAGGGCTTTAAAAATTTTCGTTACTTTTAATTCGAATACAGACAAATATTTTTATACATATGTACTTGTAAATTGGTTTCTGTTGCCATGGATGTGTTTCTTTCTCTTCGATACAGACAGGTTGATAACTCAACTTCTGTGTAGTGTCGTGAGGTATTGGTTCGCTGGGTGGGCAGTAGATCCTCATCGGTTTAAAGTTAACCGTGGGTTCTGTGGGTCCTGGATCCACGTAAGATAATTTTGCGGTGGTATTTGCCTCCAATTTTCCTGTGCTCAAACGAATGTTTCCACATGGCACTATGGCTTTTGACTTTTCCACATGTTTCTGCGCGTAATCGTGCCTAACGGTGGTGACATTGTCCATAGGACCTGATCCAATCATCGACCTAAAAAGAACAAAATTGTTTCAATTACTTTTACTTGCTTTTTCAAATAAAATAGTAAAACGTACCTGTGTCTGGGTAAAATCGGTTTCACTTTAGGAACATGTCCTATGTGCTTGTAGCTCAAGTTGTTTGTTGTATCGCCAGAAATTTTTCCCTCGAATTTACTGAGAGCCGGAGTTGGACGAATTGGACGACACTTGCTACGACGAAATTCCTCATTATCCAAGTTCAAGTACGACAAGTGATACGTAGTATGTGTTTCGAGCAACTTCGAAGGAGGCTTATAGGTTGGCACAGGTGCGAATGATTTTGCTCGTGCCGGTTGCACGTATCTGCTTGTACACTAAATACGGGTGAAATCATTGATAGAAGAGGAGCCTTTCGATCACAGTATCGTGTCGGACTAAAAATAGATTTAACGTTACTTTAACGTTACATGGGCACGCTAATGGTTTGCGATATAAAGGTTGTTTTATTTTCGCACAGGTTTCCACTAATTCCATGTTGTTAATATTATAGTTGTAACTATTACTAGCTAAATAAACGATATAGATCCGCGATCTAAATTGAAAAGTGTTGCGATATAAAATACAACGATATAAAAGAATAAAATCGTAAATGTCAACTTTTGTTACATGTTGCGATTCGAATAAAACGTAAAATTTGATGACACGCGTGCTTCGAAATTGGCCTTGAGTCAATGCATTTAAACAGAAACAACTTCAATGATAAAAATCGATACTGCATCGATAATTGAAATTTACGAAAAAAGTTGTAACAAAAATTTTGTATCTTAGATTCTAATAGAAAATTTATTCCTTTTTATGCTCATCGATTAAAAATATGTCACGTAGATTACGTAAAATGTTTATTTTAAACAATAAGAGTATGTCTTTTCGCTATTAGATCACAGTCCACTTCTTTTTCTTTCTGAGATTCGACAGCGTCTAGTGAAAATGCGTATATCGATGTCTTCTATCCATTAACATGAATTAACACGAAACGTTGGAAGACTTAAAAAAACGTACAATGCGACTATCGTGATTACTCGCGTTTCGTTAAAGGGATATTGTTATAGGTGTAATTATAAAACGCTATTATCTACGTTCACTCGCCGCTTGTCTCACTTTTCCACACGAAGCATATCGAAAAATATTCGTTTAATATTACATATATTTACTGTATACAGTATAATTATACTATGATTGATATTTATATTCAAATCGAAAGGAAATATTTTAGATATAAGAAAAATTAAATGTAACCGTCGATATATCTAGAGGCTGTAGATTAGAACTCACTTGTTCAAAAAGAGGTAGCGATGTGTAATATGTAAAATTAAAAGAGAGACAAAACAAATAATAAGATGATACTTGTGATGCACCGAATAGTTCTTTTCAGTCAACGCACAGGGCTAATGCCGCAAGCACTCGACGATTTTTTTAACACCAAGAGAAAAAGGGACTTTTATTCTGGAAGCGCTGTGTAAACGTATCAGAAAATGAAAATAATCTTGGTGCTCCATTTCCTTTGGCCCTGTAAACACAGTGGTAAGATTGATATTCATTTTCTCTATTGTATATATGTTGTATAGTAATGTACTTGAGAATAAATACTTTTCAACGATCACAGCAGGCATTTGAACCAGTTGTACAGGACTTTTAGCATCCTTTAAAGCCTGTTGTAAATTTAAGATCTGACCACGCATGACGCTCATCTGTTTATCGAAGTGATGCCGATCGAAGCCTTTGTCTTGCTACAAAAACAATATTCAAATTGATATAATCGTCAAGTTTCGATTGCAGTAATTTAATAGTTAGTTCATGTGACTTACCTTAAACAATTGGTACAAGTCGTCACAAAGATCTTGTACAAAATTCTGATCTGAGAGCTGTGGCAATACAAGTTCTCGCGTTACTTCGCTAAATGGTTGTTTCGCTTGACTCAACCATGCCCAGTGATAAGGATAGGCCCGCCAGGAGTCAGGATGTTTGAAAGGAAAGGCCAAACCATTGTCTATAGCGGCAATTTTTACTTCGCCTTGTTCCTGTCGATTTTTTCCTACGCCGCTATCGTACTTAATTAACCAATTATCGTTACCTTTAAATTGGGTACCAATATTTTTATCAACTATAAGTACATGATAATATTGAAAGAAATCTTACAAATTAAATACCTCTGTCTGTATTCCTTATTATATAGTCTAGAATGACTAAACGTTCGAATTGTAGTTGAAATTCCCTAGCGAGACGCGGTGATAACGGCTCGCTTTCCCATCGTCTTAACCAGTAATCAGCATCTTTATAACCGTCTACAAACACTTGAAAAGAACCAACTTTTGGTGGTAAACCAATGCGATTAAAATGGGAACCCACTGTAGGGAACTGGTCCATAATGGCTTGCTTCATACGAGCTTTTTGACGGTCTAATCGCGGGTAGTTAAATGTTTTACTGACCAATTTGACTACTCTAGTGTTTGGAACTATAGCCAAACCTAATTTTCGGTCAACTAAGCTTGCACCCGCTTCGCTGAGATATCCTTGATTTGGAATTAAACAACTTCGCCCAAAACAACAAGGACAACACAGCTTGTGCATCCATTTTGTCCACTTTGGATTTAACCTTCCATAAGGTTCTTCATCTTTTGGTTTAAAAACACCTATTATCTTCTGTAAAACAATGTTGAGTAACTTATTATTATTACATAATGGAAAGATATTTTAGTTTATTTGAAGAACTTTTTTAATGTACATTTCAATATATATTAAGTTTTAAATAAAACAAAAGAATTATACCTTACCCCTTGAGGATTTTTTACAAAATAACTTCCACTGGAACCTTGATATATCCTTTCAGGAAAGATTCCATTATCTATCGCACATTCAGCTTGCCATACTAATTCGGAAAATTGGGGATCATCTGAAAATTAACAAACAGGCATTAACCGATATTAATAAAATTGAAAATAAACAACATGAAAATTATATTTTCATTAAATTTATAACATACCAGGAAAACGATTAAAGGTAACGTCAAGCTCTAGTCGACCAAGGAGAGGCTGGCTCTCCCGGTCAATTCCAGGGGAATCAATGGCTGTAGTTTGTTCGTTGCTTAGATTAGGAACAAACTCAACGTCTGGTATTAATTCTGAACAATCGTTGTTTACTGGTAAACAATTATTAGATGTAGTTGAGAGGTCAACCAATGCATCAGTTTCCACTAAAGCAGAAGTGTTGGTATTGTTCTGACTATGATATTCTCGGTAAGGCACGTGTAATTGCCGTTGTTCGGAGTCACTCATCACAAACAAATCTGCTACTTAGTTGGTAAATTCCTTTACCACTCTGCTATACAAAATATCGTTCATGCAAATAATCTATTTCCCCATATTCCTATCGCACCTGTCAATGACGCATACGCTTGAGTTCGTGTTTTACAAGTGTTTTCACCATTACAAAGTTCGATATAATCATTGCGTCATTAAAACAACTTTATGATTTATTATACAATTATTATTTTATGAGAACAATCGTTAAATAATAGAATATATTTACAATATTTAGAAGCACTGTTTAACCAATTAATGGAACTACGATTCGTCATTCCAGCAGACGATATCAGCTGATAGGATTAACGCCATACTTAATTTCTGCTATGCTGTTTCATACACTCATATTTGCGTATATATAATTGTGTTTTTCCATTTATTCCAAAAAGGCATTTTCAAGTATACATATATGCATATATTTTATATGTTATAACTATTCTTATAAATTCTTTCATGAAATATAAGCTCATAAGATAAAGTAAACACATCTAATGGTATATACATACGCATTTCAAACTTCAATACACAGCTGTGAAGTTAACATGTACTGTATATATAATACATTTATAACAGAAAACTTAATTGTATAAATTAAAAATTGTATATATAAATCCTTGAAATAATACAAATTATTTACAATATACAATGTAGGATTTTATTTATACAGTATACAAATATAGTATATTTAGCATAAAAATTGTGCATAAAGATAATTTAACCAATCAGCATAAAGAACATTCAAATCTCTTAATAAAAATGAAAATCTTGAGAAAGATAATATTATAGCCAGTGGTTATAGGTGGTTATAGTATTTATGGGTAATAAACACCGTGTACATCGCAGTCGTGCGTGATACCCGTACCGGGGTACGTCGGCCGTTAGTTATATTAGTTACGGGTTTCTTTGAACCTTGTTCGGTTATTAATTTATTTTTCACAATTAATTTCGTGATATATTTGTCATTCAGTTATTTAAGTACTTTTCATAATTTAATAATTGAAACATACTTTTCGTGGAACTTATTACTTTCATTACGTTTTATCTATCAACTAGTTTGTCACGATCAAATAATTTATAATTTTCATACTTCAACCTAATGATAAATCAAATTGACTTATTTATTTAATACGTTCAAATATTGTAAATATATATATGTAAATGTATACATGTACTTGAAAAGATTAAGTATACGATAAAAGAAAAAATAAATTGTATATAACAAGTTTTTAATTTAATAATTTACAATATTAAAATTTAACTTTTCAATTAATGAATTCTATAAAGAACAACATGTTTTTTGTATGTGTAACTGTTGGCTTTGTTCTCTTAGCCTCTAAGTACCGTAAAAATGTCTTTCAAAGTGTCAAACACTTTTGTCAAAGCATAAAAAACAAGAGTTATGGGCAAAATGATAAGAAAAAAGAACTTAAGATTACATTAGACAAAATTATTTTGGCAGATACCCCAGAGAAATGTGATTACGCCATTCAGTGTATTCGCTGGTAAGTTATATCCTAGTACTGCTATATGTTTTGTATACCAAGTATGTATATCAAATACATAGCTGTGTTATATTTACATTTTTTTTTCTGTGCTCTGTGTCTGTAAGTATAAATACTTTGAACATCAAATGTGTTTACATTTTTTATAGTAAGTTTTAAATTAATATTTATATAATATTCTTTTAGTTAAGAAATTTTTGTATTAAAGTCACTAACATAGAGAACATAAAGTATTAAATAGTTCTTTCCTAATACACTTCTTTCCTTGTTCAGTTAAATATTTCAAAATAAATATTTTTCATGTCAAAGCAACTTATCTAATGGTGTGTTGGGTTTTGATTGCGAATGGGTTAATGAAGGACCTGTTACTCTCCTCCAACTTGCCACGTTTAATGGGGTATGTGGCCTTTTTCGCATTGGCAAAATTGGATACATTCCATATAAATTAAAGGTATGTAATTATTTATATGTATTATATATTTGTGTATAACATATAAAATGTTGTGTATACCTAAAATAATCAATATTTTTCTAGGAATTATTAGCTAGTAAACACATTCTTAAAGTTGGAGTTGCTTCATATGAAGATGCACAAAAAATTATAGCAGATTATGGATGTAAAGTTAGTGGTACACTTGATTTAAGGACATTGGCAGAACATGTAAATTTACCAAGTCCAAAAAGTTTAGCTGCAATGAGTTTAGAATACTTAAACTTGGAAATGGATAAATTAATAGAAGTAAGGTGTAGCAACTGGGATGCTGGCACTCTCACTGACGAACAGGTAGCATATGCTGCTTGTGATGCAATTGCGTCTGTTCTTATTTATGACCAGGTGTGAGAAATTATGCTAATAATATTTAAGATCATCTCCTCATAATAAAAAAAGTTTCATGAAGTAATTAAGTTTATACTTTTACAGATCGTGCAAAGGATAAAAGAAAAGTATTCTTTATGGCAAAGCTTTGTGAATTATATAAAAAACATGTATAATAAAAATATAAGTATGCAATTTCATTGCTTACCTAATGGTGTAATCGATACAAGGTAGTGAAATGTTTTATACATTAAAAGTTCTTATTGATTATCACTTTATAATATATAGAAATTTATGCATTTTATTATTTAAGGTTCAAAAGTCAACACACGCATGCAAATAATAATCATAAAAATGCCAAATGCAACAATCTTCGTAAAGATATTCAATATTTGAAAACAAATAACAATGGTACACGTACAAGTAATATACCTATTAGAAATAAACCATTATATCACAATTGCTATTTACAAGCACCAGATGGAGACATATTGTGTACCTGTGATCGTAAAAAGGCAGAATGGTATATTACTAAAGGATTAGGAACTATAATTGAAAAAGAACCTTTTACCGTGAGATTAAACTTTGAACCCTCGGGACGTGCTTTAGGAGAAGTCGGACAGTATTATACACAAGTTAAACTTAATCAGTGCGTAGTATGTGGTACTTCAGAGAAATTTATTAGAAAAAATGTTGTGCCTCGAGAATATCGTAAATACTTTCCTGGTAAGTTGTAATTTAATAATATATTTTCACTCTATAATACAATGTTTATAAAATTATAAATATCTTGTAGTGGTGATGAAAGCTCATCAGTCGCACGATATATTATTATTATGTCCGTCGTGTCATGAAACGAGTAATTCTCATGACTTGCAATTAAGAAAAAAACTGGCAGATATGTGTGATGCACCTTTGGCTGGTCCAATAACTCATACTCGTAACAAGTATGTAAATAATTGGAGAAAGTTACATTCGGCTGTTAAAGCACTAAAAGAAAGTGCAACTTTACCCGATGTGCGGCGTGAAGAATTGGAACAATATATTTTGAAATGTACAAATCAACAGCAAGTAACACCCGTTCTCCTGGATGTTTTAAGTAGAGAATTAAAAAATGCAATGACATCAGTGCCTAGTCATGATCTGTCTAAATGTCAACCTCATGGTTTAAAGGTATATTTTAATTAATTACAAGGATTTGATATTTCGTGAGCAATTTTAAATACATTTATAAATATTTGCTTTTCAGGTAGTTCAATATTTTCAAAAAAGAGAAGGAGGATTAGTAGAATTGGAGCGTATATGGAGAGAACATTTTCTTTCGACTATGAAACCAAAATACTTGCCAAATTTGTGGTCTGTACGTCACAATCACGAGAGACTGACTATTCGTCAATCGCAAAATAGAATTGAACCAGAAGATGTAAAGGTAGCCGGTTTGGCATATTGAATTTTAAGTATTATGTACCTAAAAGGACTCGTATAAGAGCGAGTACTTCTATTGAAAGACTGTTAACAATCGATATCTCTTAATACATATATTTATATACATATAATACACATGTGTGTATATATATTTCTATACATATATACATACATATACACAATGTAAACACATGCATAAGACCTCTGTTTTCAATTGTGGAATTGTTTGCAAGTACTGTAATTTATGAAAAAACAAAGACTCATAAAATGTATATTTCAAATAAAATTATTTCTTTTATTTCATTACTTAAACCAATAACAAAACAGGTCTGACAATCTTATTGATTTTATATTTCGTGCCATCTATTTAGTTATGGTAAATATATGTCTTTAGATACATATATACAGAGTTTAGAAATATAATTAAATTAATTCTATATAGGAATTTATTATAGTTATTTAGAAGTTCCTTCTGAGGTATTTGCTTTTGGCGGATGATCTTTCATATTTTTTAATTCTTCATCTATTCGTTCTTTAGCACGTACAACTTTTGATTGAATGTAAAAAGAACCACCTTTTGATCTGTCATTAACTTCCATAAGATATTTGTAATTGCGTTCAATAGCTTCTTTCTGATTCACTTTTTCAACATTCAAGATTTGTAGTGCTTCTTCTAAAGAAATTCCAGTTTTATAATTAGCTGCTACATGTTGAGCGCCTCTTGTTCCACCACCCGTTTTACGTGCAGCAGCTTGACTAGCAGCAATTTCTTGTCGCAATGCCCTTGCAAATGCTTTGAGAACGACTTGTGTACCCGTTACAATTATTTGTATCAAGTGTTTCGCCATAACCTCTTCTTTCAATTCAAAACGATTGTAAAAATATTTTCCAATATACTTTCTTCTTGGTTTTAAATTTTAGGAGATACTTTCTCGATTAGATTTCGTTTTGGATAGCATTCAAATAATGACACTACTGACCTTAAATTTTATGATGATCTTTTTATATAACGTGCTTCTTACACGTTTTGAACCTCTGTTGCACCATTTCTAAACTCGCTTAAATGTATGTTTCATTGTGCATATACCTTACCTTAGTAAAAAAACATATTGATATATATTGTATGAAATGTGCACGTAAGTTTATTAAGAATATAAATATGTTAATTGGAACACTTTACTCATATATATTTATAATTTTGTAAAAAGAATGACATAATATCTATAGTATATTACATAGAAAATATTTATATATACAATCATAACAATACATACAAAATTTAACTAATATAAATCAATTATAATTTGTAAGTTTGAATACCTATATTTTTTGAAGCGCATTTATTTTATTTTGTATAAATTCATGTCCTTAAAGATACATTAGGTGTATTAGGTTAGGAATGACAGAAAAATTCATATGCAAGAAAGTTCATAGCATTCTTCAACTAGATATTCATTCATTACACCTAAATGTTCCTGGTATAATGAAACATAATTGTTCTTATTTTTGTTAATAAATAACTTTATTTACACTCTGTTGGTCAATTTTAATATGAAGCGAGATAGAATCTGTTTCTAAACTTTATCTTAAATTAAAGTAAAAACATTCGTTATTTTATCAATGCACTTTGAACATCAAACATACACTCAGTCAGGTATCGGTAGTGTATTAAAATATTCTAATGCATTGGCTGCAGATGAATGTACTAGATTATAAACAGGATTAATTATCTCCACCAAATTTAAATTAGGTGATCCAACAATCAGTTTCCTTGGAGAATTTTGTGCAACTGATAATCCACTAAGTGCATAACATGTATGATATATATCTCGAAATCTGAAATAAACAAAATTTATGGAATCATCTGTGTCAAACTATGTTATAATATTTCATACTTTTCTGGTCTGTCCAAAAATCCGCCATCAGGATACTGAGTGCAAAATAATAAATATTCTTGTAAGGCCCCTTGATCAAACAACCAATAATCAGAATTAAATGCTTTTTCTTCTTTTGTTAAAATTGCATGAATTAATGGAAAAGATCCACCCTGCCAAAATGAATAGCAAGCATCCACTAATTTATTAGTACGTCCCTGAAATCCACCCTCTAAACGCATTTGTTTATTTACTATCCATCTCTGAAAGTAATACAAATGGATATATATGAATATTAAGTTTTGCAATGCATATAATAAAATATATTATACAGAATATACCAGTAATGATTTTAAAGAACAGAAGTGAGTTTTTCCAAGAAGTACAAGTGCAGCTAATGCACAGAATGTATATCCTCCATGAGCTTCCATACCAGGGCAACCACCAAAACCACCTTCCCATGTTTGACACTTAGCTATCCAATTTTCAGTTCCTTCAAATATTTCAGGAGTATAAACATTTATTAATTTTGCTACAGCAAGTGCACAATATACTCCTCTCAGGTCTGCTTCTCCATCTGTATGCATACTGAAAGAGCCATCTTCTCCATGTAAGGATGATAAAAATCGTTTAAGCCCTTTCCTAAAATTAGTATATGGATATACTAATGTTTATAATAGTAAGAATTACATTTATTTCTGTTATAAATGTACCTATCAATTGCTTGATATGCTGAAGGTGTTCCAATGATACACAATGCATTTATTGCTGCATATGTTGGAGCTAAATGAGGATATTGTCCTGGTCCTCCTCCGAATCCTCCTTCAGGTGACTGGCATTTAGTTAAGAAGCCAACAATTTTGGAAGAATTATTGTGATCTAAACGTTCTCCCAAAATTTCAAGAGAATGTAAAATCCAATAACATAACCATGGTCTACTACAATCTAAGCACTATAAGTAAATAATATTTATATATGATTCAAGACTTCAAAATATATAAATTTAATGAGAACAATAATTTATTATACCTCATACTCTTCATTAAGATGAGTCAAAGATTTTTTTAACAGTCTAATGTGATCTTTTCTTATTAAAATTGCTGAATTCATTCTGTACAATCTAAGTACATCATTTTCTACACGACTCTGTAAACAAAATACATAGAAACATTAACAAAAGGCAGTACACATATATTAATCATTTTTATAAATGTAAGAAACATACCTGATTAAGGGAAGTTGTGGTAGGGTAGTTTTCATCATCTTGTTTTTGTTGTGATATTTTGGCGTAATTTCTAACACGTATTTCCTCATACATATTGTTTATTGAATTCGACATAATCTATTGAACATATAATTTCTTTTATTAACAAGTGAAAGAAATAATTTAAACTGCAATATGCACTCAAAAAACACGAATTATACTGGACGATCTCAAGTAAGAAAACGACAAAAGAAACTATTTCTTTTGTCACCTCTTTATACGGTAAAATTCCACTTCATGATGGAAGTTTGTATTTTAAATTAAATTTTATGGTGTTACTATAACCATATCATATTCACATTGAATATATAATTACTTTAAGGTTAGGAGGAGTTTTCTTGTTATGTACTAATTATGTCATTATATATACAGGGCTAGTGAATCACTATCTAGAACTTGGTGAAGCATGTAGGGATTGGTCTATATGGATAAGCCAAATGATCACACATGGAAGTTATATTCAAGAGATTTATTTACTTCTTTCTACAACCACGTGCAGGGGTGAACTGAACTATAGTTATTCAGGCGTTGAACATGTTGGTACCCATGCCTTCTCTTGCGCTATCTGATGTAGCAGAGAACTAAGTTCGTTCCCTACAAGCGCAAACAAGATACAAATTTTAGTTATCTATTACGTCGTGAGGTGGTGCGTTTTGTTTTCAATTTATTTAACATTTCTTAGGTACCTGTATTATTTGTGACTTTCTTGCTTATAGATAAATGAGGCGAAGAAAGATTTCAAAGTATCATAAAATAATTTCCTAACAAATATCGCAAATCGACAATGTATATTACAACGAATAATGATTTTGTGGCAACAGACTTTAGAATTTATACTTTCTACAATGAAAGAACTTGTTTTTGTTGGAACAAGAATAAATTCGTGATATTTCCGTATAAGAACGATAGTCGTGCGTCTGTCAAGGTTCTGACAGCACCATCACCAATAAAAACTTTACAATGTTTTAATGGCCGAATCTTTGTAATTTGCATTCCACAAGGTGTTTATAAACTTTCACGAGATCTAGAATTCTGTCTTTTAAGCACAAGTGCAATTGAAATGGGTACCATGTTTTATGAGGTATTGGTACCAAGGGATAAATATCTTTACTTGGATAATAAACAGAAAATGGAAAGTAAGAGATTGTTTCAACTTTCTTGCGAGAAAATTGACTCAAATAAACTATGCGTTTATATATTAAATACAAAGAATACTGCAGAAAATTTTATGAAGGCTTTAATAAGCGATGATTTAAACGTAGAAAGTTTATGCATAATTGGAGAAGAAAAGAAACTTTTTATACTGAAAAATGAAACTGCACAAATAATATATAACAGTGTTTATGTTATTAGGGATATAATATCTATGCAAAAAGATTCAGGAATAGCTGGATTATTTCTTCTCACTAATACAGATGTTATTATTATAATGTATTCAAAAAATAACACACTTGTTTTTGAAAACATTTGCTTAAGAACAAAAATACAAACTATTTGTATTGGTTTTAGTCAGTCATTTGAAAATACATTATGGATTGTTTACGCAGATGAGTGTAAAGTATATTATGCACAAAAGGAACTGTCAAGTGATAATGTCAAATGCATGAAAGTTCAGGATAATAATATTAATTGTCTACAGTGTTATGATTCCAAGATAATTTTAGGTTTAACTGAAAATAATCAGTTAATAGAGTTTCCAGTAGATTCTGTAGAAAGGACATTATCATTGGATAACAACATGTTTAATGATCTTCATCCTGATATGTTAAAAGGTACAAAACTTATAATGGATAAAATTTATAAAGGAACTCAAGAATTAAATGCTTTGAATGAGATATTAACCAGAGAAAAAGATAAGTTAAAAGTAATAAATTTATATGCTCTTGAACAGAAGATCCGGCGGTATCCAAAAATTGTAACTGTAAAAGTAGCTAATCAATTCTTTTTATCTACAAATTTTCAAGATTCACTACCAAAAGGTAGTTGGGTTGTTTTTAACGTAAATTTAGATTGTCAGAACTTGTTTTGTATGAAAGCAGTAACAGATCAAGAGACTACAATCGATGTTCAGGTACCTGAGGATAAAACACTAAGCTTTTCGCAAGTCACAGTAGATTTAATTGCATTGAAAGAGAAAGGATATCCTTGGTGCCTTATAAGAAATTACATCATCAACTCTGATTGTGAGAAAAATAAAAAAAGAAGGACAAGATCAGATAAGACTGAATTTATAAATTCTCGAATTGCAATGCTTCAAAATTATATACAAGAAAGAAATGTTGACATAAAACAATTATCCGAAATTAAAAAACGTTTAAGAAAAGAATTGAACGGCATATAAAAGTCATTAAAATAAATAAAAAACACGTTATTTAATTTATAGGTTTTTGAACTCTTTCTTAATAGGTAAAGCGCGCGTAAGTAGCGCCATCTACATGCCTATGAGTCGTCTTTGTGCAATTTTCAAACTGCTGCCTTTGTGCAATCTTTAAACAACCATTTTTCTTTTTTGACAATCGATGAAAATAACTATACAGTAAAGATTTTGACAATCATAATACTGTCGTTTTGTTAATTAGCTAGTTTTGTACAGTGAATAATTTTCGCATACATATTGAAGATCCTGCGTGTAAGGACAAGAGAATATCGCTCAATTTGTATAAATATATTTTTAATAAATGTTTTTATAATTGATTAATTTGTATCAGAAAGAAATTTTATTCCAGTTAAATTCACGTGTATATATGTACTTATACAATTTTTGTACTATTTTTTTCGTTTATATTCTACTATTTAATTAGGTAAATATCGATAAATTAAAACAATAATTCTAAATAAAGTACAAATGCATTTTGTACGATTCTATTTTTCAATGGTAGACTTTTATATTTATTTCGTTCATTCATACGTTATCATTTTTCTGAATTAGGTACTTCAACGATGCTACCTATACTGCAAGTCGAATTCTTCTGTGAGCGTTTATTTGAGTCTTTCAATTTATTCGGAGTTTTAATCCCTCCAAGTGGAGTCCGAAATACTGCCAATGGTTTTGGGCTTCTCTTGATTGCTACTTGTTCTAAGCTTTTAGAATTGTTGTCGATTCCACGTTTCCATACTCTTGCAAAACGGATCCGAAAGTTTTCGGAGAGAACACCATACAGTAGGGGGTTGACAATAGTATTCAATTGAGCAACGGTCACGGTCCAAACGAAGTGATGCGATCTCAAGAAAAAATTTGTATCTTCGGTGGACCTTCTGCCGTCCACATAAATTAACAGCATTACGATAGTGATGGGTAACCACATCACGAGTACAGCCACCACATTTAGTAGCAATATTCGTACGACTCGCAAATGTTTATGCAGTCGTATTTCTTCATGTTGAGAAAGACTACCAGTACGCCCTTTCCGGCCTGTTATCGACGTACATGAGTGTTTCCTGCCTGTCCAAGGTAACAAAGTTCCTACCACCGACAGTTCAGAATCTCTTCTACTTGTTGCGCTACTCTTCAACCCCTAAATATATTTATAGTCTTTATTTAAAAATAGATGACCGTGATACCGAGACGTTTCATTATTACAAATAAGGGACGGAAAATAATTAAATATCGATAATACGCAATTTGAAACAACAGATAAAATAGAAATATGCATTATAATAAATTGTAGCATTACTTGTGCAACGCAAGAAACTGCCCATCTGCTTCGTGAATCAAGAATTTTTTGAAAGATACGTTGATAATGATAAACCAGAAGGATCATCGGTAGAATGCAAGCCAAGATGATGATCGGTACCATGTAGCTTAACGAAACATCCATGATTTCGCTTCGCGGGAAAATTAAGGTGCAGATTGTCGTATCATTTGTTAGGTTCTACACATTTAAATGACTATTAACGATCAATTGTTATCGTTATGATGATATAACTATACGAATCAAAATAATTGCTGTTATTGTTTTTTGAAAGAGGCAGAGAAAGTAGTTGTACGATCGATAATACCTTTTGTCTGAACCAAAATGCGATCGGCAGAAAAGCGACAGCCGCAATTATCCAAGTAGCAAGACTGGCCGTTAGAACCTTGACTTTTGTTAAGGCACTTCTATAAGGTGCTACTGCCAAACATCGATGTCTGTCCATCGAAATAAACGTTAACGTCCATAGAAGTACGAACCCGCAGACAAACTACAAGAAAAAATCCGTAAATTAAAAATAAATTACAAACATTCCAAATAAATATATTACAAAAGTAATATTTTTAAATAAAAGAACACGATTTTTATGTACGCAACAAATTTAATCGGCAATGTATAGAACATTTTATTTATATGTTCGTCCTTTGTCGATGACGACGCTCCTGATCCGTGAAGGGACAAGGTTTATCGAATAAAACAGTTTGCCTTACTGTTCTGTATGCTAATAACGTCCCGAGCCTTCACGTTCAAAAAAGCGCTTTTATACCGTTGTTTTCTTACTAGCTGTTGTACTTAATCTACACAGAGTGCATTGTTAAGTGTGTAAATATAGAAGAGTAGTTTTACTTGAGTGTAAGGTAGTAATCGGCAAATCGTTTCCCCAAGACGCCAAGATTGCGTCAACCTGGTGTAAGCAATCGCTGGAATACCAGCGGTAAATAAAAGATCCGCGGCGGCTAAGTTTACTAGGCACATGTTCGTCGGTGTACACAATTCCTTGCAGCTCAATATACATCCAGCCATTCCTAAATTACCGCCAACAGACAAGATGAAGCTAACAGCCAATATCACCACCTGTGGACAGACACGGTTCATTTTCTTCCTCTGTTAATCAAAGACGTTGATTTCTTTAACGAGACTCTCTAATTGAGCCTTAGGATTATTTTGAAAGATTTTAAAACTCACCTCAACGGTACTGACATTTTTACGACTCCCGAATTGGCTATAGTACGTAAAGTAATACCGTGCTCCCCATTCTTCATCCTCTCCCCAAAGATACGATGAATTCATTTTTATGATTCTCGACTATCTACGGCGTAAAAATGTATTAAATTCATATTTCGAAACTTATTTTCGCTAGGAGCTGGCTTTTAATCATCGGCACTGTGCCTCGGCGCGAGTCTTTTTATTGTCGTCTCGAAGAACGTCTCTGCAACAATATTTTGCATTTTAAGTGGGTTTTATTGATGCTATCCGTATGTTGTATCCGGTTGATAGGACTTATCGAATCCGTAACAAGCGGATCACTTAATGCAATTTATCGTCTGAGACAAGTTGCGATCCATTAGAATCAACAACAATCGAAGTCGTAACTCTATCAATATCGATTTCGTAATACGGTATCAGATAGAAATACTCGTAATTAATTTCGTGAATACGAATTCATTTCGTACTTATTTTACAACAGAAATTTTTGTTTGAAATCAATAAACTAAATTCAATTTATTATTTTCAAGTTCTATTAACGAATTGATTCTAACTGGCGATAAATGTTTTACGGTTATTTAACGTTACCTTATTTATGCATCCAATTTCTTCGAATTGAATCTCACATTGCATTTTTTAACATTTGTAATTTCACTTATAAACTACGTCTTATACTAGATGACAATTTGAAATTGCTTAAACAGTTTGTAATAACGCGCATGTGCTTCTGAAATGGTTTGTCAGTTTCAGTTTTATTGAAATGACAAAATATTTGTCACTTACAAGTATTAACTGCTTGTAGACTTTTAAACGTATTCAAATCTCCTCATTTGAAAAAAGAAAGTTAAAAGAGAAATCAAGGTACAAAATATAAAGTTTGTATGGGAAATATCTTTTATGTTAATGTCCACAAGAATAGTATTAAAGCGAAATTGAAAATAAACGTAACGCCTGCAAATGCTATCCGTTAACTGTCAGTACCGAATGAGTATCATCCATCGGGAGTTGTATGCAGTTTCGTTTACTGCGCAGGTCATCTGCGCAGGCAGTTCAAATAGTTGTTAACCACTTGTTTTTACGAAGTTCTGTAATATATATATGTTGTAATTGTTAAAGGAGCTAATTTTGTACAGGCATTGTAGCGGAATCAATCGTCAAAGAATTTTTTAATTGTTGCGCAACCAGCGCGAATTAATCGAACCGTCACGTTTATGACACGTTCGGCGGTTCGTTGTTTAAAATTTGAATTTTGTTCGTGAAACTCTTACAAGTATAGAAGGGGATGCACGATTAAAGTGAGGCATCGAAGAAAACTTGAATGGCTCTAACACGTAACCGGCAGTAAAAGGTATTGTTTCATGCAAGTAAGTGAAAGTGCTGACAACAGTTTCTGATTAACATTGATGACAATTTTTTATTTTTTAAACATTGAAATTTAATACAATTTGAACGCAAATAAATGAACTCTTACATATTGAAAACGAAATTGTATCTTTATTTTGTGAATATAGTAATATAATATTGATAAATATTTGGCTCCGTTTTTCTCGAATATACCTCGATTCTATTGTAGTACAATGTAAAATTAATATGTAGCATTACTAATGGTAATAATCTCGCTGCCATATTTCAATAGAGAATGATTTTCTATTACTTTGCGCTTTATTCAAGAAAATCTTTGATTTTAAATCACAATTTCGATCGAATTTGCTATAAACGACATACTGATATAAGCAGTACATACTTATATTTAATTATAGGCACACTATTATATGACTTTAGTAATCTAAAAGACATAGCGACAATGAAAATGGAGTTTCTTTTTACAGATTTTGTTACAGCTTCATTTCTCGATATAAGATACAATTTTCATCGTACGAAGAACATAAAATTATTGAGTATAAACACGTTGTTAATAATATCCGTGGTTTACATAAAAACTATAAATATACATAAGTTTGCAACAAGTACTTTCCACTGTCCTTAAAACAATGTAATAAGTAAAGCGTAAAAATGTTACATATAACGTTAGTTAAAAATTGACATTTAAAAGATAAACAACGAAAAAGATAAACGATATAAGAGTAATAAAATAAATCCTATAAATATATGATATACATCTATTACGTATGTCTATTTATTACACTTTAAGGATAAACGCCATTTAAATATTCTAACATTAACTGTAACGTAATATGTTAATATGAATATATTTTTAAAGCTATATTAATATATTTCATATTTACGAAAATACTTCACAAAACTGTCCAAAACACGCAAACATGTACGTTTACATAAAATCGTTCAAACAATAAATATATATTTATATAAAAAATAAAATTTGAATGACTCTGTACAATTTACGATACTCTAAAGTCGATATTTGTCCGCAGAAGACAAATACGCGTAAATAGAATTTAAAATATTAAAATTTCTTTGTTGTTAAATTTTTAAATAAGTAACGTACAAATTTTAACGTTATTCCTCGAAGAAATTAACCAAAACAAGCACTTAAACAACACGTAGCAAGTACAAAAAAAATATGGCAGTAATAGTTTCGTTTTTAAATTTTAAAAACAACAAACGTTAAGCCGTGGTGATTTGAAGGAGCTACAGATTTGACTAATCTTATACGATAAACTTGTTCTATGTGATTTTTCTTTTTCTATTAAATATAGTAAATGATTGTTTTTCTCATAAAAAAATCTGAGAATAGATTTCTTGCATATTATTTCGTTACATTACAGATTTAACAGCTTATTACAATAATTATTATCTCCTCTTTGTAAGGGATATTTGAAAATTCAGGAAGATTTTTATCGCTAGAACTATTTCAAACTTAAGATATGTACCAGCATTGATCGTCAGGTTGTATCGATAACTTATGTTTTCCTATAGTGATAAACAAAACATAACAATGATTAAAAATATAAAAACACGCATTAGGCTGTTATTAAAATATCGAACTTTTTGAAATTCACTATTCCTTTACAGGGATGATGGTACTATTGTATGTTATCATTTAACATTCATGTTCAAAATATTATTTTTATAATACACACGCAATGAATATCACGCTTTGTATGAAAATTGATGAGAAAGTGAACCCTTACTTTAAGTTGAACTTAAATCAGTTGCAAGTTACTGTAATAATATAAATGAATTTAAATCAACATGTGTAATGAATTTAAGTACGAAACCAAGAAATTTCTGTTAATATTAAAATACGTTTTGTTGTAGGTGATTGAACATAATTTTATAATTTTTTTTTCTTTTTAAGGCACTGAATAAAAACGTAAAGAATTATTATAATTACATATCGAAAATCTTCTTATCGTTCATTACTAGTTCGAATGATTTGTAACTTCTATTTACACTATTCACAATTAGGTAAGGAATATGATGTAACGAATACGGTATAACTGATGAAAAATTATTTTAAAGACCCCTGTATTACTTTAAGAATATATTTAATTAATGTACGCGACCATTTAGTTAGCAACACTTCTCTCAATTTGTACTCTTTCCTATTACACGTTAATATACTCACGATCAAATACATTTTTAAATGAACCTTTTCATCAATTTACAAAATCTGAATAACGTAAGTACATGTTGTTTTCCTTTGTATATTTGAACTGCAACTTTCGCTCAATATTTGACCCATCAAATGGTTCCAAAATCTGCTTTCTTCTTTTAAATGCAAACGCATCAACATACGAAATGTTAATATACGCCCGTCAAGAAATGTCGTGTAAATGTGTACTTCATTATAAAAAATGAAATACACATCACAGAAAATTTGTTTTAAATGAAAATGCATAGTAAAATGATATTTACAAATGTTCAGGAAAAATTATTGAATAAACATGTGCATTTTGTGGTAAATTATAGAAAATGAATTCTTCCTACTGCGATGAGAATATACTCTTTCTAGTTAAGCGTTCCGCTCTTTCAAGAAATAAGACATTTGTTACTTAAAAATAGGTTTGAACATCAGTTACGTATCAGACTATTTACGTAGACTGTAAGAATTGAATACATATGAATGATTTGAATTTTGGCAAACTTCCCTGAGCGTACTAACTTTACAGAACTAGGATATCGTGGATAGTCTTTGAGCCAACCATTTAGAACCTAAAATACTCAACATCGGCTATTGATTTGTTTTGCGATAAATATTCAAGTAATTTGTTAAGTACCTAATGCCATCATAGCATTCTATGTCATAGAGGTTTTTCTTGCTCTTCGTTGTTTAATACCTGCAGTGTCAACAATGTCGACGTGTTTAAACATCGTCGACTAATCTTCGAGCGTTAAGAGTCTTCTTGCTTAGGCAGGAGATTCGTTCTTTCTTCCTCTTCAATTAATTTTTTTGCTGATATGATTTTATTAGCTTCATGACGAGCAAGAATGTCTGAATTTAAATCTAAATTGGTTTGTCCTTGATTCGGACTCGTGACCGTTCCCTAAAACGTAAACATAAGATTAATATTTATTTTTTATTGTATCTGTAATGACATATTGATGCGTTTTAAAAGAAGAAAAGACCTTTACTGGCGAATTTTTTAATTTGCCATTATGATCGCTGTACGATGAAATAAACTTTGAATGTGTAACTGGACTAGCACTAACTGGAGCAGGTGAAGTTGGAGCTGTAGCACTATGAATTGGAGATTGTACAGAATCTTTTTCTTTTTCTTTCTTACTTTCCTTATCTTTATCAATTGGTAATACTGGAGATTCTGGTACACTACGATCATCCTCGTCCAAAGAATGCAGTAGCTAAAAATTAACAATAGAAATTAAACAATATTCTTATAGTAATAATTAATTTATTTGGAGTCATCCAATTAACCTTTTCTATCTCGTCGTCAAATTGCTCTTGGCTTCCGGGAATCGGGTCTTTTTGGCTTCGTTCCAAAAGAGTAGCCCGTTTCGCAGCTAAGTACAAAGATCTTTTAATTTTAACATAAAATACTTCGGTTACCGCTCGCACTGTATAATCAGGAACAAACGTATATCGTAACATGGAATCTAGATTAATCGATTGTATGCTGCCGACTGTTTGGGGATTTGTGGCGGTAGGTGACTCAGCTATAAAAATAAATCTTGTTAAATATCCTAAATAGATATCTAGATAAAAACCATCGCGGTACTCACCTATTCCAACGTTAACAGTGAGTGCCTGAGAACCAAAATATGTAAATGGTCCGCTTTCGAACATCATGTTTTCTTTGCCGACCGTAACTTCAACTCGACCTTCTAAGATTAGGACAAAATAATCAACTGCTTTTCCTTGTTGATAAATTACTGCCGTCGGATCATTTCTTGCTTTTTCGCGTGACTTCACTTTGATATGATAAATAATATCTTGTTTAAGTAAACGACGCAAAATAGTTTCTGATATTGTATCGGGTTTAAATGCATCAACAGCTGTGGATCATACATTACACTCAGATACATTTTAAGAGCGCTACGATAGGATGTTTATATAAATTTTATATTTTCTTAAAGCAAAACACTTCTTCCTACTTGTAGATAAGTACTGAAACATGGCCAATGTCAACTGCGGCGATATATGAATACGTTGATTTTCTTTCTTCTCCGCAAACACAGTAAAATCTTGTATTTTATGCCTTGCTTGCCTTCTACGTTTAGTTCTATTATCCGCTGTAACAAAAATAAATTAATCATTTTTAAGTATGTCGCACACAGTATTGAATATATAACATTTTTAACATATTAAAGAATCTTACTAAATACATCAGTTTCATCCATAATCTCTGCTTGAATTAATTCTTCTATAACATCTTCCAATGTGACTAAACCTATTACCTCATAAAATGGATCGCCTTCGCCTTCATTATTTACTCTTTGCACAAATGCCATATGACCTTTATGGCCTAAAATAAATACATACTTTTATTATACATTTACTTTCGATAAATAAATAAAAATTATTTTGAATATAATTAACTTTAATTTCAAGTACCAACCTTCTTTGAATTGTTTAAACATAATATCTAACGTAACATCTTCGAAAATGAAGTTACATGGATTTTGATAAAATTGGCACAAAGTTTTAAGTGGCATATTATCATCTGGATCAACGAAAGCAAGATCTTTAATATAAAGCATTGTAACTATGTTTGTTCTGGTACCCTCGTAAACTGGTATACGCGAAAAGCCTAACAATTAATAATTATAAATATTACAAATTACAATAATATTAATTAATAAGCAAAATTTTAAAAACATTATTTTAGTAACCTGATTTCATGATTTCCGATACTGTTTCAAAATCTAAAATAGCGTCATAATTCAACATGTATACATCTTCGATTTTTGTCATTACATCTTTCACGGTCTTTTTTCGCAATTCTAATGCTCCAGCAATAATATTCACTTCATCCTTTTCTAAATCATTATACCCTGTTGTTACCTATAAGTAATGATATTGTCATAATTATGATTTATATATATTGATATCAAATGTTTAATCATGTTATTAGGTTACATAAGTAGAGCACGCAATAAAAGAATTCGGATATTAATTACATAAGTTACTCTATATATATATATATATATATATATATATATATATATATATATATATATATATATATATATATATATATATATATATATATATATATATATATATATATATATATATATATATATATATATATATATATATATATATATATATATATATATATATATATATATATATATATATATATATATATATATATATATATATATATATATATATATATATATATATATATATATATATATATATATATATATATATATATATATATATATATATATATATATATATATATATATATATATATATATATATATATATATATATATATATATATATATATATATATATATATATATATATATATATATATATATATATATATATATATATATATATATATATATATATATATATATATATATATATATATATATATATATATATATATATATATATATATATATATATATATATATATATATATATATATATATATATATATATATATATATATATATATATATATATATATATATATATATATATATATATATATATATATATATATATATATATATATATATATATATATATATATATATATATATATATATATATATATATATATATATATATATATATATATATATATATATATATATATATATATATATATATATATATATATATATATATATATATATATATATATATATATATATATATATATATATATATATATATATATATATATATATATATATATATATATATATATATATATATATATATATATATATATATATATATATATATATATATATATATATATATATATATATATATATATATATATATATATATATATATATATATATATATATATATATATATATATATATATATATATATATATATATATATATATATATATATATATATATATATATATATATATATATATATATATATATATATATATATATATATATATATATATATATATATATATATATATATATATATATATATATATATATATATATATATATATATATATATATATATATATATATATATATATATATATATATATATATATATATATATATATATATATATATATATATATATATATATATATATATATATATATATATATATATATATATATATATATATATATATATATATATATATATATATATATATATATATATATATATATATATATATATATATATATATATATATATATGTATATATATATATATATATATATATATATATACGCGTGTGAACACGTATGTTTTAAATACATTTTGACGATAAGTTACGCTTAAATTAGCACAATATAAGCGTGTAAATTATCTTACTTAAATTTTACAATGATAAGTAATCTAACATGTACTCTGTAGAAAGTAGAAACTTCAAGCAAACGTCAGTAGATCTATATCTTACCTACACATAATTGAATTTGGATGTCAGTATTATTATCTGCCCTATCCATGCTCATTCTGATAAGATCCATAACATTAAAAAGTTTAAAAAGGCGTTTCATAAAGTATACTTTCAATTATAATTACAAAAATTATAGTATATTACTTAGTGAAAATAATGTTCAAACAATACCTATTTCTTTTTTCTCACCTTTACAAGTTCTTTCAATCGTTCACGATTATATACATTGCCAATTTCTTCACCAAGAAGAACATCTAAGAGCTTGCTAATAGGATAGCTCAATGGAAATGTTATTATCATGGTTAATTTTGTAACGTAAATAGTCTTTGCCCCAATACACAATCCATGTCTGCTACAAATAGCCTAAAAATTTGACATAATGACTAATTGCTCTGATACATAACATGAAATTTTATTATTAGAAATAGAATTTTGTTTTATAAATTTACATACTTGCGGTGAAATTTCACCAAATATTACAATAGCTAAGGTAGAACAAATAACGGCAACTAATCCAGAAGTTAGATCATCTAATAAAATGGTAAAAATTGAATTTACCAGAACATTTGAGAACAAAATCGAACATAACAAATAATTCCCATGATTTCTCACTGGTTGTATTGTTCTTGCATATTGTTTTTCCTGTGAAACATGCATAATTCAATAGTCACAACTCATCAAATGATAATAACAGAATTAAATTCATTGAATACAAACAAAATTACCTTCTCTGTTCCAGTATTACAAAGTATTTTCAATTCAGTTCTATCCATTGCCATTAACCCTAAATTTAAACCAGAGAACAAAGCAGAAAAGCTTAGACACATGAGAATAATTACAATACTAAGCCAAAGTGGTAAAAATTTCTCGTATGTATATATCTGCAAATAAATATGATTAATGAATATTCATAGATTAATGTATAATAATAACATTATTTGTTTCATAAATAAAAAAAATCAACTTACAGTATTCCATGTTTCAGTACCTTGATGTTTAAACAGCAAAAGGTCAGGACCTTCTTTTCCATACACTGGTTGTTTTGCACACACATAAAATGGTGAACCAAGTGGTAATACAACATCGATAATTGCAGTATGATTGTTTATACGTTGTACCTATAATAATCACATATTTAGAATAAAATATTTGTGTATCCATATCCCCATTCTATTACAACTGTAAAGCAAAACAAAATTATGGTACAACACTTACTGGAAATTCCTTGCTTTTAATTTTGTCACAAATAGTACCCCTTTTTGCTGGTACATCTGTGAAAGTAACCAAAGTATCTTCTGTAAAGCCAAAACCAAACAATCGTATAACTGCTCTGCTTCCAGCTAATATCTCTGGAATACCATCTTCGCTGTAGCTAGGATCCTTTGCTGATGTTTCTATTCTTAATCCCTCAATAAATACATCTGTACGGATTTGCTCAGTTGATGGATTTTTGTAATCACCATCAACGCTAGCTAATGAATTGGCACGACGCGTACGAAAATATTTTCTAAGAATAAAATATGTAATTGGTATAAAAAGTAGATTAAATTAATATTTTGCAAGAAGAAGACAATAGAATTATTAAATAAACCATAAAAAGTTACTATATAAATAACTTCAAAATTCAATTAATGAAAATTTATTCATATTAATTAATATTTTCAATAAACTCAAATTTCTAAGGTATAACAAAATATAATTTTATAAACTTAAAACAAAATTTAATGATGAAAACTTTTGCATTATGCATTTTGTTCTTTAACAATGTATTAATAAACATCTTAAATATAATTATTTAAATAAACAAGAAAAGGACCGAATGATTCATCTGCTAAGATCTATAATTATCGCATTATAGATTTTTTTATTCTTTTATAATTAAATCTTTAAATATTAAAACAAAAAGTTGCAAAACCTTAAATATATGTACTAGTAACAAAAAAATATAAATACTTATTTATTTATTCATTCAATACTAATAATTTATATATATAGCAGCATATTAATACATATACCAATTAATTAAAATTACCTTATTTTCAATATTTAGATTTAATAATAAAGAAAATTCCTCTGATACACTACACTGTAGCAAAAAAATTATAAATGCATAATGCGTATTATTGCAAAATCTTAAAACAATTTCCTTGTCGTCGATAATACCGATATTTTCATCCTTTTAAAACATGGTGCCATGTCATACCATAAATATCTATTATTTATAAAGGAAGATATTTTTCTTTTACAACTTTCACGAAAAAATGAATTATCGTGTATTTAACTTACTCTGAATGAATTGGGCGCTGAATAGTTAAATTGCTTCCAAGATTGGTCCATGTTTCACCGAACCTACTGACGGTTCTCAGACAGAAATAGATCGTGGTAACCTTAAAATTAGGAATTTTGATAAACTTATATATCGCACGATTGCCATTATGATCGATCCAAATTGCATTCAACTTGTTGTTTGGATCACAATTGTCGAGTGTAGCTGACCAGCGCAACGAAACATTTCTCTCCAGGCCGGTGCCAAGAATCTCTACAAAGAAACCTGGAGCACCAGATAAGTACTCTCGTGCATGAGATTGCTTTGTAATTAAAGCATTCACTGATTTCACTTTCAGGTTATCAAATACTTGCACGTCTGTAAATGCATTGCTAGTTACTAAGTTGGATATCGTAAAAACAAGTAACAAAAGAGTTGCCGGTGTGCTTGAATGAATAACATGTTGCGCCATCATGGAACAAATGCACTGTGACAACTTCATGCTGTGGTTAAAAAGTGCTGTATTTATAATCTTGCCTTCTTTAATTGCGCCTGCGTATTACAATCGAAACTGCATTCATCCCTTCCGTCATACGTTTGACATGCTACCATTTCTCTTCCAATTGATAAGTTTAAGTTCCGCCAGATAACGCTATTGTCGTAGCTGTAACTATATCAAGGTCATTTGATCAATGGAGGTAAATACGAATCACCACAGAAGAAACATGAAGAAGTCCTTTATAATGTAGTACAATGGTTTATTTTAATTTATTTGCCTTGTGTATATAACAAATTTACAAAATTATTAAGTATATGTATTGTGGTCAGCATCTTTCACGAAACCGGTACGCAAAACCGCCACCTATTGATTCATGAAAATATTACATATTTAGTTCGATAGAAACCTATAAATTAATTCTTTTGCACGATCGGTATTTCAGTACATAGAGCACAAAAGCCCTATAAGATGATAGATCTATTCTGTGCCTTGTCTGTGGTTATATTACCAAATAAAATGGAGGTTATATTCGAGGTGTATTGTGAGAAAATAATGTATGTATACCGCACAAAATGGTCACAATTATGTATATCATTCGTCATAAAGTAATGGTACACATTATTCGAAAAGAGTTAGATAATCAATTCGAAATTCAGTGAAATTTTGACCGTAATACACCATGATGCCAATGTCTAATGTATTTTGTCTAATATGCAACGTAAATCATGATATTTCATCTTGCGTAAATATATTTTGTACATCTTTTCCTCGAGATGAAGAGCTGTTAGTAAATTTTATATCGAGGGTACTTCGTATACCAGCTTCCGAATTACAAGATTCATACGTTTGTACGCAATGTTATAACCTCTTCCAAATGTTAGAACAAGCACAAAAGACTGTTTTAAATATACGTTGTGAAATTTTAAAGATTTACCATACCAGCGAAAGAAGAAAAAATATTAAACAATCAAATGAAATAAAATTAAACCTAAATACAAATGTACTGTTAGAAGAAAGAAAAATAGATACAAATAAGACTAACGATAACTTAAAAGAAGAGTCTAGTTTACAATCCATCCAATTTGAAGAAGTAGTAAAACAACAAATTCAAAATAAAATAACAAACCAAAATATAAATGTTTCAAATATAGATTATGATTTTAATATTAAAATTAATGCAGATGCAAGGAGAAATGTTAAAAAGAAACTAAATGGCTGTAATGAGATAGATAATACACAATCATTTAGTTGTAACAATGGCCATGATAAAGATGAAATCTTAAGAAATGAAATATTTTGTGATTTGGTAACATTAGATAGTGATAATAATGCACATAACATTGTTCCTGCCGAAGGTAAAGAAATATTATCAGCAATGATTAAAATGAATGTAATTGGTATTAAAAAGTTTATTTGTTTCTGTAGAAAATATGCAGGCATTAAAAATACATATTGAAGACAAAAATTATATTTCTACAATAAACTCAGAGAAAATAGAATCAAAAGATTTTATAAAAATGGATACTATTTTTTCTAACAATGAACTACAAGTAGAACATATTGATTTTGATTGGAAAGACTTAGATGAAAATGTTACAGAAATAAAAGAGAATACTGAAAATACAGCAGGTATTAAAGTTATTGTACTTATTATTTTAATTCTTCTAAATGTTTATTAATTGTATTTTTAATTATTTGAAAATATATAGTGACAAAAATTGAGCAGGTAAAAATGCCAATGAAATCAGGAAAAATGGCAAAATATAATCTGAAACCATTAAAATATTCTTGTTCTACTTGTGGCAAAAGATGGAAGACTGCAACTGAATTAAAGACACATATAAAGACTCATTCTACATTGAGGCCATATATGTGTGAAAAATGTGGACAGGCATATAAACATAAACATGCACTAGAAGTACATGTTGGAATGCATAATGGAATAAATCCATTTCAGTGTAATTTTTGCAACAAATGTTTCACACAAAAAGGAGCACTTATGAGACATTTACCAATGCACACAGGTGAAATGCCTTATCAATGTGAATTATGTGGTAAAAGATTTGTACATCACACTTCGTATAATATGCATAGACTATCACATAGTGGAAAGAAATCCTATAAATGTCATGTATGTAACAACCAATATAGGTATTCATGTATTTATCAAACATCTTTAAATGTAAATATGTTTTAGATGTGTGATTTATCTTTACTTTCAACATCTCATTTGAAGAGACATATGCGGGTTCATACAGGTGAAAAACCATACAGTTGCACTTTATGTGGAAAACGGTTTGCAGAACGATATAATTTATTTGCTCATCAAAAAATTCATGATCCAGTTGAAAATAAAGCAAAGGAGGCTAATGAAATGCAATACCAGTAAGCATATAAAAAAGTTCGTAATCTTATCTTAAATTTATTTGTTCTAAGTAATGCACTTTCAGATGTAGTTTTTGCAACATAATGTTTGAACAGAAAGAAAATTTGAATGATCACATGAAACATCACACTAATATAAATAATAAATCTGATTTTAAAAAATCGTGTTCAGTTCCACAAATCGAACCAGAAAATAATGAATTATTAAAAAAAATAGATTCCGAATACAGTGTACTGCAACAAACATGGATTCAAATGAATCATTCCAAATTAGATATTGTTGATAATCAAGAAAAATTTGTACTCTTACAGAAACCGTTGCCTGACATTGATGAAAATTCCTTTGCAGTTAGATTGAATGACCAGAAAGTATCACTGGAAAGTACAAACTATAACACTAATATACAAGTAGTAATAGAACCTTTAAATACAGCACTTTTAAATACCAATCTTCCTCTTAGCGATAAAATGCACATGTGAATGAGCAATAAAACATGACATAATTTTTACTATTTATAGAAATGTCATTAATATTTTAAAAACTCAATTTATTTTTTATCATATACTTGAATGATTCCTATTGTATTTTTAAAAATTTGATGTTTGTAACAATATAAATCAAATCTACAAGAGTATGTAGTTAAATTAGTAATAATTAAATACAATAATTATAAATGTTTCTTAGATATTTACGTCATAATTGAGAGTTCCTTGTATGAAAATATTTCTGAAGCAATGTGTTCATTTTACATTATCATTAAGTGCTATATACCAATAAATTGTTATTAATAAAATTCGTAATTAAAAATAAGTGTATGTTTACTAAAGCTAATTTTAAATATATAAGTTAACTGATAAATTTATTAAAAATTAATTTTTAATTATATACTCGTTATAAAAATTATAATCCTATATTAGTTAATATTTACCTTTTCATTCATTATCAGGATGAATTTGAATATCTGAAATTTGACTAGGCATTAATTGTTTCCATGAAGTGACACCATATCTTCTTAATAAAGTTTTTCTTTGTAATACTGGTGTGGATAAAGATCTATAAATTTGTTTATGAAAAAAGATGGAACAATGCAATTAACAAAAGAAAGAGTTAAATTCCAATAGAAAATGTAACTAACTGCTGTATTTCATCAACCATAGAATCAACCATTGCGGGTATAGCAACTGTAGAAAAATAATCGAGTTCAGATAAAAATTTAGATTTTCCAATAGAATGACTTGTGTATAATTCGTAAACGAAATTAATTAATGAATTAAATGCTTGGTAATAGATATCTGTTAGTACCTGCAAATAATTTGAAAAAGTAAAGCTGATATTATATTGTAACTTCAGTTTTTATAAGAAATAGTTATTACCACTAAAGAAAAGAATCCTGGTTTGTCCATATGATAATCTGAATACATTTTTCTCGTTTTTATCACGAGATCAATGTATGTATCTTTTATAAATTCTGGTTCTTTTGCGTCTGCAAATGGCTTGAAATAAATTAAAAAATTGCATTATTCTGTACAAACAATGGTATTAAAAATAAAAGAAGAAACATTTAAAGACAAACTTCTATCAATATTTCTTCACTAGATATTGATTGACTAAGTTCTGCATACGATTTCGTTGCTTGCAATATTGTACTTCGACGATGTAGAAGTTTAGCTTGATGCCTTTTACGTTTTAACTTTTCATCTTCAATTATGATATTTGAATGTTCATCCAAAATTACCTATAAAAAAATGCAGTTACTTTTTGTAATACATTTACAACATGGATTTAATACTCTTAATCCTTTCTCGTCCAAAATGGAACCACCATCGATATTTGTATCCAAGAATTCAACTTGTCCTTCTTGAAATTTGATCTGTTTTTTTTCTTCCATTTCTACTACTCTTATGTTCTGCAATCTTGTTTTACTTCTTATTATAATATCGTTTGTATCATCTTCTGATGTTAAAAATGTAGTTTCAGGAGACAATTGAAGATTTTCTATAATCTATGAATTAAAATATAATAATATATCACTTATATAATAAAAATAGAAAGCTATTCATACATTATTTAAAATTTCTTGAACAAATTTTAATGAACTGCTAACAGGTTGTAATGAACATTCGTCTCTGTCTACTTGACCAGATGAACCACTTTCCTTACTGCTTTTGACCCATGTATAAATATCAAATTTTTCTTGTATCCAACTACGATGAACTTCTTCACTTTTTGTTAATACAAGAACAGGTTTAACATTGGAGTACCGTTTAGTCAATTGTATAGTTGCATGTAAGTCAGTTTGTGTAATACCAATTTTGTTTTGCAATGTCAAACCAATAATCTGATTGTAATCTATACAAATATAAGTAAACAGTTCAATATAATATCTCAATGAATGTTGTTCATTTAATATTATGAGAACATTTAATATTGTGAACTAACGAAAGCCATAACTATTTCCTAGCAATTCTTGAATTGCTAAAAATTCACCACGACGAGACATATCATTAAATTCTTCTCTATTTGTAAAAATGTAGGATTTACATTCAGTGTCGTTATTTTCTGGCTGTCTTGTTGTATGCCATCTACAGTATTTAATCTAAAATAAATGATTCATTTTTGATATATTAATTCATTCACCTTAAAAGTTGTTTGTAATTTTATACTTTGCTTGGAAATGTTTGAACAACGTGTAAAGCCAAGGATATTTTTCGCACTGCACATGGACCTGTGAGTATTATTAAAGGTAAACTTGTCTCATCATAAGGTTTAATATGCAAATCAATTATGGGTGCACTTAATTGTTCCAGCAAAGTTAATTTTGTAACAGTACGAGCAGCTGTTAATTCCACTGGTGATACAAATAAGATTGAAGCAGTAATCTATTGAAACGAAATATTTTAATACTTGCATTATTCTGTAACTTTTAAATATATACCTTTTCTGAAGTAGATACATGACAACCATCAATAGTATGTATACTTGGTATAGAAAACAAAATTGCACTTTTATAATTAGGCCATTTTGTACAACCATTGCCTCTTAGATCTAATTCAAGTATTAAACCTTTCAGATTTGTTAATTCCAATAAATCATTGATTCTATTAAATTTTAAATCAATTACACGTAAACTGTATGCACCCTACATTTTTAGATTAAAATATTTACTTTCAAATTATCCTGTTAATTATTAGTCATAATTAGTTACAAATAATAAGAACTATTACTTTAAAAAATTCCAAGGTCGATAATTTATTGTATCCTAAACGTATTATTCTCAAGTGGGGTAATATATTTATCCCATAGCCAGGTACATTCGATTTAAATGATGTTATACAATTACCTTCCAAATTCAATTCTTGAATATTTAATTTATCCAAGTTTTCAATGCATTCAATTAAATTATATGACAAATTTAAATATTTCAAGTACCTATTAACATAATATTCAATACAGAAATAATTTAATTATACAAAAAAATGTACTATACTAACTTTAAATTTTGCAAACCAAAAATAGTGTCAATTGCATTATGTGATAAATCTAAATGAACAATACTCCAGAAGTTGCTGATATCACACATTTCTGATATATAGTTATATGATAAATTTACATATGTCAAGTACCAAGGTGGGTTAAAGTTTAAAATAGTATACATTCTGTTATATGCCACGTTCAAAAACATTAAATATGGTACTCCTCCCAGAGGAGACAAATTTGAGATAAAATTGTATGCAAGATCAATGTATTGCAAATAACGGTGATATTGTAACATTGTAATATTTGAAAGTGACTATAAGAAAAATTTTGTTTAGAATAGTCTTCTCATGTTCCTAAACATTCTGTATTAGTAATACAATAAGCTACCATATTTCTCATAATGCATTTACTCAAAATATAAAGACCATTTTCAGGAGATTTGGTCAAAAATGATTTTCCACTTCCTATTAGTCTGTCTGTAAAATAGCCACCTAATTCTAAATCATCTAGTAGTATGTCATCATGGTGTCTGATTTTTACAACAGGCGCATTTTTATCATCCCATAAATTAAAATTCAAAGCATATTTACTCCAACTACTTTCGTTTACACATTTTATTGAATCTTCATCTATTGACACTTGATTGAGCAATGACAATGAAAGCTCAGCCTGTATAAGTAAAAGAATTATTATTTTAGTACTAATACTGAAACATTGTTAACTTTAATTAATAATTACGCTTGAAGTGAAACCAGCTGAGGCTGTTGAAACCATTGAATCTGTTGAATCATCGGACAAAACTTCAAATGGCACATATCTATCTTCCATAGATTCCCAGCTCATATCACTATGTGACAATACATCAGAATCAGTATCAGTAACATATTCAATGTAATCTTTATATGATCCTTCTTCTGTATCAGGAACTTTAGTAATAACATTTGGTTCAAGCAATGATTGAGAAGGAGAAAAGAGATATGTAAACTGTTGAATAAAATTGAAGAATGTAAACCTTTTATTACAAAATAGCATTATTTTCCATTAATACATTTAAAGTTATAATTTTACCTCTTCAGTGCTCATTTTAATATTTAAATTATTATTAAATTATTTATATTATCATTCACTTAAATAAAATCTTGAAGATAATGACTTATATATATTCAAAGATTTCTACTGTTTTTTAACAGCTGAATGCACATAGAATTACTACATTACTTGTAATTATCATGATGTTTTATTTTTGTCTTATAAAAAGTAATTTCTTAGAACAATATTTAGGTATCTGCAGCTAAATTTTTCAAAGATGTATTTGAAAAACGATAATGATGCCATCCTTCCTCTTCTGTTAAATTAAGAGCACCTTTATTTTTATAAAAGCTTTGTGCAGGATTCCATTTAAGGACTGAAAAATCTAGTCTACAACATTCATTCTTTGTTGCTTCCTACGAAAAAATTGTATTTTACTAAATACAAATTATATATCAATGTTTCTCATGTATTGCTCTTTTGCAGTTTAACAAACTTACTGTAGCAACAGCTTTCAATAATTTGCTTCCAATATGTTTACTTCGACACGTAGGTGTTACATAAATGTCTTCTAAGTACATGGCTTTTCCACCCCATGTAGAATATGTATAATATGAAATTGTATATCCTACTACATTTCCATTAACTTCAGCTACATAACATATAAATAGGGGATGTTCTGTATCAAATCCATCTCTTTCAAGAACTAAAATTTTGCAATATAATTTTAGTATGAAATTAAATATTAATTTTCATATAAATATTATTGTTTTAAATTTTTACCTGTATAATCAATTTTTGGTCCATCTGGCATAAGTTCAAAGTCAGCTAATTCCTAAAATGACATTCTAACGAGACTAAATAATTTCTTTACAATTTATAACAAATAAAAAGTATGGTACAGTTTATGTTACATTTACCTGAATTAAATTTCTAATAACTTTGCAATCCTCACGTTTTGCTTTTCGTACTATTACGTTATCCATCTTATAGAAAATTTGTTAAGAATCAAGTCTGATACATGAAGGCACCTATTATCATGGCTCTACATGTATGTAATATGATAGAAAACCAAATAAATACGTGTTATATTGATACATTAAGATAAAGCTAGGATAAGATTAAGTTCTCATAAAGTTAGGTCAATGTACGGTTAGACCGGTATATAGTTAGATGCGGGTTAGGTTATATCAGCATTAATTAGGTCACGGTTGCAGTAAATTAGTTTTATATCAAATTATATCATGTCAGTTCGGATTTATGTTAAATGGATATTAGGTGAGATCTGAATTAGATTAGACCATGGTTCATAATTTATTTTATTCAACGAAAATATGCATCTTCCATACCTAGATGCAGTTCATGAAAAAAGAAATAAATGTATATAAACATTTTTTATTGGCATTTTGAAATAATAATATAAGGTGTTGAAATTTTTAAATATATTTAAAACCTTCGCGGTTAAGTGATATCGAATCTCGAATAGTATCGATACACCAATTTCCGGCACAAGCAAGGTCGACTTCCTGAAAATACGCCATTTGTATTCATTCGCGATCGGTGCGTCGTGTAACGTTGTTGTGTGAGTTTCAGTGACGTTCTTAAAAAGTAATTTACTCGCGGTTTTAGTGTGTTTCGTGTTAAAAGAATAAAAAATCAAAAGAAAAAATGTCAGAGATTGACGCAAAAGTGAACATGTCGCTTGGTAAGTGGCCAGAGTCTCGAAAATCTAGCAGTTATGCCGATAATCCTGGGTGAACGTACGGCTACTGTTTCCTCTTTTGCACGAATTCAAAATGGCGATGAAATTATACAACGTAGAATATCCACATTTATTTTCGTTCGTTTATACCGACCAATAGATCTCGAGAAAAAAAAATATATATCATCGAGCCAACAGGACCGTTCATCTCTTTAATTCTTAAATAAAGATCAACACATTTAATTGATATTTATTTATGGGAAGATATGGGATCTTTTTCGATCACTGGAAGAAACTTGATTTATGATCCGTAAAAAACATTACGATGACATTATGTCATTCACGTTAGAAACAACGCGTGTCGTTCGCTGAGAGATTACAATAAAGAAGAAAAGTGTAGCCGCCATGAAGGAATATCCATTTTGGGAAAAAATACATGCTATAGTTCATGTAGGATCGACGCAGAGTGATTTCTTTTAATAATAACAGAAATTTTGTTAAGTGGAAAATTGACGAACATGAACGGAACAGTTTCGGATAATGCCGCAAGCGAAGTTGTGTGACTCATACTTCATAAAAAGAAGTCAACTTTCTCATTGCGTGGGATACACGTTTGCGTAACTTTAGTTGTATTTTTATCTCTGCTATCATGTTCCTCGAGTTTCTCTTTGTCCATATAGTGGATTCGAAACGCTACACCATGTGTGAAATGAAAAAAATGCCGAAATTTTCGGATCAGTTTTATTTTGGAATTCTACACCTGTAACATGTTCCATGATATGAAATACTGAATGTAACAATTTAATTTATTTATAACTAAACAAACGGTATTTACAATGAAAATATTTATAAACCAGGATATTTCACTTGTGTGATTAATTGAAAACATACTTCCCAGAAATCTGTTAAATGAATGTTTCCTGTGATAAACACGGATAACTTTTCCTGTAAAAATACTCGATGAATCAATTAAGAGATCCAATTGGATTTATCTGTTTAAATGTTACATCTAATTAAAGATATAAGGAGATTTACTTATGATTCAAAATTTAAGTGTGAGTGGATAACTGATCTTCCTAATGCGGATAAAAAAAATTTCAAGTTCTATGATTTTTGAATTACTGAGAAACAAGTACAGACTCTACAACGTTTACCTAAAGCAATATAATGGTGAATATCTACATATATGGTTATTACTTGCATACGAAGATTTTGATGAACGAAATTTGGAAACTCAAAGAAAAGGAAGTTATTCAATAATTTATCTGAGATATTTAATACTCCTTCATATTCTAATTACATAACCAACTCAACTACAATACTTTTATAATTAACCATACTGATGATACAAATGTGTTATGCCAAATGATTCATGATACAAATAATTTATTTTCATTTAAAAAACAATGAATAAACTATTGAAGCTAGAAATGGAAGACTGAAATCAGATCAAGATGATTATTTAACCCTCCCAATAATTATATCATGAAGATCTCAAATATTATATAAAATTAAATGTTAATAAACAAAGAAATGTTAAATTAAACATACAATTAAAACCGATATATGAAATTGGATACTGCAGAGATATTATTAAAATGTGCAGAAAGTTGTAACAAAAAAAGTTGGAATCAAATTTGAAGAATGAAGCAGTGATGAATAGAAAGAGCAAGTGAAATGTTTGAGAAAATACTTGTGAAATTGTGAAATTTACAAATTTAAACAAAAGAGAATAAATGATGTGAATGAAGAATTACTATCGCTTATTAAATTGATCAAAAATGGCTTTTGTAAAAAAGAATAATTTTAATTTTTGAAAAATTTCTGCTCAAATATATTGCATTATAAATTTAAACTTAATGTTCCTTATATCACAATAGAATATAGTTTAATGCATTACAGAAAAGTATATGAAAACCTCATCAATTTAAATAAACTCATATTTATATACATGTATAAACTTGCTTGTTGCACATGGAGTAGTAGTATATTAAAACATTAATGATTTATTGCTCACAGATTTGCAATATTTCATTAAATTCTATGTTTTTGATTTTTGAATAATATATATATATATATAGTTTATGTTGCTATTATTATTATTTATTTTAAATATTACAAAAAATTAGTTTGTTTTAATGCATCCTTAAGTGGCTGAGTAAATATATTAAAAACATATTCAAACGTGTTAATAAGCATATATACATACATATATGTACGTTTCAAATTAATATCCAGTGTGATTGTCCCAAGTATGCATATATGTTGGAAGAAAATCAGGGAAACGATTAATGAAAACCACAATTCCCTCAATGGAACTAAATCAGAATTGAATATCTTGTCTTGAGTTATTCTTCAGCGTCGTCTGTTCAAGAGGAGACTTTTCAGATATTCGAGATTAAAGCTTAACACAAATTAACTTTCTGCACCATTAAGGCCGTACGTTCACTAAACCTTTTGAATTTTCTTCCTTTTAAGATGAAATCATAAAGATGGAGAAAAAGGAGAAAAAGAAAAAGGCTGGGACTCCCAGTGGAAAAGGCAGTACTAAACGCACTCGAGGAAGTGCAAGAGGACGCAGTGGACTCAGGGGTAGAGGAGCTAGAGTGAAACGTAATGTTGGGACTGTTAAAAAAGAGCAAACGTGGCAAGCTGGACAAAATAATAATAACAATGTACGTGGTGGTTTTGTGAGAAAACGATACAAGAAAAGCACTGGTTTAACCAGGTCAAGAAGTAACTTGACATTAAATCAAAAAACTAATGCACGAGGAGCGTTTAATGCACGTCGTGGACGAAGCAATAGATTTGGTTTAACTCGTAGCAGAAGTCGTACAAACTTGACATTTACTCAAGGAGGATTTTTCACTAATAATAAAACTACATTGAAACGAACAAACAGTTTACCAAATCTACGTGATCCAACTTCGGTTCATAATCGGTTGGGATATCAAAGCCCTGCTCAAATTGCCTATCGGAATCGTGTTAAAAGGGCAAAACAATTATTGTTACAAAGACAAAATCAGAGACTGTCTTTACAAAATCAATTCAGAGTAAGTTAATATATACATCGAGTTAAAATATTAATAGCTTTAAAACTAAAATAATTTCTTTTTTTGCAGATACCTCAAGCTGGAAAATCGTTAATGTCACTTCAGCAAAGATCTACAGAGAGAAGACAACAAATTTTAACATCTCAACGTCGTTTTACTACCGGTGGATTACGCTCGGATCAAATTGCTCGTGCACAAAGACGGGCGCAATATGAACAAAAGTTGATGAGAATGAAGTATGATTAAAACTTTTATAATTTACTGTTCTGAAGTATTTTATTTTATACAATTTCGTATGTCCGTACAATTTATTTGTGTGTACACTTTAATTGAAGTAATACGATGTTATAGTTCCTCACGATTAAATACGAATTCAAGCGTGAACTTCATGTGCACATTGGGGAATGAATATAGTCCAGGCACTCATCAACGTCCTGTCACACTTGCACCAAGTCGAAATGGGAGTGTCATAAACAATTTGCGCCCGTTGCCAAGAGGACGTTCACCGTTTAGACAAAGTGTACAAAGCTTAAATATGGTATGCTTTAGATTTGAATTATCGTGAAAATTTCCAAATTTTAAAAAACCTAAAAATCCAAATTTCTAAATTTGTGTAATATAATTGGATCACTCAAGGATTTAATATGTTTCGGATACCCGCATGTTCTTAATATCTTTATTAAGTACATGGTAATTTACTTCTTATACAACACGTAAGAATTCATGGATTTCAGGTTGGTCGAGCACCTTTATTTAGCCGACAACGTTCGAGGTCACGCTCACGGTCCCGTTCTCGCACACGTAACACGCCATCATCAGATGCAGGAGCCGACGTAGATGATCGTACTTTCAGCGAGCTCATGTACAGCTTATCTGGAAATCTTGGTGTTACCGGCAGAACGCTTAATGATAGATTTAGTTTTTAAGTCTGGAAAAGAAAATTTTGTTTTGTATTTAGAACGTAAGACTGCTGAGGCCAGAAGTGAATTTTTATACTTAAAGCATAGATAAAATGGTATTAAATGAAAAAATAGCTCAGCTACTTGAATATTCTTGACTTAGTTTTGTTCTATACTTTAAGCAATATGGAAATCATTTTTAAATTTGTAAGATGTACAACATTTATCTTTGGAATACTTGGAAGCGATAGACATGATAGATTCAATTTTTGCTAAATTTAATACTTGCATTATCTTCTGGTTCTAACAATATTTTGCGTCGTGATATCTAATTCATTTTTCATTTATCGAATCTATATTTAATTCGTGTTCTATAGAAACAAAATTAAATTAGTTAAGCTTAAGAAATTAGCAAGATGTGTAACATATAAGAAAAGAAAATTCACAGTAAACTTTTTTCGTGATAAACAAATTTCAAATTGTTTCTGAATGTTTCAAATAAACATAAACTTTTCTGTTAGTGTAAATAACATTTAATTTAAAAATCCAGTAAATGTTATTTTTTATTAGATTTAACACATTTATGACAAGATGTGATTTCAATCATACTTTAGTTTGTTAAATAGCGAGAAAGGAATTAAATATGAAAATTATGTTGCTAATTATAAAAACTTCACAAATTTTGTCAAATGTATGTTATTAAAATCGACATAGGTTTACTCTGAAGAAAAAGTTAGTTAAAATAATAATTATCGTAATGAACGATATTATTACAAAACTCATTTACATCTAACTTCGAAATCCTAATGCAATATATATAGCATAGTATGAACTTGTTCTATTACATCAGTAATACATAAATAATTAAATGCTTATAAGAAAGTCATATAATCAGAATATACATAACGTATAACAGAAGTACAATGTAAATTGGCTTTTTATATTTTATTGTATAAACATATTTCATACACATTTAATACATATTTCCTAAATAGAATCTTTATTGCATTGATATAAAGATTTAATCTAACTAACGGAATAATTTTGTTAATTATTTAGATTTATCTTAAGCAACGAATTACATTTTTGAAATGTACATATTGTATGGCAGGTATTATACGTCAATATAATATTAATTATACGAAAAACCATGGAGTTATTAATATGATAAGACTACATATATGTATATATAGTACATGTTTTATATTCATCGCCTACTTGACTTAATTGTTTTTGTAAGTTGAAGGTTCTATAATATGGTTTTACAAGCAAAATATCTTGTAATATTTATACACAACAAAATTACTTCAGACATTCTTACAGCAATCAAGTAACTTTTTAAATGAACGTATTAAATGTATTCATTTATGTATATCTGTAAAGAAAGTTTCAAAATTAATAATTTACAAAATGACAAGAATTTTGTCATTGACGAAATTCGCTCAAAGAATAGAAGGAACGGTAAATATTTCATTTTATACGTAATTAAATATGAATATAAATAAACAGTTAAGTCTAGTATAATTACATTAAAATATGAAAATCCAAACTGTTCGGACAGTGTTAATTTTTAAAAATAATTTTCTAGCTTTTGGCTCGAACATCTATTCTGAAACAGTGGACTGTTCAACAAACTCGACACTTGCAAGTTCATGAACATATCGCATATAGTTTATTAAAAGAAGCTGGAATTCCGACACCACCATTTGGAGTGGCCAAGACTCCAGATGAAGCAGCAAAAATAGCCGCAGATTTAAAAACAAAAGACATTGTTTTAAAAGCTCAAGTTCTTGCGGGTGGTCGTGGTATAGGACACTTCAAAGGCACTAACGTCCATGGAGTTGTTATGTGTGAAACGTGAGTTTAATTCAGAATCAAATTATTTATTACTCAATCAATTCTCTTTGCACATTGTTGTATGTGTATTTTAACAAATTTTTCAATGTAATTTGCAGCCCTGAACAAGCAAAAACTATTAGTAGCAACATGATAGGTAAATTGTTAGTAACAAAACAAACTGGTGCAGCTGGAAAAATTTGTAATTCGGTAATGGTAACAACTCGTATGTTTCCACGTAAAGAATATTATATGTCAGTAATGATGGAGACTTCTTTTGATGTAAGCAAATTATAAAAGAAGTAATTGGATACATGCTTAAAAGAAAAACAATTATAGGGACCTGTTATAATCGTATCTAAACAAGGTGGTGTTAATATCGAAGATATTGCTGCAAAAAATCCTGAAGCTATATCATATGTACCGATTAATATAATGGAAGGTTTAACACCTGAACAAGTAAAAACCATTGTGGGTAAATTGGGAATAGAAGATGAAGGCAAAAAAATTACCTCACAAATTATTTGTAATCTTTATGAATTGTTCATTGAGAAAGAAGCTTTGCTACTTGAAATTAATCCATTTGCTTTAGACATCTGTGGAGAATGTACGTATAAAAAGAAATTTTTTAAATAAGGTTGACTGATATTAATGTCCGTTTCCAGATTATGCTCTAGATTGTAAATGTTCTTTTGATGATAGTTCTGCATTCAGGCAGAAAGATCTGTTTGCTCTACAGGATTTTTCACAAATGAATCCTAATGAAGTTCAAGCAGAAAAATTTAATTTGAACTATATAGCTTTGGATGGAAATATAGGCTGTATGGTAAATGGAGCTGGATTAGCAATGGCTACTATGGATATTATAAAATTGTATGGTGGTATGCCAGCCAATTTTTTAGACGTAGGTGGTACTGCTACTACAGAAACTGTGAAAGAAGCATTTAAAATAATAGTCTCTGATCCAAAGGTACTTAGAAAATTTAGTATGAGTATTAATACAATTTTTGATTAAGATTTGATAAAAAAATATACAATTTTTAGGTAGAAGCGATTTTAGTAAATATATTTGGTGGTATTATGAGATGTGATATAATAGCTGAGGGAATTATTACTGCATCTAAAGAATTAAATTTAACTGTTCCAATAGTCGTAAGATTACAGGTAATTTAATAATATTTTCAATAAGAAATTGTAAAAGATTATTACAAATTTCCTTCCTTATATTGATTTATATAGGGAACTAATGTAGAACAAGCAAGAACTTTGATTCAACAGGCACAATTGAAAGTTATTGCCGTGGATGATTTTGCCATGGCAGCTGAAGCAGCTGTAAAATTAGCATTCATGGTAAAAGCAGCAAATTCATTAGATATGGATATTGTCGTCAAACCTAAAGTAAAGGCTGATAAAACATCAAAATGATTTTTAAAAATGGGATTCAAATAACATTAATTAATCAGTATTTCAAAATATAATCTGTTTGTACTTTTAAATCTGATTTTACATTAGTTATACAAATAACTTTAAACAAAATGTCAGAAAATGTATACAATGACTGTCTTTTATACTTCTATTTTCTATATAAATTTGTAGATGTAAACGTATTTATAAAAAATAAATATTTTCTTTAAAATTGTAGTACTAATTTATTTTGCTTTTTCAATAACATCTATAAAACATCATTCAAATTCTCTGTACATTGGATACATTGTTATAACATGTATTTTATATTAAATTATAAGTGCTTGGCTTATCAATGTCGTCACGAAAATAATGCGCATGATTATTATTTTATATGTTCAACACTTATAAATGTAAAACTAAAAGTGCGTAAATATGTAAAGTTGAAAATCCGAAACAAATAATTTAATTCTTTTGAATTATGAAAAGAAAAAGGATTGATTAGTAACTATTAATAACGGTGAAATGATATTTTAATTATTCAAAAGAAATAAAACTTTCACAAAGTGTTTCGACAGCGCATAATAGTGCTGCCACCGTGTTTCGTCCGCGGAGTTTGCGTCATGTTTTTGTAGGAAACGTCAAGAAAGGTGGGGACATGAAGGCGCAGCTTACATTTCGCAGTCCACTGCTACTCCTTTAGTAAGATGGCTACCATGTTGTCTCGGACCGCCTCACTCGTTGAAAATTTCACTCGAATCAATGGGTTGAAGGTACGCTAAATCGTTTATTTTTCATACAACATTACTTTATTCATTCGCATAAATTTACACCTATTTATTTCTTTTATTTGTGTACTTCAAGATTTCTTAGTATTTACGCCAATGATTCACAAGTGGAGTAATCACCATATTAGAATGTTCTGTAGTCTGCTAAATTGGGCGCCAGGGTCAGACGATTCGAAGCCAAAGATTGTGGCCTTGCACTAAACACAATTTTTTTGCGGAATATGAGTATGACAGTTGTGCAATACAAATGTAATCAATTTCGTATTCAACCTTTGATTCTTTGGTCATTGACACTGTCTTCTTTGTTCGTATTTAATTGATGATTATTAAATTATGCGAGAACAAGTACCACTTGTCAAACAATTGACAACTGTCATTCTTTAAAAAAAAATTCTAAATTTAAACAATTGAAAACTAGTATTTTTTAAGAATTATTTCATAAAACGTCTTTATCTATATTTGTTATTATTTTTATATTTTTCTACATTATTTTTAATTGTTTTAACTAAAAGATTTGTTCAACAAAGAAAAAGTAAGGTACAAGTGTCAAGTAATGAATTAGAAGTATGTAGGCCATTACCACTGATTGATCTTTGAGTTCAGATTATTTTTACCTCCTATTGCTTAAAGCTCATGAACTAAGTTCATGAACTGTTGATGTTGATACATCAAGTTACTTCGAATAGTTCAATGTCTTTTCATGTGTTGTGAAATTTATTTTTTAAGGAACATTGACAATATAAGTACAATTTTGTTATGTAATTATATTCAGTGAGCCAATTATAAAAGCTAATTATAATTGTAATTTCATTGATTATTGTTCTTTGTTACATTATTGCATTAAATTGTTATTAAATTATTTATGTTTTTATAGATATTGGGTTGCAAAACCAACTTGGCAAAACAACCAGTTAGGAATTTAAATGTTCATGAACACATAAGTTATACTCTGTTAAATGAAGCTGGAGTACCAACTCCTAAGTTTGGAGTTGCTAAAACTCCAGATGAAGCTGCAAAACTTGCTGCTGACTTAAAAACCAAAGACATTGTTTTAAAAGCCCAAGTATTAGCAGGTGGCAGAGGTAAAGGTCATTTTAAAGGGACTAATATTAGTGGTGTGAAGATGTGTGAAACGTAAGTTAGTATTGTTATGTTTAATGATAAATAATAATATTATTTTGTATTCTACTAATTTTTCCATTATAGGCCAGAAGAAGCAAAAAAGTTAGCTAGCCAAATGTTAGGTAAACTGCTAATCACCAAACAAACAGGTGAAGCAGGTAGGATATGTAATGCTGTTATGGTAACACAGCGCATGTTTCCTCGCAAAGAATATTACCTTGCAGTCATGATGGAAAGAGCCTTTGGTGTAAGTTATTAAACAACAAGCATTTAAATAAATAAAACAATAGTTCTTCTGATTCACAAATAGTTAATTTAAGGGTCCAGTTATAATAGCCTCAAGTCAAGGTGGTGTAAACATTGAAGAGGTTGCTGCAACAAATCCTAGTGCTATAATGTATGAACCTATTAATATTAACACGGGTATTACAAAAGACCAGGCAGATCGCATTGCTGTTAAGCTTGGTCTTCAAAATGTCAAAGATTATATTTCTGATATTATTATGAACTTGTACAAAATGTTTCTGAAAAAGGATGCTCTTTTGTTGGAAGTAAATCCTCTAGCAGAAGATATTAATGGAAAATGTAAGCTTAATTAATGAAAAACTTAATTAACGACTGCACATATAAAAAAACATTATTAAATTGACTCTATGTCATTTAGATTTCGCATTGGATTGCAAATGTAGATTCGACGATAACGCTGAATACAGGCAAAAAGAGTTATTTGCCTTGCGAGATTGGACTCAAGAAGATCCTAAAGAAGTTGAAGCTGCCAAATTTGACTTGAATTACATTGCACTTGATGGCAATATTGGTTGCATGGTAAATGGAGCAGGATTGGCTATGGCTACTATGGATATTATAAAATTGCATGGAGGAGAACCAGCTAATTTCTTAGATGTGGGTGGTGGTGCCTCTACATCTGCTGTAAAGGAAGCATTTAAAATAATCACGTCCGATCCACGAGTAAGTGATCTACGCGTAATATATTTAAATTAATGATATTAAACTGTATTCTATGTTTATATTGAATGTAGGTTCATGCCCTCTTAGTCAACATATTTGGTGGAATTATGAGATGCGATGTTATTGCAGAGGGAATCATAGCTGCAACTAAAGAACTTAGCTTAAAAATTCCAGTTGTTGTTCGATTGCAGGTAGAATACTAATAAATGCCTTCTTGTGAATAATTTAATATTACTACATTTAATTGTTTTATGATTTCAGGGTACAAATGTAGACGAAGCGAAAGCACTTATTGCAAATGCGGGTTTAAAGATCGTTCCAATCGACGATCTTGACGAAGCAGCTCGCGTGGCGGTGAAATTATCAACGATCGTTAAACTAGCGCAATCAGAAAATCTTAGTGTCAACTTTGAAATTCCTTCAATTTCATAAACTTAGAAAAAATATATATCAGGAGAATTACGAAAGTATATTCATAATTTGTTAAATTCTTGGAACAATATTTGAAAGTAATAACTAGATTAACATTTCAAATGACATTTCTGTGTTACATCTAGAATCACATTTGAATATCGTACACATCTTTATTACAATTTAAACGAAAATTTATTTTTCAAGAGAACAGGTGTTTGCTTATCGCTATATAAATGTTTATTGTTAGAAATTACCAGATAATTTATTCACATTCGGTGTTGCCTCTTTAATGTAAGCACAAATTCTTTCCCGAGAAGTACTTTAAACTTCTTCAAGAATGTAATTTATTGCTTACCCATTAACGGGTCTCTGTGATTCAGTATTAAAGTTAAGTTATATGATATATATGTATCAAAATAGTCATATTTTTTGCAAGAAAATGTATCCTACATTCTTTTAAAACTCGTATTTTGTACTGCCAAAGTACGCGGTTATCGTCGACGAATAAAAACCTTTTGTATAATCGTATATGATAAAAAGAAAGTTATACTTCAGACACTCGAGATATACTGATATATCTCACCTAAAAAAGGCCTGTTTAATGTAATATAGATATATGTAGTTATGTGTATACATATATAAATTATTTTACGTAATTTTAGATTGTCTTTATTCTATCAACAAATCAAAAGCAATGTTCACGTTTTTCTTTCCCTGAAATGCATATTACAAAATAACCAGATTACGACGTATCAGTATTATGACATGACGTGATCACAATGATGAAATACATTTATGATATATTATTCGCATTTATTTTAAAGACAATACGAAATCTGTTACAAGATGTATCATATTATAAAATTCATAGCATAATTTAATTTATTGAAAATAATTTATATACTTGATGACGATTAATGATAAATCAGTGTTGCGATATTTTAAATACAATATGAAAATATTTCGAACAAAATTTGGATGTTCCTTGGAATGCGAAACCGTTCGAAAATATTTTTGCTTAAGTGAAATTGTTAAGACCAACAATGGAATTCTCTTTTTCAATAAAAATATCATGTTGTTATAACAGTTGTATTATTCATGCATTTCTAAAGCGATTCATTTTTGAATATTTTGAATTGTTATTTTACATTCGCTCTTAGGTTGGCTCTCCTGTTTGATGCGCATAACGATTGGTAACAAAGAGCCGCAGATTAAATTTCAAATAACGTAAATATATTCTCGAAATCTGTCGGTGTCAATTATTGTTCTTATTTTTTTAAGTTTGTGAAATTAAAACCTAAACTTTTAGAAACATGGTAAGAACCAAAGCAGATCGTGTACCTACAAAAGGTGAGAAAGATTTTAAAGGACAATTTTATAAAATGAAATACTACAGGAAATTTAGATCGTTTCTTTGTTTCTTTGTTCACCCTTTCATTACTTTTAAGAGAATTATACTTTCATATTATGCTTACACCATAATATTTCGTTTAATTATAGAAATCTAAAGGCATGTTTAATTTGATCAAACATTTATTATTATTTACAGCTGTTGGCAGTAAAGCACCAGCAAAATCTGTAAAAAGCACACCTACTAAAAAAGTAGCAGGAAGTAGCAAGGGTAAATTTTTCATATAAAATTTATTATTTCCTCATATCAATGAAATTCTATACATGTATAATTTCAGGAAAAAGTCATTCAGGTGGAAATCCATATCACCCAAGAGCCACGCCAGAATGGCAAAAGCCTATTACATGTTTTATTAATCAAAATGCTACAAACAAAGTTGAGGTAATTATATAAATATTAATATATTTATATTACACATACTAATATTCGAGTGATAAAAATTACATTAATGTTAGCAGGAAAATGAAGACGAAGGCACCAGTAAAGAAGCAAATAACGAGTCAGATTAAAAGTATTCATTCAGATACTATTGTAATATTGTCCAGTACAAAAATTATTTATTTTTTTTACGAGTAACATAGGAATAAGTACTTTATATTACATTTTTAATGAACAAATGGATTTTATTTTAACTGTGTTAATAGAAGTAAGAAATGAATCAACAAAAGATTTTTAGTTAATACAATTTGGTACATAGTTGCCATGTATGTTAGAAGTGAAATTTCTGTGGATAAAACTTTAAAGATTTAGAAGCTTACATTTAAAAAATTTTTGAATCTAAATCATAGAAGTTCCACTTCAAAAATGAAGTTAAACTTTAAGTTAAGTTTGTAAGATACAACTATTTTTATAAATATGACATATGAAATATACTCAGTGCCATAAACATAATTTCTGAGATTATAAGAGTATGAAAAATGCAATAAATAGAACGGTAATAAGTAAAAATAATATAGTAAAATTTAATGTTTTTTAACAAAATAGGTCTCTACTTGAATTATTCATGGTGCAGAAAATATATGTTAGAATACAAGTATGTTTCCATAATTTACTATTATTTAAATTGTTATTTTTATATAAATCTAAGTATTTGAAAGAAGCTTACACAAAATCAACAGAAAAAGTGTTAGCCAATCACGAAACAGTGTTTTAATGTTTTTTTTTCCATAGTTATTATTCCAGTAGATTTTGGAACGCGCAATTACCATCAAAATTTTGGCAGTCCAAGTTGTGGAAAAGATTCGCAGTATTGAAATGCTGCCGACGGTGAAATTTCATTAAAATACGGTTTCTGACAAGATATTTAACTAAATAAACCGAAACGAATTTAGTGTCGTCTGCTCTCACGGAACGTCGTACTTTTTTTTTCTTTTCGTTTCATTATAACGTAGAATATTGGAACGACAACTGTAACCGGCTGTGAAAAACTTTTCAATCATGGCTAGTGTCTCTTATCAAATTGCAAACTTGCTGGAAAAGGTACTGCATTCGCTTTTTCAAGCAAATGTTAAACATTCTTTCATTGCTTATTATAAAATAATACATTGCAGAAATATTAATGTTAAAACAAGTTTAAATATTCACCTTACACATAACCTCTTTCTATTCGTTTAAAAAATATGCTTCAATTTCTATGAAAAACATTTTGCTAATTTTTGTTGAAAGCAACAATGTTATGTATGTTTAAATATATTAATTTCTTTTAAAAGTTCAATAAAATATTTTATTATTATTTCCTGCATGTGCAAACTTGTATACTGATTAATCACTGTAAATGAGAAACAAGAGTGTTTTTAAGTTATGTGTCAATTAAGATGATTTATTGTAAAGATTATTTCAGTTTCTGTAGATCATTATACGCAGTGAAATGTGTTCAGAGTTACACATGATGCAGTTAATATGTTTTATGAATTTCATTGTCCTAGATGACATCCAGCGATAAGGATTTTAGATTTATGGCAACCAATGATCTAATGAGCGAATTACAGAAGGACAATATTAAATTGGATGATGACTCAGAACGTAAAGTTGTAAAAATGCTTTTAAAGTTGTTGGAGGACAAAAATGGAGAAGTACAAAATCTTGCTGTAAAATGGTAGTATATCTAAATTAAATTGAATATATATATTTTATACAATAAAGATATAAACAATTATTATGTTTATCTTGTAAATTAAATATGCAATTTTTTGCGTGCTTGAAACGCTTATTATGTTTGCAAGATTTTCTTTGTGTTTGGACACGATTACAGAAACGTGTCCGATTTCAGTTTGGGCCCATTAGTCAATAAGGTAAAGGAGTACCAAGTGGAAACTATTGTAGATGCACTGTGCAGTAATATGGTGTCCGACAAAGAACAATTGAGAGATATTTCCAGTATTGGTTTGAAAACTGTAATCTCTGAGCTTCCTTTGGGATCCAGTGTACTTGTTGCAAGTGTTTGTAGACGAATAACTGGCAGACTTAGCAGTGCTATAGAAAAAGTAATTGTTATTGTTAAATTTCTACTAAAGTATTTCAGGAAAATTAATGAAATTTCATACTGCATAGTTAGAACAAAATGCCTAATTCTTTTTTACATAGCAGGAAGATGTATCTGTTCAACTTGAAGCACTTGATATTGTGGCTGATTTATTATCTCGATTTGGTGCTTTACTGATCACATTTCATTCTCTTATTCTGGCTGCATTATTACCACAACTTTCTTCTCCGCGTCAAGCGGTCCGAAAACGTACTATAGTAGCCTTGAGTCATCTTTTGACTTCAAGCAACAATTACTTGTACAATAAGCTTTTAGACCATTTACTTGAAGGGCTTGGTACACAAACTGCAAAAAATGTAATACGTACTTACATACAATGTATTGCTTCCATTTGGTAAGTATTTTTTCTATTGTAAAATATTATTATATTATTTACTTTTATCGTTTAATTTTAGTCGTCAAGCCGGACATAGATTTGGGGAGCAAATAGAAAGAGTTATGCCATTGATTGTACAGTATAGTAATGAAGATGATGATGAACTAAGAGAATACTGTTTACAAGCATTTGAAGCTTTTGTATACAGATGTCCCAAAGAAATTACACCACATATAAATAAAGTAATACCTTGTTTTGAAATTTTTTTCAGAATTAATTATAAATTGTAACTAACGAATGTTTGTTTGTAGATTATAGAAATTTGTTTAACATACATAACATACGATCCAAACTACAATTATGATGATGATATGAATGATGTGTCTGATGGGGAGGATGTAATGATGGAAATAGAAGAAGATGGAGAGGAAGATGCAGAAGATGAGTATTCAGATGATGATGATATGAGTTGGAAAGTTCGTAGAGCAGCTGCAAAATGTCTTGAAGCTGTTGTATCTAGTAGACGAGAACTGCTTCCCGAACTTTACAAAGTTGTTTCACCAGCCTTGATTTCAAGATTCAAAGGTAGATGTACACTTTGTAATATTTATTGCTTAAATTATGACACTGTAAACATGTATATGTATTTATAGAAAGAGAAGAAAATGTAAAATCTGATATTTTCCACGCGTACATCGCACTTCTAAGACAAACCAGACCAGCCACTGGTGTACCTTTGGATCCTGATGCAATGGAAGACGATGACGGACCAATATCATTATTACAACAACAAGTTCCATTGATTGTAAAGGCTGTCCATCGCCAGATGAAAGAGAAGAGTATTAAAACAAGACAAGATTGTTTTTCATTATTAAAAGAATTGGTACTTGTGTTACCTGGCGCTTTGAGTAATCACATACCCGCATTGATACCCGGCATACAATACTCTTTGGGAGACAAAAATTCTTCGTCAAATATGAAAATTGATACATTGGCTTTTGTACATACATTATTAATAACTCATCAACCGGACGCGTTTCATGCTCATATGGCAGTTTTAGCGCCTCCAATCATATCAGCTGTTGGAGATCCATTTTATAAAATCACAGCAGAAGCGTTGTTGGTATTACAACAGTTGGTTCAAGTAATTCGCCCACATGGTAAGTTTGTAATGCGATATATTTCTGTTTGAATAAAATTGCCGGTATTGTTGAATTTTCTTACAGAGAAACCGTGCTATTTTGATTTTACATCATTATCTGGAGAAATATATCGTTGTACTTTAATGAGACTGCGAACTGCAGACATTGATCAGGAAGTAAAAGAAAGAGCAATCGCTTGCATGGGTCAAATTCTCGCACATTTTGGAGACACGTTATCCGACGAATTGCATGTATGCCTTCCTATATTTTTGGATAGACTTCGTAATGAAATTACACGACTTACGACAGTGAAAGCTTTAACGTGTATAGCATCGTCTCCTTTAAAAGTAGATCTTAAACAGATTATGGTGCGTACATTATATTATGTGTCATATAGATTAGTACCTTTTATTGTACTAATATATAATATTACTGTATTTTTTTTAGGAGGAAGCAATTCCAATTCTGGGATCCTTCTTAAGAAAGAATCAACGAGCTTTAAAATTATGTTCTCTTCCACTTTTAGACACTTTGGTTCGAAATTATAGTTCTACCCTTCATGCAGATTTATTAGACAAGGTAACAATTCTTCAATTAGGAAAAGAAACTTGAACCCTCATATTTCAGTAATTGCACTAAAATATTTTATTAGGTTACTACGGAATTACCAGCACTACTGAATGAGACTGATTTACATATTGCGCAATTAACTCTCAATCTTCTTACCACTATAGCAAAATTACATCCAGTCGCTCTTACAAGGGTTTCTGATAATATCCTTCCAGAAATATTAGTATTGGTAAAATCTCCACTTCTTCAGGGTAACGTATTAAAAACTCTCTTATCTTTTTATCAAAATGTATAAAGAAATCGAATTATTAATTCTTTGTTTAATATACTTTAGGTGTGGCATTAAATTCAATGTTGGAATTTTTCCAAGCATTAGTTCAAGCAGATATACCAGGTTTGGGTTATAGAGAATTATTGTCAATGTTGTTAGCACCTGTCAGTCAGTCTGTACTTCATAAGCAAGCGTACCATTCCCTTGCTAAGTGCGCAGCCGCTTTGACTATCACATGGCACCAAGAAGCTCAAGCAGTGGTAGAACAGTTTTTAAAAGATGTGCAGAATCCTCAAAGCGACGCACAGCATATTTTCGCATTATTGGTCATTGGTGAAATAGGCAGACACGTGTAAATATACTTTACATTATGTAATCTTTCAAGGATTTTTTCCTATTATTTTTATTTATACATTTTTATTCAGGGACTTGAGTGGAATTAATTCTTTAAAGCATACAATTTTAAACTCATTTTCCTCGCATTCGGAAGAAGTTAAATCAGCAGCTAGTTACACGTTAGGTAATATAGCAGTTGGTAACCTTCCAGAATATCTACCATTCATATTAAAAGAAATCGAAGCACAACCAAAGCGTCAGTATCTGCTTTTACATTCACTGAAGGAGGTATATTACAAAATTGTGTGTGTTATTTGATTTTCATTAGAAATATAAAGCGTTTCAATAATATATTGTACCATAGATTATCACGTGTCAATCTGCTAGTCCATCTGGAGTAACGCATTTGCAAAATTTCGTGCCTTCGATTTGGATGCTTTTATATAGGCATTGTGAATGTACAGAAGAAGGCACACGAAACGTTGTAGCAGAATGTTTAGGAAAACTTACTTTAATCGATCCAGCTACTTTACTACCAAGATTACAGGAATCATTGAAATCACCCTCTGCATTAATGAGAACTACTACAGTTACTGCTGTTAAATTCACTATTTCGGATCAGGTATTCCAACGTATTCAATTAACAATAATATATTTCATTCTACTATGTATGCACAAATAATTAATAATCTTTATTACAGCCACAACAAATTGATGCTATGTTAAAGCAATGTATGGGCAACTTTTTAGTTGCGCTAGAAGACCCTGATTTGAACGTGAGGAGAGTAGCTTTAGTTGCATTTAATTCCGCAGCTCATAATAAACCAATGCTTATAAGAGATTTATTAGATTCTGTATTACCACATCTTTACGCCGAGACTAAGATAAAGGTATTTCATCAATAATAAGCTAATGTTTTGTGTTCTAATAATATGTTTTAATAATTGTAGAAAGAACTCATAAGAGAGGTTGAAATGGGCCCTTTCAAACACACAGTGGATGATGGTTTAGATCTTAGAAAAGCAGCATTCGAGTGTATGTACACTTTGCTGGACTCTTGTCTCGATCGATTGGATGTTTTCAAATTTTTAAATCATGTTGAGAATGGTCTTAGGGACCATTACGATATCAAAATGTTGACTTACCTTATGACGGCGAGACTCGCACAGTTGTGCCCCACAGCAGTTTTACAAAGTAAGTGTTGATCGTAAATAAGTGATTATGATTTTTATTAATAGGTTCTTTATCCGTGTATAGGGTTGGAGCGATTGGTTGAACCATTAAAGAGTACTTGTACGATGAAAGTCAAAGCGAATTCCGTGAAACAAGAGTATGAAAAACAAGATGAACTTAAACGCTCTGCGTTGAGAGCTGTGGCAGCGCTGTTAACTATTCCAGATGCAGGTATAAATTGATGTTAATATCAAGTACAATACTTGTGGCGGAACACAAACTGTAACTTTTTTTGTTCCAGATAAAAATCCGTCGTTAAGCGAATTCGTAACACAGATCAAAGCAACACCCGAACTCCAACCCCTTTTCGAAATAATTCAAAAAGATTGTACCGGTAGTAGCGTCAACGAAACAAATGTGATGGATCAGAGTTAAAAAGTTTACGACTTACTTTTTGTATTTCACATAGATCGCTGTTAGCTAAGCATTCACGGTCATATTATTGATAGTTTATTTCTATACGTTATTTTTTCATTATTGTCTTCGATTTTGAAAGTAGTTTGAAATGAATGTGATTTTATGTAACACGCCATGTATAAATTATAAAATAAATTTTGTCAATTGTAAGCATTTTACGATAATGCATTAGCTTTTTGTTCGATAGTAAATACTACCAAAATTATGATTTACTTTTAATCTAAAGAATCTATTATTCAACGAGGAGTAAGGTACATAGTATAAATTAGTTATTTTACGTTATAAATTAACAAATGTTATATCACGTGACAATTACCACGTCTTTTTCATCTCAAAAATTTGTATAAAAATTTATGTTGCATTGTCTGACACGTATACGTGACTTATTTGTTGACCCACTTTTGATTTTCCAATAAATTTGCTAGCAAGGCTAACTACTACTTTCCCTTCAAATGTCCTTTTATAAACTGCAAGATTGGAACATCCTCAATTGTTTAAAAATATACTACGAATTCAAATTAATCTCATTTTGTACAGTAAAAGCAACGTGATATTATATATACATGTATATATAGATTTCATATACTTATATCGATTTATATTGCATAATTAAGCTCTAATCCTTTCTCTAACTCCAATACATGTCACTAATCATGTCACCCTTTTATGATCTTTCAAATTTCTGATGCCTTTCGTAAATGAATTTTGTAACACTTTATAATCATATTTCCTTTTAAAAATTAATAAAAAGTATAATTTTCAAAAAGCTATTTAGAAGATATGAATACTTTTAAGTATTTTTAAGAAGTACCAGTTCGAATCGAATAATTAATGTCAATATCTATTCGTATAATAAACTGCTGTTACATGAAAAGGCAGGAATGTATAGAAAGAAGAAAAATTGTGTAATTCGCTATTGCTATTGAAAGGAATGCGCGATACGTGCGAAGTGCAACGGCCCTAAAAAAATTCTGGGAACTGTAGGTCTCTAAATTTCTGACACTGTACGATCACGTAGCCACCTACAGTAGCAAACCAGATTTAACACGTAGCTGAGGTGCTACGTGATTATGTGGTGTTTTAAGATGTATAAACCGAGAGTGGACGGTCTTCGGCACTGTTTACGATTGCATTTTCGTTTGAAGAGTTCCATGCTTCACGCAGATGGTTTCTTGATCCCTGAAATAACACTTTCCATTTGAATATATAAGCATCGCTGTAGTTCATATAATCAAATCATTCCAGTCTTTATTTCAATATTTGAAATGTGTATGGGTAATCTGCAATGAAACATAAAACCTATAATGGAATACCGTGAATTATCCAATAAAACAATCAACGCACCTATTGACATAATCAGTCAATAACAGTTACTCTTCGATAAATCGTCGGCCTGATCGCTCCACATTTTGATCCATCCCATAATTTTCTTTCTTGTCATTCGAAAACTGTAAACAAATACATTTTATTTTTAGCGGGCAATTTAAACTATTTTGTTTGTTGTTTAATCTCCTTTAATAATTAATATATGCGTTTGTTCGTTACCTCATTTGCATCGCTATCCTGAAAACATATGCGAATGTAAGCTTACATTTTTTTTATGACCGTAGAAAATTGTTCTTGATCTTGACATTGTCAAAAGACATACTTACATACGTATCTTGAGGACATTGACCCCGTTGTGCAAATGTACCGTGCACATGAATATGATAAAGATCTGATTGATAACACACTATCGCAAATAGGACAGATTTTCGTGTAGTTACTGTTCATATCAGATTAGTAGGAGTGGGCAATATAACGCGTGGTTGTCGAATAACGCTTGACAATAAAGTATAAAGCAGACATAGTATTTGTAATTTGATCCCTTTTGCGTTTTTTGCTGCGGAACGACGGAGAAAAGGAAATTTCTTACCAACAGTATTATCGTTTTACATATATCGAATCGATGTCGAAATTAATTGAACTGCGAAATATATACTTTCCGCAGTTACCGCATTCTTAATAGTGTTGCGAAATTTGCGAAGTGTTTTTCCGTTTTCACAAAGAAGATAGCAACATTTTAAATACAATCGATCTTCTCTTCTCGTGGACCATCAAAACTGACAGTATGACACTAGGGAAAGAAAAAAACAGTACAAAGTAAAAGTGCTTTGCTTTGTTTAAAATATATAACAGTTTACGTAATTTCTTAAAAAATTTATGAAATTTTGTAGGAACAAAAATCTTCATGAGATCACTAAACTCCCTCGTAAATTCAGGATTTCTCGAATAGCGAACCCTTTCGATTATGTGACCCCGTGATTGGCCGATCGAGAATCGATGGTGGGGGGAGATATAAAAAGGGGTTACATCCAAGGAGCGGCGCACTGTGCGACAGTTCGGGATTGTACACGCGTCAGTTCGCGTCGCGGTTTTCTAAATTGTCTCTCAAATAATTCTGAAATTTTTAGACGTCATTGTCGTGCGTAATTGGCATAACGTTATTCGGCACATTTCGTAACGTAGTTTATTTTGCATTTGTCAATTACGATTTTGACAAGAAGGTTGCTAAAATAAGGGGAACCATGTGTGTACGCACGGTAGTCGGTACCGAGAGCAGTGAGCCGGTAGCGGTATACAATCAGCAGAACAAATTTCAAAAAGCGAAAGAAAAGTACATGAAATTACACGATGAAATGGTTGCTAAAGAATTGGAAATCATTGAACAACAAAAAGCTCAGACGGTCCTTATACCAGAACTTGCCGATGACATCTTGAGAGCTAGCACCATAAACTACAGCTCGTTGCTGAAAGTATTATCGAAGTATTACGAGGCAATACAGCAAACAAAGATCTTCAAGTAAGTGTTTTCTCTTGTTTTTTTTATTATATCGTTAGATGAACTCGATTAAATTTGATCGATGAAACCGTAATCAACTCTTTCTCTACTTTCCATTAATTCTCAACTGTCAGAACAATGACAGTACTATGTTTTAAAAAATAATGTAACTAGTTGATCAAAAGAAATGTATGGTAGGAGTTATGGTACGCATGTACAATGTTGACTGAAAAAGTAACTATATTTTTTAAAGTGAAAGTTTGATATTACATGACTATTATACGAAATCATAAGATTCGCGGTGTCAACTTTTATTTTTAATTGTTTTATCTGTTGACTAATTAACGGAACGAAATAATTCACGTTAGGTGATAAAGGAGGATACAAATCAAGCAAGTTGAAATTTAAAATCGCCGCGGCGTTTCAGTGAGCGTAGTTCAAATATTTGATATCAACTTGACAGGTGATAATAAGAGAGGCGATAATTATCAAATAAAATTTCTATTTACCGATCATGGTTACCTGTATGTATCGTAAAAATATTTGTATTTATGGTTACTCAAAATTTCCGGATTACAGTACCGGTTTAACGTTATCTTTCGGGTATCGATTGTCATCGAGTAAGCGATAATCGGAATGTATACGTTATACTTTACTACAATCGAAATCGTATCACTGCACTGATATGCATATGTCCGCTTTTATACTGATTGCACAAATACTTACATTTTAGATCCTAAGTCACAGAGAAGACCGAAGGTGGACAATAACTGTCTTGTTTAATTACGACCTAACTCAACTGCGACGTAACCTAACCTGAACACGACAATATAATTTATACAAGTTACGCTTTTATGTCGGTAATATTTCAAATATTCGAATTTTTTCTATGGTCATTAAACGTTCAGATTTTATATATTTTACGTAAAGTGTACTACTATGATTATTTATAGCGGTATCTTGATCGATCGTTTTCCCGCATTTATCTCTTTTTGTTCGAAAACGATACAATTGTAATTGGCTGAGAAATCAGTTCTCACGATTGCCCGGATATGTCAGCAAGAACGGAACTGGAGAAAGACAAACGTTCACATTCCCGTTGAATAATTCAAGGTTCGATCGAGATTATCGTTTCGATTATAATAACAAAGAAAAAAGAGAAGAAAAATGGTACTCGAAGGCAGGTTGCATATATATACGCAACATGCTACGTGACTTCGTGCTCGAATAAAAATGGCACCGGGTACTGACGTGATACTCGTTTATATATTAAGCGCTACTTGATCTGCGGCAAGAGTAGATGCAATCGGGCGTGACATTTACACTTTTTACCCACGGAAGATGATTTTTTTAACGGAAATAGAAAAATGTTAGCTGCCTCCGTTCTTCACGGTACGATGACCGTAATTATAATATCATTAATCATTTTTAGCGAATGAAATCATTGACATTAAATAGGAAACTATTAACCGATACTTTCAATTTGTAGGATAAATCGAAGAGGGCCGAATTGAAGTCATTTTACATGCTATTATCCATCGAATATTCTTCTTTTATCTTCTAATAAGAGATGGCAGAACACAGAGTTTTTGAAAGAGATTGTCCTAAGATTTGAAATCGTGAAGACGAATACCGTAATTAAGTTCGTGTTATGTAACGGCTATGGAGAAATCATGGGAACAAGTCATCCGAATTTACCAGCACTGTTCCTCTTCAAAATTTTCATATTTATTTATTCGGGAAAACTTCAGCGTTTTCCGTTATTGACGCAGTTTCTCGGTGTTTATTCGATGGCCCCCGCTGATCCGTTTGATTCACGATTTATTTATTGATTCAAGTGCGGTCTTTGATCCATCTTCGAAAGATAAAATTAACTTCGCTCCATCTCTGCATTGCTGCGAATGGCTTTCATATTTGCTACAAAGGCTAGAGTTTGCCTAGGCCTAAAATGGACATTACTTTCGACGCTACGTTAGATCAGCCGGGCCCCAATAGGTACTTACAGTTAACTCTCGTCATAATGCTACCAACGAGGCTGTAGCAATTGCTAATCTAGGAAGACATTCCGCTCGACCTTTTCTGATTCTAAATTCCCAAATTAATAATGCTGTATCAAACGTATACAACAAATAATAATATGAGATGCATTCCTACGGTAATTCAGTTACGTAATGAATGTATATTTGCTATAGAAATTGTTATGAATTCCATAGAAATAGGACACGTTTTGGGAAAAGTATTTTCAGAATCGTTTAAGACACGACATACCTCGGATTTGGCTGGTTATCAACATCCAGAATATAGTTGATAGAGAAAAATGCATTGAAATAACATGTCTTCGTTCAAATCACTAGATCCTTGTATCTTGTCAAGGAAAGTTGGATGACATCGTAGGTTAATTATCAGCAAGGCTACGTAACGCGGAGGTCCATAGACGAAGTGAAAGTATGGAACTAGGTTACACGTCCGTAGACATTATTTGCATGATAATGCAATTATTCATTAATGTTTCATTTTTCAAATTTGACTTAGTTTATTGGAAAAGAGAATCCAGAGTTTGTGGAGAGATATCTTTCGAAAATTTCTTACAAGTGCAGTCGAAACTGCCCATATTTCGTCTGGGTTACCATTGACCTGGCACTGTTCGAAGGTTATAAACCAGTGACGTGACACCTGCAGCCTGCAGTCCAGGGGATACCTGCTTATCCTTTTTTATACAGGGTGACGATCATAAAACCGGTCCCAAGTGTCTAATATGATTCAACAGTGTATCGCTATCCGGTAACAATACATAACTGGTATTACTCAAATACCTTATTGTATCGTTTCCTTCCCTTAGAACTTATGGAAGTATTTTATTAGTTGAATAAATTTCTCTGTACGTTCAGATTTAATGTCTGATAAATTTCGCATAGATCTTTAAGGAATTTATACAGCAAAAATAAAGAAGTTGTAGAGGTACATACATAATTATACAGTAGAATAAATATGAATGATGTTTGATATATAATAGAGCAAAAATAAATAAGTTGTATAATAGATAATATATAATAATTGTATAATAGAATGAATACAGACTAATGTTTGATATGCACAGCAAAAATAAATAATAAGTTGTAAAGGTACATAAATAATTATGCAGTAGAGTGAATACAAACAAATGTTTGATACATATATAGCAAAAATAAATAATAAATTGTAAAGGTACATAAATAATTGTATAATAGAATGAATACAATCTAATGTTTGATATGCACAGCAAAAATAAATAATAAGTTGTAAAGGTACATAAATAATTATACAGTACAGTGAATACAGGCTAATGTTTAATATGTACAGCAAAAATAAATAGTAACTTGTAAAAGTACATAAATAATTATAAAGTACAGTGAATACAGACTAATGTTTGATATGTATAGCAAAAATAAATAATAAGTTGTAAAGGTACATAAATAATTATACAGTACAGTGAATACAAACAAATGTTTAATATATAAAACACAAATGAATAAATTGTGAAATAATTGTACAGTAAAGTGAATACGAATAATTGATACATAATTCTATTTGATCAGTAATCAAGTCATGTTCAACACCGATCGAAGTCGATCAAACTACAATGGTTAGATAAGAGTGTCACGTGCGTCACCCTATATAATTCTTTCGTTTCTGCACGAAAGTCACGAAACATGGTATTCGTAGTCAGCGAGTCCATTAGCAGGTCCCAAGCAAAACGCACACCCTTCACCTGTTCTTTTTCTTCTTATACAATGCCTTCTTTCAGCCGTATCCTATGAAATGTGCCAGCTACCAAAGAGGTATTGTGTTACGTTAATCTGACGTTAACACCGTACATAGAACTAATAGGGAGGTCTAAGTGTTCGGATCATTTTCATCATACCATACGGTACATCTGGGAGATTTGTGCGTTGATTTTTTGGAGTTCATCAAGCTTTGATGGTTCAAGCTTTTTTATTCTTGAGTGCGTTCTCTTTGGGGGTCCCACGTGGAGGGTTCGAAACTCCCTTAATTTTTATGGTTCCGAATTCTCAAATCTACAAATTTCGACGCTTTCGAATTCTCAAATCTTTAAATTTCTACGCTTTCGAATTCTCACATCTCCTAATTTCTACGCTTTCGAATTCTCACATCCCCCAATTTCTACGCTTTCGAATTCTCACATCCCTTAATTTCTACGCTTTCGAATTCTCACATCCCCTAATTTCTACGCTTTCGAATTCTCACATCTTCAAATTCCTACGCTTCCGAATTTTCACATCCCCTAATTTCTACGCTTTCGAATTCTCACATCCCCTAATTTCTACGCTTTCGAATTCTCACATCCCCAAATTCCGACGCTTCCAAATTCTCACATCCCCAAATTTCTACGCTTCGAAATTTTCACATCCCCAAATTTCTACGCTTCCAAATTCTCACGTCCCCAAATTTCTACGCTTCCAAATTCTCACATCCCCAAATTCCGACGCGTTCGAATTCTCACATCCTCAAATTTCTACGCTTCCGAATTCTCACATCCCCAAATTTCTACGCTTGCAAATTCTCACATCCCCAAATTTCTACGCTTCCAAATTCTCACATCCCCAAATTTCTACGCTTCCAAATTCTCACATCCCCAAATTTCTACGCTTCCAAATTCTCACGTCCCCAAATTTCTACGCTTCCAAATTCTCTCATCCCCAAATTCCTACCGTTCCAAATTACCAAACCCCCACCTTCTTACGCTTCCAAATTCCCAAATCCCCACTTCCTACATTTCCAAATCCTCAAATCCCCAAATTCCTACCGTTCCAAATTCCAAAACCCCCACCCGCTTACACTTCCAAATTTCCAAATCCCCATTTCCCAAATTTCCAAATCCTCAAATCCCCAACTTCCTCCCAAATCCCCCAATACGATCATCCATCAAACCACAAAAACCCAAATCCACGTACTAACAAATTCGCATCCATCACATGAAACGTGTTTCAATGTCCAATCGGTGATTCACGAAACAGTCCCACAAAATTCCGGGTTTATTCATGAACCCCCTGGTATTCCCATGCTCCCCGTTTCGCAAGAAGTCCCAGGTAGCCGAAGAATTTTAATGACCGTAATACGGAGCTGCATCTGGTCGATGCTGTTGGCGTTTGGTCAAAAGACACATTTCGTATTTACACTATGGTGACTAGTTGAAAGCGAAAGATGCGTGACGTTGCAATAAGACGTGCGTCAAAGTCGTTCGTCTTCTCTCGCTAAAAGTTCCCTGTGCCTAAAATACATGGACAAGGCATTTGCCAATAATATAACTGTCGACCGTTTAGTGCTATTTGAGTTGCATTTAACCAGAACGGTTTAAATAAATCATCTTCGCTTGTTGACGCTTTGTCATTGCTGGAAACATTGATTCTATATTTATATGTTGATTACGACTTCTTTCTTTGCTTCTTTTTTTTACGGTGACTTTAACGTACATTTAACTGGTTAATTGATGGATGTCTGAGATAATTTTTAACTGGGGGTGCTTAGGCTGACTTTCTATATTTTACTAGTACTTTTAACTAGGAGTGTTTATATCTCCACCTTCTATATTTTACTGTTACTCACAAATATCCTCATTCATAAAATCTGAGAACTTGAGAGTCCAAGAAAACTTAAGAATATTTCAGAATTTAACCCTTTGCGCTCGAGAGGCGCCATTCGATTTAATACAATAATTTAAAAGAAGCATTATTCAATTAATTCTATAATAGTGCTTATGTATAAACGTAGTGAAATAGACAATAGTGGAAATTATTAGTAGGGAAATAATAACTTCAAGTCATTTAACATTTTAATTAATATTTTAAAGTTGCTGTTTGCAAACAGTAAAATTATCTTCGAGGGCAAAGGGTTAAAAATTTCAGTTAACCCCTTGTATCAGTTGCGTCAGAACTATTTCAATAATATTAAAATCATTAAAGAAAGTCAAAATGTTGCGACTACTTTGTATTCAATCGCTAACTACACAAATTATAATTGAACTCGAACTTCAAATAGAAAAGTATTCAAGTAAGATTTGTCGCATTTGAACCGTAATTGCGTCACGAGTCAAAATACTGCAAGGGGTTAACAATGAAACTAAGAAGTTTGAGAATTGCTAAATAAAATTTGAGAGACGCTTCGAAAGTTAATACGAAAGAATCGTAAACGCGATCGACTTCAAATCGAAGTGATAAAATTGCAACGCGGTGCATACGCTTGCAATCTAAGCGATGGGTTGCGTGCCATCTCGCACGTTTCACGGCGCCTCTCGATAACTGCCTCATAACGCCGTGCACTCTATGTATACCTGCGAGCCTACGCTATCTCAAACCAGGGACAGTCCCTTGCGTGTTTGCGCGTCGAATTACTACCTCGACTCGATTCGCAACTAGCATCATCCTCCCGTGAAAATAATTGAAATAATAGGGTACACACTTGTGCACCTTCGAGTCTTTATTCGAGCTTCCTTTGCTATATATTTCTGTAACAAATTGTTTGCAAGTTAAAGAATTTTGCAACCGGCGATTTTTGCGCTCGGAAATTGATTGTTTTGTGTTGGGGAGCGGTAATAAAAATATCTGGCTGACCTCGATTCCAGTTGTGAATAATTGATATGCGAAAGAGCTGACCGTGCAATGATCCTGAATGATTGATAGTCGTGAAACAGTACGGGATACGTGTCGTAAACGGCTGTTATCGGTTCCACTTAATACACTTTCATTGATGTACGATTAAGTATCAATGCTTACCCTGCAAATTAGTTGCAATTTTTGATTCTGAGAGATTTCTATTTTGGAAGATTTGAACAGTTCAGTGCTAACAACAAATTAACACGATTTTATTTACCCAGATCTTTGGACTCTTGGATCTGTAAACTAGTGTCCTTTGATCTCAGTTACTTCTATGGAATTTTCCGGAATCAAAGTGTCTCACGAATATAATTTCTCCTTGCGTGCATAAATTTGACGCAAGATCTTTCTTGGAATAACAGCTTCGGTTACACGTTTGCATCAGGTGCATACCGCTAACTCTGCAGAAAATGAACCTCTTTCCTCTACCTAGAGAAAATATGAATGGAAAATTCCTGGAGTCGTGGGACGTGCAAAGATTTTTCATCAATTTTCTTCGAATGTTTCTTCTACCGTACACCTTTCGCATACCGTAAACTTCACGGCGTAAAGATTCTGGGAACGGAACAGCGTGCTTATTTGCCACGTGACGTGCAATAATCGTGTACGTAATCGTTTTGGGATACCGTTCGAAAAATCAATCGAAAAGAAGCAGATAACGACGCAAAAAAAACAACCGCAGATAAAAAGTGATCGTGGAAATTTCGAGCGGACGGTCACTTGATTAGTTAAATGCAGTGGAAGAATTTTACTGAAGAAATTTAAACTAGACATTTTTTACAATAAAGAAATTTAAAGTATAAACTACTGTAGAAAGCTAAAGATTGTAGTTGTCAGAAGGTTCTCGCGTTTATCGAGTTCATTGACTGTACATCTAGGAGTACAAACAAGACTCGATAACAAAATTACCATTCATCTCGAGTTTCGTAGACTATTACGCGAGACATGCAGAAACAAAATTCTAACCAGATAAAGAGTGAATCACCGCTCGAGTAACATGATTCGCATTCTAAAAATGCTCAAACCTGTCGCGTTCTTTTCTTTTCACGAAGATAGCTAACGGTTCTCCCTTATGTAACTGTTACTTATCGCTTCAAATATTTATTACCCAAAATACTTGCTGCTCTCAACGCGATTATCGCTGTTAGACGATTAACCCTTTGCACTCTTTAATTTCTTTTACCTACTCCTTGCAAAAGGCTCAATAAAATTTGGTGGCTATCTGGAAAATATATGTATTTAAGTGGTAAATAAAATATATTCCAAGCTACTTATTTATAAAATACAAGAAGAATTTGATGTTGAATCTCACTGTAGGAGTGCTAAGGGTTGATCAATTCAAAGTCAATTAGTAACTAAGGATACAAATATATCCAGATCCTTTAGAGATCTTCAGACCGTTTTTGATTCAAGAGAATTAGTTAAATTATTTAGTACAAATGAACTGAAAGTCATATGGCAACTGAGCATGTAGATATTTAACACATGTGTGAAGGTATTATTGAACATCTCAAGAAATTGAGGTCTACAAATATTTGGCTGTTTCTTCTATGTCTTCAAATCTTGGCTCTGAGAATGTAATTTTAGTGTACAGGAAAGTGAGGATTCCAATCTACATACACACCCTGCATATGATCTAAAAAGATTCAGGTTAAGATGCAGAAATTTAAGAATATTTCAATATAATACTTTAAGTACATCTTACCCTTAAATGTACTATACCTAGCAGTCTTCCTATCCGTTACTATATTAATTTCTAGATAGTTAAAAAAAGAGCTTAGAAAGTAGGATATCCCAAGTCGGTCAGATCTGAGACGGAACATGCGTCGTAGGTAATTTAACCGGCTTCGAAACATGCGTGATGTAATTTTCATACGGAACACGTATTATACGATTGAGCACGTTTTACGTTCCATTCATGTCTCGGAGACGCGTGGCCAAAAGCGTACGAACCATTCAACGCCTCGGTGACAACACATTGCACTCTAAAACTAAATGTTGCTGTTTCGTAATTCGCTTCGTTTTCGACATCTTCCTGTGTTTGTGACGTGTTTGTACAATGTTTGTAACGTGTTTGTAAAGTTCCAAATTGCAACTGTGTTCCATTTTCGAAAACAACTCCGTCATCTCCAAACAACTCGAACCAGTTCTGTTCCAAATGTTAGATAACATTGTTTGTTAACCACGTAGAATGTTCGAAAGCAATTAAATGAACGCAAGATGTAATGTACACCAGAGACGATAAAACACAAAATAAACAACGCAAACCACGTGTACGTAACGGGTAGACTTGTTTCTTCGAGATAAATTTTCCACGAATATTATTGTCAGCCGTTGCATCCCATTTAGGTCTTCTGTAACGCTACCTCCGGAGAAGGAATTAACGGGCAGAAATAGAAAGCGTATCTCGGAACCTGTACTAATTCGATGCTTTTCCTATGACGTAGGAATTTTATCAATTCGTAGAATCCAATGAGAGTCTGAAAGAGAAAATCCTATTAAAACGAAGTGTATTAAGGTATCTAATCTCTGCATAATTTTTTTAATATATACCTGTTCAAGCATGTGGGCGTTCTAAATTCTTAACAGCTCGATCGTTACCATTCTTCGCTTCGTGGATTTTGTGTAAGGTAGCCGAAGAATGTAGAGAATCGATGCTTTTCTGTGTGAAGTCCGTAAACCAGTGGAGATGAAATATGTATCCTCTAACGGGATATTGGTTCTATCGATGGCGTGTGAATTGATTACATCGACGCCGGTAGACTCGCGGTAAATATTGAATAGGTTCGTGCTAGTATCAGATTCGTGCAAATAAATCTTCTGTTTTTCAGTCTCGTGTGTACAAATCGTTTAGCGGATCCTCGTTCTCGATCTCCGTGCTACTATTACCGATAATCTGTACCTTCGTTTTCAATTCTCTTTGAACACGGCATTGCACAACGATACGCCTTATCTGTAGGAAGCAGACGTGTTTGCTCGGGGCAGCTTCGTATTATCATTGTCCTAATACATACTTTCGTTACGTCATGTCGCGCCGCTTCTTTTTCGATCTATTTGCTCAGCGCTTCGGAAAATGACCTTTGGGGATTTAAACGGAAACGAAAACAAAAACACGGGTGTTTTAATTCGAGAACCTTATTTCTGGTCAGCTATTCATAGTATTCTTATTTTAAAAGCGCGAAGAGAATTTAGACAGGGTTTAGGAAAATAGATCTAAAGAGGTCCAAAGTGATGCTTTGCTTGCAATGAATATGTTGAATAAAACAAAGTGTTATCGAAGACTAGTGGGTCACACTTGAGATATCCTTTCGTCTGGCGCCTGAGAGGATGCTATCGACAGTCTCGTGAGACTTGACAGAGAACCGGATTTACTAATAAGATGCGGTCACGCGACTTGTTTAAACTGCATCGGGCGTTCATTGCTCGATTTTAGATTCACTGTAGACAAACAGCGTCTGTATCTGCATCTGAATGCCCGTTTGAAGAATAACAGTCCAATTACGATAAAAGTATACGAGGTTCGATTAATTGAACGAGTCTGAACATTGATAACCACCCGGTCTTAAATTATAGGCCCTTAAGATCGCACAAATCTTCTCGGCGCCTGTGTAAAGCAATACGACCATCGTCGCAGCTAAATTTATGATCGATATTTTTTCTTTTACAGAATTTTGTTCTATACCACGCAACCAGCTCACGTAATCATGATCGCAGCGGTGCTGTGCGTAACGTCGGCTCTTGTGTCGACAACGGAGAGAACACATGCAGGTCATTCCCAATCCAGAGCAACTTCGTTTATCTACCTAGCTTCGTTCGTGATGCATCTTGGTGCTCAAATCTGGATGACATTCGTCTCGGGTAATTTAATACGTTTCCTGATACCGTGATTGTATCTTTTCAGCCGCTAAAAGTTAATTTAATATACAGGTCTCTCTTTGTATTTCGCATTGCCAAGACACACGTTCGGAGAGGTACAACGTATTCTGTTCCCAAGATACTTTACCATCAATGCTTGTCTCAGCTTCACCACCCTTCTGATCTTCGTGAAGTATCATCCGTTACATACGTGGACCACTGAAATTGCTATTCAGGTTTGTAGAATTAATTTCTTCATGTAATTTATATATGAATCTTCTTTGACCGATATTATAATTTGATCAGGTTTCTTCAGATTTTTATATTGATTGTATATTTTCAGGTGGGTGCAATGTTTAGCGCCTTCTTCCTAGAGCTGCTGATACGATTGTACCTAACGCCGCCCCTTCTGCAACTGATAGTACAAAAGAACACCTTGGAACGTGCTGCTGGAGTCGGCAACGAAATCGGTGTTCATAATCCTGGCCCGTTGAAACACTGCCCTCACTACTTGAAGATTCACAAAGCTTTTCGGCGAGTTCACGTGTACATTGCAATGGGGAATATGTTGACCATGGGATGTACGGTGTTACATCTTCATTACATAGCTAGCAAATTATGCGTTCTTTAAATGCGCGATTAATCCTCATTAATTCGACTGAATACGTGTTCAGATGTTTCCTAATATAGTGAGGATAAAATTTCATGGATATTATATGTTAGGGGGAATGAGAGTTAATGTGGTCTTAGTGTTTGCTTCCATTTAATGTTTGGCACGATTTCTGAAATGAAAAACGAAATATTAAACTGCCAATTTTATAACGATTAATGAATACGGGACTGAACTTGATCTATCCGTCGTAGAACAAGTAATTCAGTTTATGTAATTTAGTCAGATTGCCGTCGTAGAAAATTTTAACCATAGAAGTTATGAGCATTTAATGATACTTTCTAAAACGAAGAACATGACTTATTTAATTTATTATTAACGCGATGCATTAATTATAATAAAAGTGCAAAAAAGTAACGGTAAACATAAGCTATATTTTTACGTTAATTTATGAGATTCTACATTGATGTCTTTATTGTTGATGATTTCCTTTTATCTGTGTGTGTGCTTATGTACGTATACCTTTGGACTAAAATAGCAATCTCTGGGGATTAATGAATGAATCATGGAAGCATAAAACATATGAACAAAAGTACATGCTCTTAGATTTTATCTTTTTTTTTTAAGCAAATGTGCACAAAATTTAGATGACTTTCCTTCTTGAGATAATAATTAAGTCTTGCCAAAGTTTAATATAAATTATGTAAATGATTTTAATCGTTGATGTTGAAATAATAAATTGAAAATATTAGGTAATAAAAGGCTTGCTCTGTATCAGAGTTAATGATATTTATTAAAGTAGCACTAGTATATAATAGCTTAATTTCTATAAGTGTATGAAGATATTGGATATTCTGTAAAAAAATGAACAAAAGATTAACTTGGGAAATGAATGTTTTAATTCTGACTGGCTACTATTCCGACTCATATACACGCATTTCATTATTATAAATAATGCATTTCGCTCATTATATAACTGTAAATTATAAAATACCTTGGTTATCAATATTGTTCTTGCTTCTCTAAAATTGAAATCCTGTTAATTACGCATCTTATCATGTTACTTTGAGTACGGAAACTATGATTCTTAATTAGTATATGTATTGATTCATTTCAATTATTTCCATGTTAATATAAATAATTGATGTATTTAAAGAAAAAAAGAAAAAAATTTTTAGCTGCATATCACGACACAATTTTAAGAATTTTAAAAGCTCATAAGTAATCACATCGTTATCTAAATTATTTCATTATTAATATTAATATCACCGACTCTATTCGCTAATAATTTTTGTCTTTTGTAACACAAGGATTTGATCTTCTTTTGCATTTACTTCATTACGAATATATGATGTAATACAATAAGACGATGTTTTTATATATTTTAAACAAATCATATTAATAATACATTTCGATTTGTGTATGAAAAACCTGTTATTGCAATATCCTAATTTTTCCTACAAAATCAAGCGAATATGTAAATATAAACATATATACAATTTTATAACGTAATAGATATATTTTATTTTGCTTTCAATTCACCAAAATGGTTGTCAAATTTAATCGAATATTTAGAAGTTTTTGTCAGATCGATTCATTATTTCTTAAACTCAACTAATCGTATGTATATATTGTCACAAAATAAAATACAGGGATTAATGAATGAATCATGGAAGCATAAAACATATGAACAAAAGTACATGCTCTTAGATTTTATCTTTTTTTTTTAAGCAAATGTGCACAAAATTTAGATGACTTTCCTTCTTGAGATAATAATTAAGTCTTGCCAAAGTTTAATATAAATTATGTAAATGATTTTAATCGTTGATGTTGAAATAATAAATTGAAAATATTAGGTAATAAAAGGCTTGCTCTGTATCAGAGTTAATGATATTTATTAAAGTAGCACTAGTATATAATAGCTTAATTTCTATAAGTGTATGAAGATATTGGATATTCTGTAAAAAAATGAACAAAAGATTAACTTGGGAAATGAATGTTTTAATTCTGACTGGCTACTATTCCGACTCATATACACGCATTTCATTATTATAAATAATGCATTTCGCTCATTATATAACTGTAAATTATAAAATACCTTGGTTATCAATATTGTTCTTGCTTCTCTAAAATTGAAATCCTGTTAATTACGCATCTTATCATGTTACTTTGAGTACGGAAACTATGATTCTTAATTAGTATATGTATTGATTCATTTCAATTATTTCCATGTTAATATAAATAATTGATGTATTTAAAGAAAAAAAGAAAAAAATTTTTAGCTGCATATCACGACACAATTTTAAGAATTTTAAAAGCTCATAAGTAATCACATCGTTATCTAAATTATTTCATTATTAATATTAATATCACCGACTCTATTCGCTAATAATTTTTGTCTTTTGTAACACAAGGATTTGATCTTCTTTTGCATTTACTTCATTACGAATATATGATGTAATACAATAAGACGATGTTTTTATATATTTTAAACAAATCATATTAATAATACATTTCGATTTGTGTATGAAAAACCTGTTATTGCAATATCCTAATTTTTCCTACAAAATCAAGCGAATATGTAAATATAAACATATATACAATTTTATAACGTAATAGATATATTTTATTTTGCTTTCAATTCACCAAAATGGTTGTCAAATTTAATCGAATATTTAGAAGTTTTTGTCAGATCGATTCATTATTTCTTAAACTCAACTAATCGTATGTATATATTGTCACAAAATAAAATACATCGATTACTATCATACATTACATAAATATATATATATATATATATATATGTATATATATATAGTTCATCAGTCTCTATACATTGCATCTTCAGGATTTTACTTATTGATTATTAAAGAAGTACTATGTAACTTAATTATCATTCAGTGAGCCTTTATCATTATATTATTTTACTTAATATATTCTATGATTGTTCAACGAACCTAAGAATAATAAATACATAAGATACCAGTGGCACAGTTTAAACGCATTATATCAAGTTAACATGTACACATACTTGATACTGCGCAATCGGTCCAGCCTTAATTACCTTCATAAGATAAGTTAAAATTAATAAGAATCACGTTAATTTGATACATCCAGAAAATTACTGAAATTTATGAGAAACTATTAAATTTACTAGACATTACACAATTCTTCAATTAAAAAATACTCGCGCATTGCGTCAAATGTTTCTCTTATCGAATTTTCGATATCTTAAAATATAACTATTATTTGTACATAACTATTTTACAGGTACAAAAAATCATAAAATATACGACAAAGATAGAAATCTGTACAAATACTGAAAACCGTAAGATGCAATAGATTTTAAGTAAGATCTTGCAGTGAAGTGTTGCACATATATTAAAATGATACTGACTTGATAGAAAACATTTTCTTTACACCCTGAGAATTTCTGCTGCTTTATTATAACAAATTGCAATCCAATCAGGTTGTGTAGCACCCCACTGAATTTGATTCACTTCTCCTTCTGCAGCAGTATAAGCTAAAATTGGATCCTCGATAGCTCTCGGCATTTGTTGTATATCCCAAATTAATGCTTGATGATCATCTCCTGCTGTACAAATATGACAAGACGAATGTGGTGCCCAAGCTATGCCATTAACACTTGCTCTGTAAAATGAAATAAACGTTACCAAGTTATAACAAGACTGTAAATTAAAATAACATACCTATGATTATTCAATCTTGCAACCGGTGTACACGGGACTCGGACGTCTAAAATTATTACTTCACAGGCGTCCATTGCAACAGTTGCAAGATAATTGGGATCTTGTTTGTTCCATGCAAGTCTCAATAGAGGTGTGTGCTGTGGGTCTTCATATATTATTGTAGAATGTTCTAAGTGTCTTAAATCAAACATTCTTACAGATCCATCTGCACCAACAGATGCAAACATATCACGACCACCACCAGCACGACTAAATGCAATGTCATATACTTCTTTGTCATGGGCAATTAATTGTGTTTTAACGTGGCCAGTGACCATATTCACCCTACCCAAAACTTGGCCTGTTTCTAATCCCCAGATAGTACATGTAGTATCTATACTTGAAGTACCAATTAAATTTGGATCTACTTCATTCCAATCAAAAGATGTGAGAGGAGCACAAAAATCTGAATTCTTATTGTTGTTTAAAACACACTCTAAACGAGTTTCTGGTTCAGCTGCCCGCCATACTCTTAGATAATCACCAGATGTAGCTAAGAGATCAGGAAACAAACCTAATAAACATACAATATATAATATTGATTATATTGTAAGCGAAATATTGTTAAATAAAGTCTAATAATAAAAGAATTACCTTTGCTATCTGGTATCCACATAATTTTTGTAGTTGGGTAAGGATGATCAAAAGTACTTTTGGCACTGAATTCAGAGGTTTCTTCATCAAGCGATACTATTTGCACTTTATTATTATATTCTTCCACAAAGCTACCCAGAGCCAGACGAAACCTTTTATCGGGTCGAACAGACCAATTCATACTGTACAAAGGCCATGGTGCTTCATATTTGTATATTTCTTTTCTTTTCGGCGGTACACTATGTAACGCCATTATTGTTTAATGCCTATATTAAAAACAATTCATAGTTAATAATTTTTATATTTTTGAGTTATAATTTAATCACTGAAAATAAAATGATGTCTATATTTTCTAAGAAAATATTGTTTATGGAATGAGTACAATGGTGTTATACATTTTACTATAGTATATTTTTATTAGATATAAACAAATAGAAAACTCGCTCACGAATCGGTACTAACCTTAAAATCAAAAGCGTTTAAAATGCAACAGTCGCCGACCGCAATTTACTTCCAAATAATGCGAGTTTCTTACTTCATAGTAAACATGTTGTCAAATATATAGAATATTTTACTATACGATTACTAACTGAAAGAAGCTAAAACTTGAATTAATGGGTTTCATAAAAGCATACAATTAACCAAATCTTTTGTGATAACATAAAATGGCGCCCTTTTAAATTTGACATTTTAGTGCTATCATGTGTATCTACCCGTAACCCTTTCGTATTAATTTCAATAGCAATGTTATTATAATAAATGAATTCTACCTAAAATTCTATCTAAGTTCCATATGAATTAAATTCAACATGGGTTTTTCAAATGTTTTTCTTGGATTTCCTCAAAGTTCCTGTGGATCTCATATGGGTTTTTGTTGGTTCCTGTGTGCTTCATAAGATTTTTTAGGTATTTATTCAGCATTTTTGACCTTTTTTGAGTTTTCTAAAATTGGAAACAAATAGTAAGAATTTTACTACGTTCGATTTAAAGGAAGTAACTTTTCCATTGAAGATTCTACCTTACGTAGAATCTCATAATGATTCTCATGGTCATAACAGCGCAATCTCGTAAAAAGCGCGGGAAAATTATTATCTATATATTATATTTTTAATACCAATCTTTGTTGGAAAAATATAAAAAGTTATATTATTAAGTTTTTCAATAACTGTCATTCATAAATATATGGTTTTTTTTATATTATGAGGAGCGATATGTTTTGGCGGTAAAAGTTGATCAGCTGATTGGTCAGTAGCAGTTTGGCGCGAAACGTAGTAAAACTACTGCTAATAGAATGTGTCAGCTTTGTAACATTCGAGTGTCGGTATTCCACTCGTAAAGTATTCTTATTAGTAACTCCTTTGAAAAGTTATTGTGTTCGTTTTTTTTCTGCAGCAACTAATCTATAGTTCTTATAATGCCACTACAAGTATCCACGAAAGAAAATATTCGTAAAAATCTCGAAAATGTTTCTCTTAAAGATCAAGTAGGTATTTTTATGTATTATCTGGGTTCTTTTCTATTCTAAGCCCTTTGTAATGAATTAATTACTATTTAATTTTTATTTGTAATTGAAACAAATTACATTACTAGTGTTTTTTAGCTATATATGTAGCTGACTAAAATGTGTAATCTTATTTTTTTCCATCCTTTTGTACACGTTGTTTTAATACGCTTTCAGTATTAACTATATATTATTTATCTCTCCTTATTACTATATTTTTATTTATTGCGAACTTTACATAACATTTTATAAAAATTAAATTTTGAGTGTGAAAAGTCATTATAGACAAGTTTAAAAAGATTTGAATTTTCGAATTTTAATTTTAATGTATTAAAAATGTAACAGGAATGTCGAAAAACAAAATAAAAATATGTGAGTATAATGATTAATGACATTCAGAAGTTAATACTATTGTGCTATATATCTATTTTTATCATCCTTACATGTGGTCAGTGTAATAGAGATACCTAAAAACAACAATTGTTAAATATTTTTACCTGGAACATTTTTATACGCATGTTTTTATTTGTAAGTTGTAATAACATATAGAAATATCATCAATGATCAAACATTATACCAATAATTTGAATTGTAAAAGGTTAAGTTTCATTAAAAGTTATTAACATAGTATGTAAATGATAAGTTTAATACGTATAATTAAAAAATAAGACCTATGTGGTAAAAAATACAACATCTATTACATAGAATATCTTGTTCATGTCTCTGTGTATGTAATATATAATTTGTAATGAATCAGATAAGAAGTTGTGCACCTACTGTTACATGCAATTATGCAATTGAACATTTCCCATGTGTTTTTATCATTTTCAATGTTAGTAGAGAAGATTTTTATGTTATTTGTATGTATTTTTATATGATATTTGATAAATTCGATTTAATTCTGTTATTTATAAAATAATTTTAATATTATATTATCCTACATTAACTTTGATTCTCTTGGTTTCAGACATCTCCAAAAAAACTATGTACATCACCAGTTTCTCAAGATAATGGTGTGAAAAATGTAGTAAGTAATCAGTGTTACAACTATCTTTAATCTTAAATTCATTTTTTTAATTTTTTTTAATTCCATATCAATTTCTTTCAGATGAGTAAGACAAAAGCTGTGAGAAAAGTGCAATTGAAAGAAAATGAATTCAAACCAGAATTAGAACCATTATTAAAGGAAAATCCACGTAGATTTGTTGTCTTTCCTATTCAATGGCCTGATATTTGGCAAATGTATAAAAAAGCGGAAGCTTCCTTCTGGACTGTGGAGGAAGTTGATCTTTCTAAGGTATAAATATTATGTTTTGAAAACTTGATTGAGTTAACAATTAAGTTAGAAAATCATAAATAATTTTTGTTTTTTGTAGGATACATTTGATTGGGATCGTTTGACTTCTAGTGAGAAGCATTTCATATCTCATGTATTAGCATTTTTTGCAGCCTCTGATGGAATTGTCAATGAAAATCTTGTTGAACGATTTAGTCAGGAAGTACAGATAACAGAGGCACGTTGTTTCTATGGCTTCCAAGTAGCTATGGAAAATGTGCATTCAGAAATGTACTCATTATTAATTGATACGTACATTGCAGATGCCAAAGAAAGGTAAATGACCAAATCTTCAAAGTGTTAAACATTAATAATGTTTAATATAAATTGAATAATATAAATTACAATTGCTTATTTACAGAGACTTTTTATTTAATGCCATTGAAAATTTACCCTGTGTTGCAAAAAAAGCTAATTGGGCATTGAATTGGATAAACCATGAAACCGCTACTTTCCCTGAACGTGTAGTCGCATTTGCCGCAGTAGAAGGTATTTTCTTCAGTGGTAGCTTTGCTGCCATTTTCTGGTTAAAGAAGAGAGGACTTATGCCAGGACTTACGTTCAGCAATGAACTTATTTCTAGGGATGAGGTCAGTGTGTTTCCGACTTCATTGAAGTTATAAAAAAAACTGATTAAAAATAATAGATTAAATTGAATATTCTGTTTCAGGGATTACATTGTGATTTTGCATGTTTAATGTTTAAACATATTATACAAAAGCCGTCTTCTGAGCGAGTTACGTCAATTATTAAAGATGCTGTGGAAATTGAACAAGAATTTTTAACAGATGCATTACCTGTTGAAATGATAGGCATGAATTGTAAACTTATGTGTCAATATATCGAATTTGTCGCAGACAGACTGCTCGTGGAGTTAGGTTGTCAGAAGGTTTGTAAAAATGTTACAATTAAAATCATGGTAAAAGCGATTATAAAAAATAAATGATTTTTAATTTTCAGGTGTATATGTCCGAAAATCCATTTGATTTTATGGAGCATATTTCTTTGGAAGGTAAAACAAACTTTTTTGAGAAAAAAGTTGGAGAATACCAAAAGTGGGGAGTCATGCAAGATAGAATTGAAAGTAATTTTACAGTTAATGCCGACTTTTAATGTTAAGTATTTTCCTGTCGTGATATTTTTTCGTTTATTAGGACTTATTATTTGACAAATAATTCTAGTATTTATTTTTAATTGGAACTTTTATATTTTGACGATAATATTTGACATCCATATCTAGATGTATGTACTTCTTTTATTGTCCACCTTTTGAAGTTGTGATTATTATACTTCACAATATTGTCTTGTACATCATCTGTTAATCTCATTGTCAAATTGTAATCATGATTATGTGCTGTAAATCGAAGCTTGAAGCTTAAAATTTCATGAAATAACATGTGCATCAAGTTTGTATATAAAATACGCAAAAGTCTGTGACAAAAACAAATATTTAATAATTGAGACTATAATAATATTACAGTATTCATAGAAGATTTTTGTACATACTTAATGTAGTTTAATAAACAAAATTTATATTGTGAGTAATAGGCAATAATTGTTACAAATAAAAGACTATCCAGAACTCCTTTTAGTATAAATTTATTGATACTTTATAAAATATTTTGATATAAATCAATTATAAAGCTGAAATTTATAATTTATTAAAAGCACAGTGTTCTGTAATATTATGGAATGTAAATCCATATAACAAAATAATATATCTTACTAATCTATAAAAATTTTTATTTACATATTAGACAAATTTCAATATTTCGGCGAATATAAATTTCTGTATTTATATCATACTTTTTCAAAGCATATGTTAAATATTCTTTACAGGCAATATTAGGTTGATACAGTCTGGAAACCATTATTCAAACGATTAAGATAATTTTTACGACACTCCATATTATCTGCAGGTCTGTTATAAGGTAACCAAACAGGTTCTCCCACAAAATAACGTTTTGCTTTTATATAATTCTACAAAATAAAATAAAATTTAAGACTATAGAATATCATTGGATATTAAAAGAAAGGTACTTACATCAGTATCTAAAGTAAATCGATGATATATTCCACTAGGAATAATTATCAAATCTCCAGCAACAACTTTGATACGTATCCACTGATCTTCTTCATCTCGAACATCAAAATATCCTGATCCATCCAAAACTAATCTTATTTCTTCATCAGTATGAAGATGTTCCGTAAAGAAATTTTTCAACTAAATAACAAAACAATGTCATTCTATTGAATTGTACTTTAAATCAATTTTGTGTATAACTCACTTTTTCTTCATAGTTTGGGAGACATTTTTTAGAACATTCTATTTCATCTTCATAAGTATAGCCACGCTGTTCTTTCAATTTTGTTAATGTATTATCATGTTTATAATCTTTATGGTCAACCTAAATCAATGTCAATATTATTAAATGACTACTAACCATTTATACAGTTGAAACACGAATTAGATGTATAAACAATAAAATGATAAAATGAAATTGGTACAAAATATACAATTAATGAAATGTTATTTGAAATATTGAAATACAAACTAACCTTAAAATATTCGACACCCGTTCTCTTGAATAAGTCTTCAAGGGAAATATATTCAGGTGGTTCTTTATGGTGTTCTAATCGCTGGTCAGCATCAGTGTTGTCCATGTACCACGCACGAACCATTTTTCTTTTATGAATGAATATAATGGAATCAAATGCACTTTTTGTAATCGTTATTTGTTAATGACGTAACCTTAATGGTAAAATTATCTGGTTCTGGTTTATTTTTCATTTGATTATAATAGAAAGATACAGTTATCTACGTTATTGGTGTAAAGCACTATATACTCCTACTACTACAAATCATGTGCCTGTTACAATCATGGTTTTGAACATACAAAACATAAAATGCATTGTGACATTGTTGTAAAAACTGATGGTAAAAATAATCTTACATTACATGTATATATTTACACATATATTGTTATTAATATAATATTTAATAATTCTATTAATTTTCCAGAAATATAATGTTTATCAAGGTATTGTAAAAAATCTGATAAATGTAAAAAAATATTTTAGAGGTAAAGATTTGTATGCAAGTTTTTGATATATTCACAATGAATGAATCAAACAAGTTCTATAAAAAGGTTCAAATGTACCTTATGAAAAAAAATCAAGAATGTGGAGAATTAAAATTATTCACTTCTTGTGTCACGTCTGAAAACATTAATCATATTGATGACATATGTAAATCTATTACTGAAATATTTGAATCTAACAACATACCTACAAAGGAGAAAACTACAATAAATGATGAACAATGTGTAGAATCATATAAATATTTATTATTGAACACAGATTTTAAGAACCAAGAACGTTTAACAGAAGATATTATTTATGGACATTTAGTTGATATGTGTCCACCTTTATCTCCATTCTTATTCGTGCAAATAATGTGGAATCTTGAATATGAAAAGATTTTAATTGAATCTTTATTATATGTACCGTTTGATTTATGTACAGAAATACTAAAAATAATTACAAAATATATAGACAAATTACCTTTTCAAAGATCAATTAAAATAATGTATCGCTTGGTACTCATTATATATACCAAATTTCTTCAATTAAAAGAAACTGGTATACAATCTGTAAATGTTGAAGAGAGCATACAAGATTTGTTGATTAACTTTGAAGAATTCTTATTAGTATTAACAAACTCAAAATTGTCTTACTTAACAGAATTGTCAGGTTTAAAAAAATATGAACGATATGGTATTATGTTGAAAAAATTAATTTGCACAATAAGAAAATGTTTAGAGAACAAAACTGATGAAATTATCTGTAAAGATCTTGAAAAATTATATCAGATTACATTCGGGAAAGAACCATTTGTGAAGTGTGAAAATATTATTGTAGAAAACACTATGTCAACATTAAACAAACAACTAGTAAGTATATTATTGAATAAAATCAAAGAAATTGACTGCAATATTTATTTGAATTGGGCAGAATTGGATGATGAGGAAAATACCATGATTTCATTACAAAGATCTATTGGAATTGAGTGTTATTACTTTATAGAATTTATAAAGAATGATGGACAGTTATCACAGGATACTCATTTAATAGAGTGTTTGCAACAGTTGTCATCAAAACCAGATCCTAAGCAGTCAAACTTTGTTTTAAATTTACAAGAACTTTGTTCTGCTATATCTGATGGTAAGAAGGAATGTATGAAAGAATTATTATGCCGGTACAAAGAATGGGATCGCTCAGTGCTTGAGTTTGTCTATGACAATAGCTCTTTACTAGATAAAAAAGATTTCCTAACTCTGTTAGAATACCTCACTTTTGTACTTTCACAATCAACTGAAGAAAATTTGAAAGAATTCAGTTATACCTTAGTCACAAAATTAGTGGCACTTCAAAGTGTACCAGATATTTATGAAATTGTAGTCATGTATGTAACAAAATATGATGGCAAAAATAATCTGGAATCTTCACATACAGAAGAAGTATTTAATGACTTCATAACACGTAATGCAAATTTACAAACACCAATGGTCTTAAAAACTGTTTTATTATTTCTCTTAAAAAATCCCAGAACTGTGTTGACTATACTTGTGAAGATTACAATTGGTCATCCACAATATGAAAACATCATGATTTCTGTTAGGGATTTACTTCTACTGTCGCCCTTTATGCAAATAAGGGAAGACAATGGTCAGCTATTCTTAATAAACATCTTAAAAACCATTTGTATAGAAAATTCACAATGGAATGCAAAAAAGTTCATGGATTTTATACAAATTACATTAGACAGTTCTATATTTACGATACATGACTTGATGAACAGTGTCTTTATACCATATTTAAAAGAAGATATTTTTAATGCATCAAACATAAATTCTATTCTTAATAGTATTCGCAAACTACAAGTTAGATGTACCAAAGATACAAATACTAAGGATTTAATAATAGCTCTTGCAGGGAAAATGTCTTTTCTAAGAAAAAATTTAAGTGTTCCAAAGTACATAAGCAGTGAAATATTTGTACAGATTACAAGAATATTGGAATATTTCTTAAAGATTAAAAGCTACAAAATTCCTCTGTCAATGAAAAAAGAAATAATTAATCAAATTGAACATGTCATTGAACCAATAGATAAATTATATTTTTCATCTCTTTGGTATTTAACTCAAAAAGGTGTTAGTGTCATTGATATAGTAGAAGATTATGAAAGGCGTTGTTTCACTATATTAAATAGATTAAAAAAAGATGTCCAAACTTCAAAGAGATTACGAAATTATTTATCAGATTTAAACCTAGTAAGAGAAGACTTTTTACGCCATTTGATTCTTCGCTCAATGGAAGGAGAGTATCAGAGATTGGGCTCAGAACTTACAATAATATATTGGTTCGCTTTTGGATGGAACAATGAAACTGAAGCATATGATCACTTTCTACGTTTAACAGTTGAGGCATGTTGTTTAGTTCTGAAGTATCCATCAATTGGAGAAAAAGATTTATTTGCATTTTTAATCAAGTCTTTAGCACATTTTTGCAGAATGTTTATATCGCTTGAAGAACTTGAAGATAAAGAACACATATATAAATCAATTGTTAAGAATGTAGATCAGCTCAATGAAAGTATAAAACATAGTCCTTATGCAGATTTATTCAAAGATTATTTTACTTGTTTATGCAATCACACAGGGGATGATTATTTACAATATTTGCAAGATGTTTTAAATTTTTTTCAACACTTCAGTGATCAATGTCTTGAATACAATCATAAATGTAATGAAGAAACTACCAGCATACCTCATTCTATAAAAGTTTCTCATTTTTATGTAACTTATGAAGTAATTTCTGCTTGCCTGAAAGTACCTGCAACAGAAGCCTGTGATTGTATCACAAGGTTGAACGAGTTACTTGCTTCCAATTAAATTCATAATCTTTAAGGGATGCATTTAAGTGACTTTAAATAATGAGTTAAAGGTAAAAATATTGTTATTCTTTTTTTAAGTTTAATCTACAAATCTCAAATGTAGATTATATTATATATTATTAAGTGATATTGGCTCATTCTTTTCTTATTTAATTTATGTAAATTTATGAAGTCATTAAATAGAAATCTAATAGAACAAGATCTCTGATATTAATGTAGTTTGATATTTGTGTGTAAAAACTTATTAGATTTATTCAGTTTTGATAAAACTAATACAATTTTTATATGCTTGTAAATTAGATATGTACTTACCATTAGTAATACAATATGACATTATATAAATACAATGAAGTATTTTCTTTTTTCTTTATAAGAAAACTTTTCTCTAGTTACAACGAAATAGTTTAGTTTATAATTGATAGTTCAGTACAGCTTTTACTTTTCATGTTTTCAGAGTTTCAGGAAATTTATTTTACTTACTATTACATTGTAGAGGATTATTCAGTTAGTACCAAAATTATTATTTGTTTTTATTCTATATTATATTTGTGCGATATTTCCAAAATGCCATTACAATGGTTAGTAATAAAAAAATGTGAAAAATTGCATACAAAGAAAAAATGTGCACCAGTATTGAGACTGGAAGAAATCAAATGGGTAGCTTTCATAGGATAATCTCAATGCTTTCATGGAAAAAATTAAGCTTAATAATATTGAAAAGAAAAATTCATTTCTGTATCAGCCTATTGTCTTTAAAAATTTAAATGTATTATGCATTATTATCGTCAAACACTTACTCAGACAAATTTTCAAGTACACTTCAAAAACAATTGCAGTATTAAATTGAACTAGACAATAGGATAATACAGTTCATATATTCTAATAGCAAAGAAGTTGCTTTCTAAATCTGCACCATACATTTTTCCATGTCATTGAGTTACAAGATTTCTGTAGTGACTAGATTCTTATGCTGGTAATTTATGCTGAAATACACTGGACAAATAAAAGTTGACATTCCATAAACTATATTATTACATTATTAAGTTCTGAACATATTCGAATCTCCTCGACTCACCAAAATGAAACATACAAATTTTACTATATACTTTAGTTTACTTTTACTTGCATTAAAAAGGAAAAAATACAACTGACTTGTGCTTACATCCTCTTTCTTTATTGTTGGTGAAAAATAATGCATGCTTTCCTGTTTCATGTACTTCCATTTAGAAGCAAGCAAAAAATAAACCAGACAAGAAGTTAATATTACCAGCAAATAACAATTTTCATAGATAGTATCGTTTACAAGTGTCTTGAGCATCCATTCCTTGTCTACCCAAGTGATTAATTTAACGCAGTCAATTTAAATCAGAACAATGAATCGAACGCGAAAAAAATAGAAAATGGTAAAACGAAGAAACATACATATTTCATGAACGTCGCATGTCAATGAAATGCACATTTTTTACTGTAAGCCATTCATTGTTGTCCTTTTTCAAATGTCAGATCGGTATTCCTTTTTTTATCCTTTTTCATTAATATTAATCAATATCATCATTATCATATAATTCGACGCTATAATATTTACAGATTCTTCACATTGTAAAAAATATAACGTATTTCGTACTCAATATCATACGCAGGTAGTACTGAAAGGCCGATATACATCTAAATCGTGGTGTTTCTCGAATTAATGTGACCCAGTTACGTAACAAATCTGCATGTATACATATATATTGTATGTATATATATATATATTTATTTATTTATATTTATATTTATATATTTATATTTATTCATTCATTCATTCATTTATTTATATCTAATTATAAAATCGTATGCGAATCGTTTTGTAGGTGGTGAATTCTTGTGCTTCCTTTTTTTCCTAAAAATTTTCTGAACAAATCAGACAAATCTGCTGGCCGAAACAAGGAAAGGAAACGAAACGAATCTGGTCCTTGATAATTGATATGCTCACTCAGACGAAGCTCGATTTTTTTTTTAACGCTTGATAGCTTTCTAAGTAAAGATCAGTTTGATATTTATTTTTTTTGTCTATTCTTGTACAAAAGTTTTCAGCGTATTCTTTAGAAAAATATTCTTAAAACACGATCTCACGTCGGACAAATGTATGCATGTTTAGAAGCGATACAAATATAGAAAACATTTTTTTTTTTTCTTTTTTGACTTATTTCGTGCAACGGTGTATACTACTTAGGAAGCTATCCGCTGACAGGCAATGTCGCCTCACTTTCTTTTTGCCAATTTCTGATTTTCGCAAAGCACAAAAAACCCAGGAGGGCGAGAAAACGTAACGATAATAGAGCGAGAGCGATTACACGTTTTACAAAGAGGCCCTTTGATTCGCCGTTGAAAAGGCTTTTATACGCGCGGTTATTATCGTCGTCTTTTAATAGAAAAACTGCGGTTACAATCTACGGGATCACAGAGAGACTATGAATTTTCCGAGTGATAAAATAGAGGATACGAATAATTATATCTGTTTGCCCCCTCCCCTATTTTTCTTTTCTCCTTTCTTTGCCTGTTTATATACTTGAGTACTGTAATGAAATTAGATGGCCGATTCGCTACGTCGGTATACGCTTCACCAATCTCAAACTGACGAAACGTATTAGCACCCTTTATCGGTCAAATACGCGAGGCTATCTCAAATCAGTTCGGCTTTTTGATAATTTTTCTCCAAGTATGTTTTGATGTGTACATTGATTTCATAATACTTAAAATTAGGCTAATGCAATGAAAAGTATATAATATAAAATTACAGTGCTGTCTCGCTGGTGTTGCCCATAACAAAATTCAGAAATCTCAAATTTACAAATTTCTTATAGACTTTTGAGTTTAGAAATTTTGCAATTCAGAAATTTACACATTTCCTGTCTATTGATATATAGCGAGACTCCACTGTAATTCACAATATGAATATTAATCGATGATAACGTTTAGACTACCACGCTTTTAATATGCAAGAAACAATAATATTAAATGCATTTAAACATTGGAGAAAAAATCAGCCACGCATATTCGCTACGAAATGACGTTTCTAAAAGTGCACCGACAATTGAAAAGAACGAGTCAACATACGATCGATAACATTTCCCAATAATGGTTCCGTATCGTTGGACTTTTTTTTCTAACTACCAATGATAGAAATACTGTACATCAGTTCGTTTGAAACTTTTCAGTTCGACGGTGTCCGATGATACGTGAAACGGAGAAATGGTACCGCTCGTGTACAATTCAACGCTTTATAATCGATCCGAAAGACGGGTAATCGAGATGAACAAATAGATACATAAATTATAAATACACTGCTTTTTGTTGTAAAATCAGGATCAATAATCCTTTGGTTAAACTCGTAAAAAGAGAAAACTGATAATCGATCGAACAACCCTTATTTTTTTTTTGTTAAGATACGTCGTGCAGCAATCACACGGAAATGAACGACTTCGATGGTTGTGTTAAATAATAACATATCGAGCTAATGTAATGACTGTTATGGTATAAAAGCGGTATTAATATCGGATAATATGATTTTGATCACACGAGAAAAATTACACACGACCTACTGCTACTTATAAGGGAGTCCATTGCTTCTTCTTCTTTCTTTTCCTTTACGTTTATCAGTTTACATTCACGAACTCAATGATGATCAGTTCCAAATGGAGATTTTTCTGTTCACACAAAGCAATGGATGTATTAGATATTATTATGAGTACCACATATGCATTTTGCGGTTGAAGGGATCAATGTACCAGCAAGCTATCGTGAAATAGCTTGTTTCAATATCTCACCTCCTCTTGCTGGTTTAAAATTGGCTATAAAACATTTTGGAATTGTACAAAGATTTGTATTTTTCTTCTATCATATACACATTACCATATAAATCCTATAATTATGTATACGATTGACATTACGTGTGTTAATGTTCCTCCATAACATTACTGCAATATATCCTTTCGGTTGATGTTTGCCATATCCTTTTCAATCTTTTCTTTCTCATTATGCTTCCTGCTACGGAGTTTCCAATTTTCTTCATAGTAATCAAGATAATTCTTATTGAAATAAAAGTGTGAACGGTATCTGGTATGCAATGGAATTACATCAAAATTAGAGGAGAACAATTGTCCAAATATCATGGTCTCAAGTATAAAATTCTATCCATCGATGACCATCTCCGTTACTTGGTGTTTATCTTAATAAAACAATATTTCTACTATTAGAACTGTACAATCGATACCGGTACCATTAACGACACACTGTTCAAGCTCTCTATACAACGCATTCTTTACCGCAGCCTCTGACATTTGAGCACAGGTAATATATCGTTAATGGAAATCATTGCACAATGTGTCTAAGACCATCTGTCTTTTCCATACTCTTCACTGTACATCGCAAACAGTATCTATTCGAACTTCTTCTCCCTATATCAAATGGCTGACCACTACTGTGATTTCTTCGACGTCCTCAAACAGTTTGCATGTTACATCGATCGAGCAACAGAGTTTCATGGATTGGGACGAGTACACGATGGATGCTTCTCTTAAATTGAGCAGAAAGCTAGACGTATCGTGTTTGGTTTTGCCGTTAACAAGTAACAACCATCATGGAGCAGTTCCCTTACTGCCTACAGAGTTATCCATGTCCTTCTCGACTATTGGTCCTCTACCGACGGAGTTACCTCTTTCATTGCCTGCTTACATCTATCATTATATATTACAATAATATTACACATAATACTATCCATGTATATTAAAATATTTAACAGCCAGCCAATTTAACAGCAGACTGCAATTTTCCGATAGAAAAAAGAACCATGAGACGGCACAAGTCCTTAATGTGTTCAAATTCAGGATACTGAATCATATTAGTCTTACAGATTGGCGAGTTCACAGCACAAGCCCAAAGGTGGGCCCAAGAAAGAGAGCATAGTCATCAGACAAGCGAAGTTCATCCGATGAGCCACGGTCAGCCACTGTTTTTACCTAATACGGCTCTGTTGATGGTTTTGATTAATTATTAGAGGACGCTGCAACAGCAGTAGCTTTTCTTCTCTTTCTCAGGGCTGAAGTTCATCTCGCGCACAATTTCCGCAAAAACGTCGTTGACGTTCGTGCGGTTCTTCGCGGATGCCTCGACGAATGGACAGCCCCAGAGGTGCGCTAGAGCATTGCCTTCGGCGGTTTCCACCTCACGCTGGTGCTCCAGATCGAGCTTGTTCGCGACGAGCAATACAGGTACCCTTTCGGTGCCTTTGACGCGAGTTATCAATTCCTTCATCGCCTTGATATCCTGGAAAGTCTGGTGATTCGTCAGACTGTAAACTACGACGAAACCTTGGCCGTTCTTTATGTAGAGATCGCGCATACTCGCGAACTGTTCAGTGCCGGCGGTGTCGAGGATCTCGAGTACACACGGCGAGTTGTCCACCTCGATTTCCTTCCGGTAAAAGTCTTCAATCGTAGGGTCGTACTTCTCCATAAAACATCCCGAAACAAATTGCACGGTGAGCGCGCTCTTGCCTACCCCGCCCGAGCCGAGGACGACTACCTTGAACTCGCGCATCTCTTTGGCAGTTCGCCTCTGTCTCCTCCGCCTCGACGTGTCCAGGACCGAGAGGAAAGCTTCTCTCTGCCGAGTATAGATTTATCGCACGTTTCCTTCGTTCGAGGATAATACGATTTGACTACCGCTACTAACTTCGTTTTCGTGTTATCGAAACGATTGTGCTCGAACGGAAACAGTTCTTATTGCCGAACAAAGGCATCGATGGATGTTACTGGATAATGGATACGGCAGAAAAATTGAACGTGATCGAAATATAGCAGTTTTGAACGCTCAAAAAAGACATGACAGCACTATATTCACACTCTCTGTCACACACCGCAGTCCCCTGGCGACGTTCGCCTGGCCTGCCTCCTTCCTGTCTTTCCTCTGCCCCTCACTTCTTCCATAGGTCTGACGTGCGTGACGCCATCTTATCACGCTTGAATTTTCTTTCAACCTCTTGCACGAACATCGAATACTGTACTCTGTCGTCTTGCTCTAACACTGGTTTACGTGCGCATAATATATAGCGTTTCAATAGTTATCAAGTAAGGGTGCGACTACACCGAGACGAAGGAGCACGAACGAGCTCGAGTGTATAGTCATCGGGGCTCGTCAGTGCTCGGTGATGTTCGTTGATGTTCGATTCTATAGTGAATACAGGGGCGGCTCATTCGTAAATATTATTTTGGGCGGAAACTCTTTTCGACTTCCTTTTTAATATTTTAAATAAAAATTTTCTGATCGCAGTAGAAATGCGACGAGTAAACTCCAAAATTTTTAAATTCCGAAATTTCCAAAAGTATAAATTTTCAAATTTCTAAATTATTAATTATCATTCTATTTTTACTTTTTTACGATAATGTTACTTCTAACGCGCGCAATGCGCACAATTTCAATTTTTGAAATTTGAGTAATGGTAGAAAAATGTTTTTATTATGGGACCCTTGTAAAATAGCACCCGCATATTATTTCGGCACTGTTCGAATGTTTGCTTGCTCGGTTTCCAATCCACAACACCTGAACATTGTTATCGAACATAGATTTTGCTCGCGCTCGTTCGCGCTCGTTAAGCTCAGTGGAGTCGCACCCTAATATCCAAAATCAAGTTTAAGACGCGTTTTCATAGTTTCCTTCGCTCCTCGTTTTTCGTGGGACTAAACTGTTCTGCGATTGGTGGATACAAGTCGGGTTGAAAAGGACGGACGAATAGGAGCTGCGGTCGAGAAGACTGATATTTGTTTTTTCGTGTGCGTAGAAGTATACTCGAGGAAAATAGTAAGAGAAGAATCACGGAAACTTCCTTTACCGGATGCAAGTGTCACTCTCTTATCTTCCAGACAGCACTATCCACGACCTCCACACTCCCAAGTGAGTTTTATTATTACTACTAAATGTTCCTCAAAATCTCGTTCGGGGATGATCAGGACCCATCTTTTTTTTTTTAAATAAAGTATTACATTTTTGTTGTTCATGAGGATGTTCTATTAATGACAATGATTTAATCCATTCAAAGATCATCTTTACATGTTCGTTAACATCACATTATTAAATTTGCTTTCATTGTACAAGTAATTAGTATTACTCACACTGTTGCTTACTGTTTTTGAAAGAAAATTTTATCAAATTATTTGCGTGATACAAAGTGGCTACTTCTGCATATACATAGATCAACTGTGTAACATTACTCGGTACACAGGTACATGAGAACACTGCTTAAAATACAAATCCTTAAAATAGATCAATAAAGAAAAAGATGAGACGTACGTAACGGGAATATTTTTTAAATATATATACCGTATAATTGATCCGTTTTATCATTTTTTCCCCATGAGTCAAATGAATAAGGAAACGAAGAAGTAATAACAAAAAGTAGCACGTAAGTTTGATGTTTCGTTTTTTCAAGATTAAAGGGCGTAACCGTGCTTTTCTGAAAAACCGGAAATGCGTTGCTACCGTATCTTTGTGGTTTACATAGGCTTCCTATTTCTTTTGTATTAGTGTGTCGTATAGATACGTCATTCCAGCAGCCACGACATTTGACGACCTTGTGGTATGCGAACGCAGACACATGTGAGACACGATGACATCATCCGATGAAAGTGTACATAACTGAACAATGCATCACTTTATGTACAGAGTATTTGTGACGAACTGCTAATTAGTCATCGAAGGGCTAATTGTCATTAGTTTCTTTAGAAAATTACACGTGAAATTTTGCGTCATCGAAAACTGGACGACGATTATAACGTAGCTTGAAATAATGCAATGTTAGTTGTAAGTTGCACCATATAAATGGATTCCATATAGCGACACTGTATTGTATATTGTTTTTATAAAACTCGAATCGGTATAATTAGAATTGTAAAACTAGTAAGATTTTTATAAATTTTGATAATAAATGAATGGTTCGTAAACTAAAATTGACCAATGATTATACTGCATATGCAATTGGGGTAAATGAAATAATTGAGATCATGACAGTGTTGAATCAGCTTTCATTGTACGCGTCGAACAATGCATATGGTTCTTAAAACGCACGTGCACTCCGTCATTCTGGTTATCAATGATTTTCAGTGTCATTAAATGGAGCAGCACCGAAACTTTGTTGCCGTTTCAACCGCATGACGTTAATATATACAATTCCTCGTACCTGATTTCTTGTCGTTCGTTCACCGTGAAAAACGTAATCAGTGCGTGTTGCGGCACATTGAAAAAAAAAATCGCTACGAACGAAAAGTTATCGAGGTTGTTCGCAACAAACAAGGAAACTGTCGATTAGGCTTCATGAAACCTAATTTAAGGCTATTAAAAAGTAGTACGTATAATGAGATGGAAACTAGTTTAAGGTGTCATCTTTTTTTCGATACATAACCAAATTTTGCATTCATTTAAAATATACTCATTTCCTTTTTTCCTGAAATCTTTTCAATTGTATCTAATTTACTAACGCGCTGAAAATTGTTGAATTGTCTTGTAAAATAACTGTAATAAGAATATCATTTACATTAGATAACATTATTTATGTATAATAACAAATCGTATGAGTTGTACATGGATTGGTACTATACTACTACTAATCGCTTTTATTAATTGTACAACTCTATTATTCCGTCACTATATTATTATATTACTATTTCAATATTTTATTATTCCGTTTGAGCAAATGGGCTTTCGGATTTATTTATATTATAGTTAAAGTAGTGAATAAGTAGAAGCCTTAGTATAAATTATCGATCACGGACATATCGAAAGACAAAGGATTGTTATCAACAAAAAAATGTCGAGTTATCGCTTAAAGTTCATATCTTCACGTAAAGTTACAACGACCTTTACGAGCGGACAATAACCTGACAATTTCAATAACATAAACAGCATCACGATTAGAGTTTCGTCATCACACGATTTTAGTCGTAACTAATTTTCAGCTCACCGACTCTGTAGGTAAAATAGATATCATTACCGACCGAGGACTTCTTTTGAACATAACCTAAACTAAAAATGTAAACAAAGTACAATATACTGTACGCTTCTATAACATCATTCGTTCCTTTTCGTTTTCCTTCAAATTTTTCAGTTAAAAGTATAAGTAATACACGTGTTCATTTCTTTATCATAAATTGTCAGTGACAACGTTCGAATCATTTAAAATGGAATAGAAAATATTTATATTAAGGTTGATGATTTATTAATTTTAGATTTAGGTAGAAAAAATGGATTCCATGTATCCTGCACCAATGCCTTCAGGAATGCCTATGCCAACTGCACCACCGTCCACCATGTATCCGCTGCCACAGCCTGGAATGCCGATAATGTCACAAGGTAGAATATGACATAACCATTTATGTAGATAAAAAATTTCAAGAAGATAATCATTATCATTCAAAAAATGTTATCGATACCAAATATCTCGCGGGTGATCATTCTTTAAATAGGATAGGGTCTTGGAAGAATTAAATGATAAGGACAGTATGGATATTTAGATAAGAATTATTATATGGATATTTAGATATGGATGATTAAAATGTACCAATGTTTTACAGGTGACAAAGATAATTCTTGTTCATATGAGATAACGTATCAAGATTAATCTGAATGTTACGATGCGTGGGTGGATAAGACGAGCGTCGCAGCTTCGGCTTGCGATCGGACAAAGTCGGGCAGGATCGGAAACGCGCTCTTTCTATAATACGAACGCTTAGAATTTCGAAACTTCGGAAATTAAAAATTGGAAACTTGGAAATGTGGAAGTTTTAAGATTGAAAGATTGGAAGATTGAAAATTTAGATGTATTTTGTTTTCAGTAGAAGCACATAGAGAGGTATTTTTCGATTCTGTCTGTTCATTTTCCTCTTGGGAACTTTTTAGATAATTCTTCGCTTACTGCACGATCAAGATTCTTCGAACTCCCTAATCGCTTTAGAAATATTTTAGTTTGAGCCCGAATTTATCAGGCCTGACATTATCTAGATTTGTAGTACGTGAAAAGAGACTCGTAAACGGGCCACTGTTTGCCAAGTGACGATCAGTAAGTAGATAATGGTCATCTTCGTTGATGGAGGTACCACGTACTATGCAGTGACATTCAGTTCCCTTATCGGCAGTAAATTCTATCGTGTCGCTACGTGCAATTGATCGGGATCTATCGAAATCCTCGTTCGATCGACATTCGTACGTGTGTCTTGTGATCCAATAAAAATGAAACACTCAAGAACTCATTGACTCGGTAGTGTTGTATTCTCTTCCCGATATCTAGACATTAATGCTTACAATTCGTCGTTTAGGGTCAAAGTTGCTAGACGATACTTGCTATAAGCGCCCCCTCTCTGATAAGAATTACAATGCAGCTTCTTTTTATCTGTTTACTCTTTTTTTCTCGTTGCATTACACGAAAGTAATACATTAATTTGCTCGTAGATTTTCGAAGAAAATGGAACTTTGAGACGAGAGAGCGAAGAGACGAGGTGATTCATAGCTAATTAACGGTGAACGAAGATTAAATAATACTCTGTCCAATGAAACAGTGCATCTAGCCGGACGTCGCCTGTTTGATAATGTATATTAAACTTACAGGGCTGTAATTACGTTGCATAAAACGGTGTGACTGTAATTTTTCCCCCTAACGAACGTTCCATTCGGTAGCGTTTACAATGTTTACAGTTAGCAACGTACGGTTAGTTATTTAATTCGATTCGATGGAAATTTAACGGCTGAAAATAAATGGTTAATTTTAAATGTATTACGATTGTGCTCAAAGATAAGATACGGTCTTTGATTAATTGTTTGTTGATGAAGAGCAAACAGCTTTAATTGGAAGCTAGAAGTTGTAAAAACAGGTTCGGGCAGTAAAAATTCTTCGAAGTAAATTACAAATTAGGTATATAATAATATTAGAAGTTAACGAAAATAAAATAATAATATAATATAAGATTGTAGTTAAATCATAGTTGCGTCACGTAGAAAAAATAATATAAAATATTATATAACATAAAAATATGAATACTCGAATGTAAAACAAATTCGATCATACATTATCAGTCTAGAGCCGGAAAATTTTCGTTCCAGAGTTTATTGTTTTCCTCTTTATCTACGATGATAACGTGAAAAAGCAGAGGAGGCCGGTCTAAGAAACTAAATCTGTCCTCTGGAAAGTACACACAGTTTTATCATTTTGCTGAGGAGGAGAAACTTGAGAAAACAACCGACCGGTTAGTGCATCTTCTGGTTGCCAATACACGGTTACTATAGCAAAGCAGCTTCAGTAATGCTCACTCGCGCACGGAATACATTTATCAAATTATTATCCGTAAGAATAACTAGCTAAATATACCTTGTGTATCGCGTTGAAAATGATCGAACCATGATTTCATTATCGCGCTGATAATCGCGAGAAACGCGAGTGAGTTTAGTCGAAACAGTGCGCGGAGTGATGGAGTCCGAATATTTTGAGACTTCTTGGAGAGCAAAGGTACAACTGTTTCGAAGACGGCTTCGAGCTTTGTTCAGGGACACGTTAAAGAGACATCGATCAAAGAGGAAAGGCTACACCAGGTTCCTCACAGATGAGGAGAAGAGGTGATGACTTCCGGTCGCCTGAAACCTGAAAATTTCTCTGCTGTTTCAAATCCTTAACTTCATTAAATTTGAAAGAAAATATCGTGACATACATACATTGCAAATTTGTGCTAAATAAATACATTGTACAATTTAAAAATTGTAAATTATAAAAATTATGAAGTATCTAACTAGTGGCACAAATGTCTAGGAAAAGGTACACGTGTAATCCGTGTTCAAACACGATCGAAGCGATAGGAGATAAACTGTTGGGGGATATTTACGGAAATACTGTGTATTTTTTCAATTACTTTATCAGTAGAATTGTTGCTTCTTTAAAATAATGTAATCCTTGTCTTTTCAGGTGGTTGGTCACCGCCGAGTACGACTTGTCCACCAGGCTTGGAATACCTTATGGGCCTTAGCCATCTATTTGTACAGCAGAAAGTAGAATTACTCGAAGGTTAATTTGTTTTTAATTTTGTATGATTGAAAAATTCCGCTGGTGGTCCGCTCATGATCCACTCATGGTCCGCTCATTAAATTTTCTTTGAAACCTTTGTAGAAGTTTTAGGCTTCTAAAATAACCCTCAGACACTCTACGCTTAGAAATGAGGAAATATAACAAATTTAGGAATTAAAATCTCTGACAATTTAGAAATTTACAAACTGATCAAGAGAGGACCGTAAGCGGACCATAAAATGATAAAAACACTAAGTAACAATAGATTAAAACAATAAGTAACGAATGAACCGAATTGCAGCTTTCATCGGGTTCGAGACGAAGAACAGATACTCCGTAGCGAATATCCGAGGAGAGCCAGTTTATTACGTCGCAGAAAAATCAGGATTCTGTGGACGATTATGTTGCGGCACGTCCCGCAGCTGTGAATTTCTGGTGGTTGACAATAACCGAAGGGAAGTGTTACGTATGGTCCGTCCCTTGAGATGCAATAGCTGCTGTTGTCCTTGCTGTCTGCAGGTACACACTCCTTTTTTAGCATTAAGGAAGAGGCACAGTTGGCCTTGTAATGAATGAACCTAACGGTTCGACGCGGTCGAAATTTATTGGTTTAGGCTAAAGGTGCGTTTGGATTAGGCGGACAGCTAAGAGAAAGATATTCTGCCTCTTAGACAAGCTAGCACTAATGTATAATGTGTACTTTGAGATGAAATATGAAGTCAGAAAATAAACAGTACATAAATTAGTACACAAATTAATTCTCTGTCTTGATGAAGATCAGAAGAATCACTTCAACAAATTTTGTAACTTATAATAAAGATTTGGAATAGTCATCTGGTAGTTTAGTGCTGCTTGTACGTTGTAAACGCACCCTAAGTATCGAATAACGTTTAGTTGATCTTCAAGCGTAGCATCTGGTTGATCAAATATAATAACATTTTGTATTTGTTTCAGGTATCTGCATAACAGACGCGTATTAATTTTCTGTGTGCGGTTATACGTCAGTCGTACAATCATATTTCACATCAACACATAGTCATGTCGGTAGTCAATCGACTCATGAAGGACACGTCCGTTCGTGTTACCGTAATTGTCTCTTTATTTATGGCGGCCACTAGATACCGCTCGCAAAACGGTCGCCTGAGTTTCTCGAACATACGACGCGCACAAACTGCAAACTTTCTTCACACGTGCGCACCATCTGCGACGATTACCTTTGACGAAATGTTATTCGAGTCATTAGAAAAGCTGGTCACGATTCGTACTCTTTGAGCAACACCGCTCGCTGACACCTTTTTGTTCCGTTTCGAACCCTGGTTATTCGATTCTGTAAGAGTTTGTTGCAACACAATGGCTGCAACGTACTTGGGAAGTCGTTACGAATAAAAAATGTTACATAAACAATGGATCAATTCGGATTTGGAGGCGCAATGATTGTCTTTGTTCTCGTTTCTTTCTATTATATTTATTACGTTGAGGTGTCTTCGCAAAATTATGTTATTTTAAATTCTTAATCGCATCGTACTTTTCTTCTATTTCGCTTGCAAATCTTCTGTGGGTTAAAAAATTCCAGTTGCATTCATCTTTTGTGACCAAGGAAACTGTGCCTCTATTTGTAAAATTGTTCGATAAATTCTTTATTAAATTTGAAAAAGATGTCTACAATAGTAGAAGAAATAGATGAACGCTTGTCTATATGACTGCTTAAAGTTTCAAACCTTTTGGAGTTTGAATTTACCTTTCGATTTCAACGAATCGTTTGAATTTTGCGGAGGAATTGAAATTTAACGCCATCTAGCGGTTTTTTCCCGAACATGTGATCCGGGTATCAGGCTAGCATGAAATGATGGAGGTATACGGTAATAAGAGGTGGCACGGCGCGACAGTCATGGCCGCCACCCCCAAAATGGCGGCCGTTCAGTCGGCCATAGTTGCCAATAAAAAATAATTAATTACTTGCCTTTTATGAACAATTTCTGCACTTTAATGATTGCAAATTGATTATCGTCTATCTTTTACTGGTATATTATTAATAATAATTTAATAATAATTTTTTAAATAATATATTAATAATAATATATTAATAGTTAATTAATTGTGGGCCTAATGTTGATAAAACCCATGTGAGAAAGCAACTAATAAACCAGTCTCCATTATTCAATTACAAAAGTGCACAAATTGCAAGTAAAAAGCGAGTAATTAATTATCTTTGACAGGCGACTATGGTTGATTGAACGGTCGCCATTTTGGGCGGCCATGTTCGCGCCGTGCCACCTCTTGTTACCGTATACCTCCATCATTTCATGCTAGCCTGATACCAGGATCACATGTTCGGGAAAAAACCGCTAGATGGCGCTGACTAAATTTTTTATTTACCGACACATTCGAATGAGCGAAAAGTTAAATTCATAGAGTGTGTATTAAATTATTATGTGTTATATATAAATATTGGAGTAAGTAATTCATTTTCAGGAGCTGGAAGTGTACTCGGGAGATATATTACTTGGTTCCATAACGCAAGACTGGACCCTTTGGCGACATACGTTTTCAGTTCGAAACGCTGCTGGCGATACTGTTTTAATCATAAAGGGACCTTGGCTGCGGTGTTGCGTGAATGTGACATTTAAGGTAGATCAACATAATCGGTTATTTTTTATATTTTTGAGGTTAAGTATTGCTTTCTTTTAGATTAAATCTGCAGATGACAAGCACAGAGTGGGCGATATAAAGAAAGAATGGAGCGGTATTAGTAAAGAAGTTTTTACTACTGCGGATAATTTTGGTATAAGCTTTCCTTTAGATCTGGATGTTAAGATAAAAGCTGTTTTGTTAGGTGCTTGCCTTCTGTTTGTAAGTATCATTATATAAGTATATAATATATAATACCGTCATCAATATATTTATAAATACATGTTTTTCAGGACTTCATGTACTTTGAAAGCAAAAATTCGAACCGTGCCGACACATTCCTTTAAACAGAATGCCTTTTCTAAAATTGTACCGTTCCAGTGATTTGCCCCAAAAGCTATTTTGTTTGAAAAGATGTATATAAGAACTTTCTTCGCGTATTGTAAACCGGCATGAATTACTTCAAATCGTAGGATTTGTGGACGTGATCAAGTCTCCTGATCTATTTAATGTTTAGAATATAAGACGTGTGCCATGGGTGTAATTTGCAGTATACAGTTTACAGCACAAACATATTTTTCTGCGTTGCTTTATAAGATTGACATACCAGCGTTGTCATAAGCACAAATTAGTGCCAATATGTAAATGTTCAACTACTGTTATTTAATGTAATTATACACTATTTATATATATGTATACATATATATCGAACGTTACGAAGAATATGTTATACATCTATATTTTTTAAGTTCGACTGATTATACTCATAAATATGATGTATATACTCTTTTCAGTTTTGTGAATTTTATAAAAAGCTTTAATCATTTTTAAATGGATTTTCATTTTCCACGTGGAGACTCGACAGACCTATAAAATATATCTACAATTGAGGATGTAGGTATCTGGAAATAGTAGGGTTAGAAAATTTTGAAAGAGACAAATGTAATGTGTATGTCTTTTTATTCGTCTTTAACTCACATCTTCATACATTTGATAGTGAAATCGTTACTGCCTCAGCTGCATCACTCGGCATGCTATACTCGTCGCAGATGTTTTTTTGATAAAAAATGAGAATGGAGAAACAACTTGCATCCTTTCGCACGGATTACAAAACAGGATGCTGTAAGATACCGTATTTGTCGCGTTTTCTTCAACACATCAAGGACAAGTATTTCTCGATTATTCAACATTTAACCGAATTCGATATTCAAGGTGAAGTGCGTATAAAGTTCGTTGCACAACATAATCTTAAAAACTTGTTCTCGTTTCATTGTCGGTATAGATGCGCCTTTTTACACGAATATCAATTACGTGGTATTTCGAGAGCAAAAACGTTTCGTAAATAAAATCAGTATAAAAGGATTTGGTACAAAAATCCAAAAAGTCCTCGATACGTTATCAGTGTAGCGACATCGATCAATTCAAACCTTACCGCACAACCGGATAGCTTCTCATTTTCTTCGTGGGACAATTACTAGGATCGTGCGGGTAATCAAACTCGTCAGGTCGGAGAAAGTATCGGGCGTAAATTTCCAATTTGGAAATTCAGGTATTTAGAAATTTATAAGTTTCAAATTTGAATCACGAGAATCCATTTGAGCCCGCCCTATTTTCTCCAACTTAACCCGAAATATCCGAGGTCTCGCATGTTTCGAGTACCTGATTAAACTTGATTCACCCGAGCCCGAAATATTGGGCACTTGCACATCCCCAACGATTACAGACGTCCTCGATACAGTTACAATAAGATGTTCTTGACGATACGAATGACAGTGACACGATACAAAAGCAACAGGGTTAAAAAAGAAACAATAAGAATAAAGAAATGAAAGAATACTGCGTGTATTTCTTTAGTATGCTGGATTACATGTCCTTAGAAAAAGAAAACGGGGGTGAAACAAAATCAAAATACTGTTTAAAATAATAATTGCATATTATAATGTATAATACAAGCTTTTCTTCACTTTTGCTTTTTTCTTGATTGATGGGAAGGAACTTGAGTCAACATAAGAGACAGTAATAATAATAATTAAAATAACGATAATAATATTAATAATAATAGTAATTGCAACGCGTGTAAATAGGAGACGGTGGAAACGAAAGCTGCCCATACGTTTACGACAAAAATCTCAAATTTCTGGAAACTCAAGACATCTAATTTACGATCAGACTCGACTACACGAGCTAAATCTCTGATATTCCCTTGAACGAACAAAGCTTTTCGTCGTCACTGTTTTAGAACTCTAAGGACGCGCGTGTAGAGGGTCTCAGCACATCAAGGACCAAAATATTTATCTAAAATTATGGGGGACCAAATCTGTCCCTATGTGTTTTCATTTCATAACAACGCGTGAATTGAAAAATGCCCCATTTTGTTTCTTTCTTTCCAAACTACGATTTTCCTCTTTTCTCTGATAGATTCATATTTATGCAGAATCAAACGTTCACAACGTTTCTTTTTGATCTTTAACGAGTTCACGACTCTCTTTTCAGGGATTTCTCGAAACCCCGCCACGAAGTACGCTCATTCCGCTAGCAGAAATCAGTACGAACGTTGAAAGAGAATCTTTATATTCGTTTCTTCAAGGAGGAAGGTCCTCGATGCGTCAAGAACGTCTAAAGGGTGAATAAAAGAGGGAGATGGTCGCATGTCGGTTGTCTCCTGGCGCGCTTTAAAGTTCCTTCTCGAGCTTGATCAGCTCGGCGATTCCATCGTGCATCTCCTTCACAGCCTGATACTCGGTAAGGCCGAGACGTCGTTTGTTGGAAATGTCGTAGATGCCACCTTCGGCCTCGGTGTGCTCACCACGGGTACCGCGGACCTGGAGGTTGAATTTGCCGGCGATTTCCTCAAGCTTCGCCCTATTGGCGGCGAGCTTGGGCACCTTGATGTGCACAGAGGCACGTACTGTAGTACCCAAGTTCGTTGGGCAGAAAGTCAGGAAACCAAGACGATCGTGGTGAGAGAAGGGAAGTCGCTTCTCGATTTCGTTGACAGCAGTCACCAGACGGCGGTAGACCTACAAAAAAGCCAGTTGTAAATACTTGTGCTCCCTTGCCTATCACAAGGTTTCATCTCGTAAAGTCACATTGTTAGATACGTACCTGTCCAAGATCACCACCCATTTGCATAGAAATAATACGAAGGTGATCTTCTTCGTTAACCCAGACCAAGAATGTTTTAGCGTCGTTGTGGTAAATACCACGTCCAGTGGGCCAGAAACGGCAAGCGTTGGCAGCTTGCAAGAAGCGGTCACCCTCCTTGAAGAGGAAGTGATCGTCGATCAATTTTTGCTGCACCTCTTTGCTCATGCCGGTCAAAGGATAGAAGGTTCCCTTCAGTTCACCCTCCAAACCAGACAAGGTGCTGGAAACCTTCTCTTCCATCTCCTTGTATTGAGCTTCGGTCAAGCATGGGTTGAATGGGTAACCTTCCAAGGAACGACCACATCTTACACGGGTAGAAACAATGAATTCACCCTAGACAAATAAAAAAATCAGTTAATATTCTGAGTGTTCATTTTGCGCATATTTTACTGTTTAATCTTTTCCTGTTTTATCTAATCACAAATTAAATTTACATCTATTTTATTTCATTAATGTTATGAAGGTAATAAAACATTGAATATAATAGATTTCTACAGATGTCTACTTAATTTATGATTGGACAGCAAGAAAATAGATTGAATATTTATCTTGATTCTTAATACTAACAGCCGGGTCAAGGTTGCCAAGAGAGTCAACATCACCAAAGTCCTTTGGTGGATGCTTGTCAGTCTTCTTGAAACCACCATGGTAGTCTTCGATGATGGGGTCAAAGAGGTCAGCAAAGACTGAGTAGGACTCAGCGTCAGGTGCATATATACCAACACCAGAGTCCAGATTCTCAACACCAGACTGGATCACATCCAGAAGAGTGGAACCAAAAGAGGTTTTCTTTGTTTTCAGCTGATCAAACACTTCCTTGGTCAGATATTTCTTCAGCAGAGACTTGCTGTCAGAGGTAGACACTTTGGTGAAGCCAGCCTCAAGTTTATCCAAAACTGCCTGGTCCACCATGTTGCTGTTCTTTTTACTGCAAAAAAATGAGAACACTTTAAGTTAATTTTGTTTAATAAAAAGAATATTGAACACAAATATTTAACAGTCACATTAAGGGTTCATTATGTCAAGAATTTGAAATTTAAAATTCAATGAAATAAAATTTTTCTATTTACAAGAGGCACATGTATGAAAAATATGCTAATGTAAGCATGATTAATTTCCGTTTAGAAACTAGGTTCCAGAGGTACAGTGTGGTCATCAGTCAGACATGTTTAAAACTGATTAAGGTAAAAGCAGACCTTCTGTGATAATGCTATAAAATTTCTTATCAACGATTCTTATCTCAAGTATTACGTACACGTTTTTGCCGTATTATTTATACTAAATCATCGACGATTATCGCACAATGATTATTCGTTATCATAAATTATACAGGTTTGAAGATTTTGCTAGATCCGTTGTATCGATAAAATATCTATAAAATACAAAGTTCTCTTTAGACTGATATATTAGAAAATATTAATTCTTGTTTCGTAAATTAAAAATTGCGTAAGAGCAACAACAGAGATCGTTCGAATCTATGCGTTACTCACGTTTGGATAAGCCTGACAAGTTGTCGACCAAAGAATCGGGTCGAAGGTTGTGTCAGGACTTCCATCGAGGATCGGATTACTTTAAAGAGCATGGAGAACTTGTCCACGAAACGATCCTTGAATGGAGACCAACTTTTAGTCCCCGATCTCGTGAGAATTCCACGAAAGGGTACATTGTTTTTAAAATACAATTTGCAAAGGCAACATGGTCGCAAACCTCATGCGTGAATTTGGCCACAGTTCTCGGAGCATACGAACAGAGATTTTTAAATATAACATCGATCTGTGTATCACGTGTCAGTTTGTGCAAAATATGCTCACAGTTGAGTTAAATTTAACCTCGGGTAAATTTATAGTTTCTCACAGTACAATTGACACTCGTTATATTGATAGACGCTAAATTTTCTTGTACATCGACTTCCATGCTAATGGCGCTCCCGCGCTTCGCACACGGAAGCCCACGAAGATTCACGAAGATCGCCGATATCGAACGAGGAAGACTCTCCGTTCAATACTGATCTTTAAATCGTCAATATTAAACAAGGATTCTTTACATCTTCGTTCAATATCGAATGTTAGATCGTCACGTGTTATATTGCAGTGTATCTAAATACTATTTTTGAATCTGAGATGGAATACGTATAATAAAAAGTATCTCTCGAACAATATAACGAGAGTCTGACAGTACAGTGATTCTGAGCAATATTGACACACTGTGCGATCAGTGGCATAGGCGTGTTCCGTCGTTGGTGCACTTTTTGAGACAGTACTTCCGCTCGAACTCAACGAACTTCGAAAAAGATTTATAATCGAGCATGTTTAGAAAGAAATTTCGCGGAGTATCGAGTTTGTTGTTTCGAACGAAAACCAGTGCCAAATACGTACTCGTCCTCGACAGTCGTGTCGTCCGACGACTCGCATATGCCCATTATTGACGCACATACGCCCATTGTCGACGATTATGCGTTCGATTATCACCTTGCCGCTTATACGTCTATTTATAAGCGACGCGAATCTTCTTTATCGTTCGATGTTTGTCAGGAGTCAGGATCGGGATGAGATCTCATCTTTAACTTCCTGCCGGAGTTTCTTTGTTACTAAATCATTTTTCTATCTGTGAACGGTGCTCGGATTCAATTTTAATGTCAGGTGTTGTGCTAACCGGGGTGATGGAAATTTTTTTAGGACCAAAATTTGTGACAGGAGTCTCAAGGATATAATTTATAATTATTGTAAATAATAATATGAAGGTTTCACATTATGGTTGTTATACCATAAGGTGTTTTTTATGGAAATAATTAGTGTCTCAGATTAATCTACGTGACGTCATACAGAATATTTTCTACTTCCATAATAGTTCTGAATTGAACTACTCAACTTAAACATAACTGTAACTATTAAACGTAAATTTCTCCAGCTATTGGTTAATGCATTTCAATGATCGGAGAAATTGAAATAAATGTTTCCCAGAAACATTCCAACTAATTGATATTTCAGTACCTAATTTCTCCCTGGAAGTATAACAATGGATAGGTGGATGCAGCTTGATATATCGTGCGAAATGCAAATAAAATTTTTCAGTCGACCTGTTTCCACGCCCCTATGTAAGGGCAAGGGTTGACCCTTTTGTGCGAACGAACGTAGGGTAGCTATTAATGCTGGGTACACACTCCGAGGCTTAAGATCGAGTTAAACTCGATACTCGATTAAAGGAACAAAGACGATTTAACATTCGATGAATCACGATTGAGTCATTTAACTGATATTAATTACTCTTCGCAGTTTAAGCGAACGTTCATTTAATATTTGTTCAAAAAGGGAATTTAATACCCGATTCAGGTGCTCAAAATTAAGCCTAAAGTTGACAGAGAGCAGTTTTAAATAACATTAAAGCGCAAGTACACTTCATGTATAATAAACGAACCGTAAAAGGCTGATCTCGAGTTCCCTGCTTCATTCATTATTAATTCCATGAATGTCTGATCTGACGTAGTCTAACGTCACTGTACCGACACACAGTGACGTCACCGTAGAAAACTTCGAAATTACCCACCCTAATTAAATTGCTTCAAAAGCTACTGAAAAATATAATCTTATCATTTAACATTCTGCTAACTGGAGCAAACATTGAAAGTAATCTAATCTAACATAGGATGTAATTCAATCATTCAATGTAATAAACCTAACAGTTTTATTGTACCATTTAATTACCTGACTATTAAATGATTACTTATAATGGTTGGAATATAACTTAACTTAAAGGCATAACCTAACATGAGATTCGTAAAACCTAACAGGTTCATTGTACCATTTAATTACCTGACTATTAAATGATTACTTGTAATGGTTGGACTATAACCTAACCTAAAGGCATAACCCAACCTGAGATTCGTAAAACCTAACAGGTTTATTGTACCATTTAATTAACTGACTATTAAATGATTGCATATAATGGTTGGACTATAACTTAACTTAAAGGCAAAACCTAACCTGAGATTCGTCAAACCTAACAGGTTTATTGTACCATTTAATTAATTGACTATTAAATGATTACATATAATGGTTGAACTATAACCTAACCTAACCTGAGATTCCTAAAACCTAACCTACCAGACGCAATTACCTCTAAAATCAGACTAAGTTAAGTTCAAAGAAAATACATAACCTAACCATTAAATGATTGTTGCATATAATGGTTGGACTATAATCTAACCTAAGGAAGTAACACCTAACTTGAGATTCGTAGAATCTAACCTACCAGACGCAATTACCCGTAAAATCAGATTAAGTTAGGTTCAAAGAAAATACATAACCTAACCATTAAATGATTGTTGCATATAATGGTTGGACTATAACCTAACCTAAGGAAGTAACATCTAACTTGAGATTCATTGAAACCTAACCTACCAGATGTAATTATTTATAAAGTCAGATTAGGTTAGGTTCGATGAAAATACATAACCATTAAATGATTGTTGTATATAATAGACTACAACTATAATATATTATAGACTATTACATAATGGTTAGAGTACCTAATGGAATATATAACACCTAAGATTCATACGATGGAACCTAATCTACTAGACCCAATTACCTGTAAGATTAAGCTAGATTCAAAGTTCGAAGAGAAATAGATAACGATTAGACGTAATATTTTATCTGAACGAGTATCGTTAAATATACATACAATAACGAATAAGTCATATTATTAATAAGTAATAATAAATGTTTATGTATAATAAATAAAAGCATAATAAATGTATATGTATAATAAATAAGAGAGTAATAAATGTATATGTATAATAAATAAGAGTATAATAAATGAATACGTATAATAAATAGATATATATAATAATAAATAGATAAATGTCGTCAAGTACGAATACCAGTTGAGCCAATAAAAGAATGGATCGCACGACAAACCTTTAGAAGGACTTATCCGGCGGATACGTACTCGTCGCTCGACGTGGTATCCTTCGAAGTACATCCGCCCATGACGACGACGGCGACGACGGCGGCGATGACGACGCCCCAGCGAGAGAGACAGAGACGAACAGGGAGAGAGGGGAGAGAGCTCGAACCGTGCGTGTATTCACCTCCGATAATCGAACTTCACCTCTTCACTTCCTCCCGTCTGTGCACAACCCCGGAGAATCTCCGTAACCGGAAGTTTCGCGAGGGTAATCGGTCCAGGAGAACTCGCGAATCAAGATGGACGGAAAACGAAAGCGTGTATACGTATCTCGTGCTTTAACTCACACGGAACACAGATTCGAGTATTTCGAAGCACTTCCGGTCGCCCTTGGGTGCCTATGGCCTCTATATATTCATGCGTTGGCAGCGTGTCAAAGGTCGTCTATAGTAAAATACTTCTTCCTTGTTCCCTTTGATTGCCTAACAAACGATCGATGATCATCCGATTTTTCCAACGGAGGACAATTTTACAGAAAATCTCTAATTTTATCTTGCAAGACGAGGCGCAAAATAAAATTCGAGTAATCCATAAAATTGAGCTTCGTAAGACCGGTACACTTCCGGTTGCATACTGGCTGACTCGAGTAGTACAGAAATTCAAGATCGTTTCGAAAACTAAAAACCAGCGGAAAGAAACATCGAGCAAGGGTTCGAGTAATCGCGATCAATGCATCGCACTATTATTACTGTCTTTCCTGGTTGCCGGTGAAAATGAAAGGGAACTGCGTGTCCCGGGGAACCCCTAGCCGACCGTCAATCGATATACGAGCTAACCGAAACAAAATTTCACGCTTCAACTATTCGCGGAAAAAAGGTTACAAAAAGGACCGGTGAATCAGCCAGTTGCAACCGAAATTTATTTGCTTCATTGGCGTAACTGGGCTTTTTGTGGGATGGACAGCACCTGCGTGTTTAGGGTGTCAATGACCCACTCGGTGCGTGAATTTGGGGACCTGTGGATTTGGGAATTCGAGGATTCAAGAACTTGGAAATTTAGGGATACGGGAATCGCAAAAGGGGACGGAATTCTTGGGGATTTTTATGATCAGGGTTGGAAACTAGGGGTGGAGAAATTTGAGGATTTAGCACTCAGAAATTTGGGGGTTGAACTTGAAAATTGGAGGGAGGTCCAGAGATTAGGGTTGGGAGTTGGAAATTTAGGGAGGTGCAAATTCTTGGGGATTTTTATGATTAGGGTTAGGGGTGGAGAAATTTGAGAATCTTGGCACTCAGAAATTTGGGAGTTGAACTTGAAAATTAGAGGGAGGTCCAGAGATTAAGGCTTGGGAGTTGCAAATTCCAGGGACGTTGTATTCAGAAATTTTAGAATTTAAACACTTAGAAATTTGGGAATTTATAAACTTGAAAATTGGAGACCTAGAAGGTCCAGATACCTGAGGTTCAAGTGAAAATTGTAGGATTTGAAAAGGGTGAAATGGACTTTGCGGAAGTGTGAAAATCTATGACCTCAGAAACCGATATCTGGGTAATTTAATCGCAAATTTCTACGGAGGGCCCACCCTAGTTACGCCAATGATTCTGTACTCACCAGTTGATGATCAAAGATCGAAGATTAAAAAGCACAAGTAAAAAACACTTTCAAAAATGGTCTCGTTGTGCGTGATTAGCTCCTGAGGAAAGTAGAATCTGTTCGTGTGTGACTTAAACTTAACCGAATGATCGAACAGGTTCACCTGGTTCGCGCGTTAAACGTGGTAAAAAATGTTCGGTGTGTCGCGTGTGATGTGAACACTACAGTCTCTACGCTATCACTAAGCAGGAGGCATTTCTGCGTGCCGTGATCTCTCTCTGTCTCTCCGGGCACCTCCCTCCCTCCCACGGGCTCTCCCCGTCTCTCTCTTTCTCTCTCCCTTCGACCGTACACGGATCCGTTCTCGTCTCTTTCCGTCGCTGTCATTCTACTCGTACGCGTTTCTCCTTCTGTTCAAAAGCGACTTTCGCGGACCCCCGATCACGCTGTCTCGCTTTTTCACCCGGCGGATCCTCCTCTGAAAGGCATCCCCGTTTTTCCCGGTTTCACCGCGGCCGTCTCTTTTCGCCGGGATGCATCTTGCTCCTATTTGAGGATTTAGCACTCAGAAATTTGGGGGTTGAACTTGAAAATTGGAGGGAGGTCCAGAGATTAGGGTTGGGAGTTGGAAATTTAGGGAGGTGCAAATTCTTGGGGATTTTTATGATTAGGGTTAGGGGTGGAGAAATTTGAGAATCTTGGCACTCAGAAATTTGGGAGTTGAACTTGAAAATTAGAGGGAGGTCCAGAGATTAAGGCTTGGGAGTTGCAAATTCCAGGGACGTTGTATTCAGAAATTTTAGAATTTAAACACTTAGAAATTTGGGAATTTATAAACTTGAAAATTGGAGACCTAGAAGGTCCAGATACCTGAGGTTCAAGTGAAAATTGTAGGATTTGAAAAGGGTGAAATGGACTTTGCGGAAGTGTGAAAATCTATGACCTCAGAAACCGATATCTGGGTAATTTAATCGCAAATTTCTACGGAGGGCCCACCCTAGTTACGCCAATGATTCTGTACTCACCAGTTGATGATCAAAGATCGAAGATTAAAAAGCACAAGTAAAAAACACTTTCAAAAATGGTCTCGTTGTGCGTGATTAGCTCCTGAGGAAAGTAGAATCTGTTCGTGTGTGACTTAAACTTAACCGAATGATCGAACAGGTTCACCTGGTTCGCGCGTTAAACGTGGTAAAAAATGTTCGGTGTGTCGCGTGTGATGTGAACACTACAGTCTCTACGCTATCACTAAGCAGGAGGCATTTCTGCGTGCCGTGATCTCTCTCTGTCTCTCCGGGCACCTCCCTCCCTCCCACGGGCTCTCCCCGTCTCTCTCTTTCTCTCTCCCTTCGACCGTACACGGATCCGTTCTCGTCTCTTTCCGTCGCTGTCATTCTACTCGTACGCGTTTCTCCTTCTGTTCAAAAGCGACTTTCGCGGACCCCCGATCACGCTGTCTCGCTTTTTCACCCGGCGGATCCTCCTCTGAAAGGCATCCCCGTTTTTCCCGGTTTCACCGCGGCCGTCTCTTTTCGCCGGGATGCATCTTGCTCCTTGTCCTATCGGTTTGTCCTTTTCTCGCCGCCGGCTCGCGACAGTTGTTCTCCTCGTTTTTCTCACGACGTGTCGCTCTTTCTCTGTCTCGCCGACTGCTTCAGGGTGGGGCACACCGGCGTCCAGCACAGAAGGATACCCGGTCGATAGCACGCACCTACACCGACGCCGGTCTGCAGCCTCCGTACGCGCGGAAAATCACGCACACACGCCTTTACTTAATCACGTGTGTACTTACACACGGGGCCCCAGCAGTTTTCGGCCTTGCTCTTACGCCGACCTTTCGCGCTAGAGTCCTGCGGGACTTTGCTTTTTTGTACTCTCATTTTATTGTCCTACGTTGTTTAATTATCATCTTAGGTTTTTTATTTTCAAAGTTCACATTTATGAGATAAATGATATAAGTTTATTCTATAAGCTAGTATACGTTATTTATTTTTAGTTCAGCTTTAATTTATATGTGATCAAGTCTAGGTTTAATAGACTTCGTATTGAAGTCTAAGACCTATTATTGATCATTGTTCAATTATCAATATCTGATACTATCTTTATATCGTTCGGGATTAGGCGAAGCATGTGACGCGATCATTCGAATTATAACTTCAAGTCTAATTAAATAATTTTATTGTTCAAATATTAACGTCAACCTTCCTTAACTTCTAAACTCCTAATTTAATGTAAATTTATAATATGATACATTTGTTTCCGTTTGAAAGGTACATTCCGTGATTTCCCGCGTGTGAACCCCTGTGGACCCCGTAGCTGCGGTATCAAAAGATTCTACCCCATCAATTACAATAAGATTTAACTTTTTTAGTAAGTCATAAACGTTATAAGTAACAAATAAAGTAGAATAATTCCGGAAGAATATATAAAATGAGGAAGTATCCAAGAGTTAAAAAGGCAACTAAATATTCTATAAATGTCCCAAGTTACGGGAACCATTATCCATTCTCGAGAATTTAATATTTGATTCCGACACGGGATCTTCGGAATTACTTTGAGCGGTATATATTACGTGTACGGAATCGCGATGACGTCTAGGAGCAATAACAGAAGCACCAATAAATGGCTCCCGTCTACTTGAAGCTATTTGGCGAAAGTCGATGGCACATTATGCATGCGCGGTAACTCACGCACGCGTGCTACACGCGGACACGGTGAAATTGCTTCAACTCTACTACTATACCAACGATATGGTAATTCGTTCTACATCGCTGATTTACCATGTCATGCTCGTTAAAAATATTTCATTTATTAGAGTACTCGTTAAGTAGGCCTTTTTTCGGTGACTACCTTTGTTAACACTAAAACTACCAAACAGGTCAAATGACCGCTCCACAAGTTTCTTATTATAAGGTACACATTTTGTCAAAGTACATTCCTTAAAATTAACATTGATTTTCATTAAGATAAAAAATAGATGTGTGTACTAATTTATGTTTCGTCGTTTGCTTATTTATTTTTTAACTTCATTTTTAATTTCAAATTAAGTACACATTATGTGTCGGTGGGTTTAGTGTTAATAGTACTAGTATCAAGTAATTTCTCAAAATTGAAGACGGAGAATTTGGACCTTTTTAATGTATTTGTTAATTTATAAACTTGAAAATTCCAACTTGAAAAAGCTTAATACTAGAACTACCGACATTAAATGCTTGTTTATCGAAGAATGAAAAATAAAATGAAAAGGGAAATAAATAAATACTAAAACATCAAGTAACATATAGAACTAGTTTTTACCTTAACAAAATATGACAGACATTTCCATAAAGTCACGACAATAAAATTTTGTAATATAAAATGTGAAATCTGAAGCCAGTCATTTTGACTGGTTGGTAGTTTTAGTGTTAAAAATTTCGACTTGAAAAAGCTTGAAAATTTCGATTCGAAAATACTTGAAAATTCTAACTTGAGAAAACTAAAAATTCCAACTTGAAAAACTTGAAAATTCCAATTTGAAAAAGCTTGAAAATTTCAACTTGAAAGAGCTTGAAAATTTCGACTTGAAAAAGCTTAAAAATTTCGACTTGGAAAAGCTTGAAAATTTCGACTTGAAAAAGCTTAAAAATTTCGACTTGGAAAAGCTTGAAAATTTCGACTCGAAAATACTTTACAATTCCAACTTGAAAAAGCTTAAAAATTTCGACTTGAAAAAGCTTGAAAATTTCGATTCGAAAATACTTGAAAATTCTAACTTGAGAAAACTAAAAATTCCAACTTGAAAAACTTGAAAATTCCAATTTGAAAAAGCTTGAAAATTTCAACTTGAAAGAGCTTGAAAATTTCGACTTGAAAAAGCTTAAAAATTTCGACTTGGAAAAGCTTGAAAATTTCGACTCGAAAATACTTTACAATTCCAACTTGAAAAAGCTTAAAAATTTCGACTTGAAAAAGCTTGAAAATTCCAACTTGAAGAAGCTAAAAAATTCCAACTCGAAGAACTTGAAAATTCCAACTTGAAAAGGCTAAAAAATTCCAACTCGAAAAACTTGAAAAAAAATTCCAACTAGAAAAACTTGAAAATTCTAAGTTAAAAAAGCTAAAAAATTCCAACTAGAAAAACTTGAAAATTCTAAGTTAAAAAAGCTAAAAAATTCCAACTCGAAGAACTTGAAAATTCCAACTTGAAAAAGCTAAAAAATTCCAACTAGAAAAACTTGAAAATTCTAAGTTAAAAAAGCTAAAAAATTCCAACTAGAAAAACTTGAAAATTCCAAGTTGAAAAAGCTAAAAAATTCCACCTCGAAGAACTTGAAAATTCCAACTTGCAAAAGCTAAAAAATTCTAACTCGAAAAACTTGAGAAAGCTAAAAAATTCCAACTCGAAAAACTTGAAAAAGCTAAAAACTTCAACCTCAAAAAACTTGAAAACTTCAACCTCAAAAAACATAAAAATTGCAACCTAAAAAAACTTGCAAATTCCACCTTAAAAAAACTTAAATACCAATCGAATACATAATATAAATCTACTTAGCTCGCAAGAAAATCAAACACTTCCCTCCGTCAATCTCCAAATATTCACAATTGAATAATGTGCACATCAGTTGCAAAACGGTATCGAACCCCGCAGCGAATAAAACGAGGAGGGCGAGCGAGTTAAGGTGCATTGAAGGAGCACCACCGACCGCGTATCCCGTTGCGTGTCACGTATCTATGTGAATACGCAATTTCACAGGCGAAGAAGGATGCAGATTGGTGGCTGGTAAATGCATGATTACTGCACCGTGCCCTGGGCAATAATGGAGGTGTGAACGGTCGTAAGATGTCATTTTCTTCATTCAGTTGCGCGTGCATCGGTGCATGCAAGCGGTTATGAATGGAGGATTCATTCTGTAAAACGCTTTTGCTATTCGTCCAATAGCACTTTCATACGTTATTTTATATTTGGGTTTTTTGTAATGTATATTTGGGACAATTATGTAAGAATTATATTCTAAAAATCTCAGAAGGGGACATGGTGAATGTATAAATAGGTACAGAAATAGAGAGGTACAAATGGGTGCATGTATACAGAAGTACAAATGTAATTTGCAAATTTAGAAATATGGGAATTTACATCTTCTCGTATTGTCTGCGCTATTTAAGAAGTCCGCTCACGCGACATCGCGTGCTATGTACACAGTATTCCACCATCGTGGCACAGATCAAC